GCTTGCCCATACAAGTAAAAAAATAAACAATTACGAGTTAAACTTTTTATTCTTTCTTTTCTGAGTTGTTTAGAGCTGGTTTCTCTTGTAGGAACCTTTCGTACTCTTCCACGGTCATGTAATCGCGAATTTGGTACGCAATTCCAGGTTCGTTGTTTTTGAACCTTACGTATGTAACGCTTCCATCCTCCTCAGGGAAGTAAGCTGCTAACATCTGACCAAGTTTTCTCGGTGACTCGGAGCTCATTAAAAATGTCACTTTTTAAACGTTAAGTTTTTAGTCTTATTTTACCCTTTGTTTGTCAAGGTAGTATTGGAGCGCAATTTCTCCAAATTCTCTGTGTCGGAGTTCTTCAGCATTTTCCAAGGTGTACCTGGAGAACTCAAAGAAGTTGTCAAGAACATACTGCCATGCTGCTCTTCTGAGTTCGTCGGTATTTTGGAAGTGTTGCACCTTCGAGTCTTCTGACATGAAAAAAAATGACCAAATTTCATTATATAACTGTTATTTTTGACGAAGTGAACTTTTGCACTTCGTCAAAAAAATCCCTGAAATCGTGAAAAATTGCGAGTAGGTAAAAAACCCCAGTCGCCAAAACTCATGAAAATCGTGAAATTTCTCTAGACCGAGAATTCTCGGCCTTGCATAAAACACATGAAAATCGTAAAAAAACTCTATGAAATCATATCTTTTATACAAGATAGAAAAAATAAAATTAACGCTAGTTTTTTTAAAATATTTTTTTTTATTTTGTATGTAAGAACAGGAAATGACAAACACTGAGTTTGAAACAGTTAAAAAGATAGACAATGACACCAAAGTGGTTAGAATAGGTGATTTAAACGTAAGATACTCAAAGAAATACAAGAAATATTCTTTGTCAGACATTATATCTCCATCTGGAAAGAAAACACACCATTGGGTTGGAATTGCTTCAACTCAGAAAATTTTGACAAGAAATCCTGAGCTTATGATATCGGTAAGATTCTGTGGAACTACAGCATATCTCATTGACAAAAGTCTTATACCAATAGTTTTGTTATGGATTGACCCAGTTGTTGGATATAATTTCATAACATATGGTTCATTCGATACGGAACGTTGCAGTGAAGGCTTACTTTACATCGTTCAGAAACCGAAGGACTTCAATACAAAAAGATATAAGATAGGAAGAACATATAATATAACTCAAAGATATGACAGTATAGTCAATAGAGTTAAGGTTGTGTTTGTGAACGATATGAGAGCTGCTGAAACAGAACTACTTGAAAAGTTTGAGAAAATGTATGGTGCTCCCACGAAAGGTAAAGAAACGTTTGAAGTAGATGAGATAGAGAAAGCTGTAAAATTATTTGACGAAGTTGCTGAAAAATACATGTAAAGCGTTTATTTTTGGTCTTTTATACAAGATAGAAAATAACGCTAATTTTATTTTTATTTTATTTTTATTTTATTTTTATTTTATTTTTATTTTATTTTTTTATTTTATTTTTTATTTTATTTTTTATTTTATTTTTTATTTTGTATATAAGAACAGAAATGTCAACAACAGAGAACACAACAACTGCTATCGTTCATGAAGCCATAAGTGAAGAATATGAGTGGGTTCAGTATAACAAACAACTCCGTCTCATTCGTTCGGTCAAAGATGACATGTACCAAATGCAAAGTATTTTGAATGCATGTTTTGCTCCAGATACTAAACACGCAGACGACTGGTTCAAAAACCAAAGCACACAAGAACTTTTGAGTGAAATTTCTCTAGACCGAGAATTCTCGGCCTTGCATAAAACACATGAAAATCGTAAAAATTTGCCAATAAATTTAAGAGGATATTATGTACATAGACTTCTTGTAAATGCTGTTGCAATGTGGGCTTCACCTCGTTACGCTTGGTATATTTTCAGACTTCTTGACGAAATTCATAGACAAGAACGTGAAGAGATGGAAAAGAAACTTCAAGCAAAAGATGAAGTCATTGAAGCAAAAGATGAAGTCATTGAAGCAAAAGATGAAGTCATTGAATCCAAAGACAAAAACATACAGAAAAGAATACCACGTTCGGTACCAAAAGGTAAGGAAAAGAACTATAAGTATATGATTTACACTGAAGAGATGGAAAATGAAGAAGACAGAGATATGGTTATGTTGCATTTAGTCAGAAGAAACAACAAAAGCTTTTACGACTTAGCTAAGATTTACAAATCTGACAGAAATTGGTTCTATCGCGAAAACTTACCGATTTCAATGACACCGAATGAAGATGTTAAACAGATAGTTCAAGATACGTTACCTCAAACACACTATGATATGAAAGGTTGTACAATACTTACATTCAAAGAAGATTTACCGCTACTGAAGGAAAAGATAACAGAGTATTTTGACAACTTCAAAGAAGAAGAGTAAATGAACCATTTATTTTTTACGCTTGACTTTTTACAATTTGAACTTTGTTTGCGTAGATGTGAATTCTGAAAGAAGTATGAGGGTCTTGTATGACTTTGTACTTCTCCCATAGTTCATGTCTGTCAAACTTACCTGCCATGGACTCTTTCATAAGTTCCATGAAATCGTCTTCGGACAATCCGGGGAAAAGTATAATATCAGTAAGTATTCTCTTTACATCCTTACTTAAACTCTTGGCTGTCTGTACACAAATGACAACTGAGATGTTAAAGTGTCTGAGCTTCTTAAGAATTCGACACATGTCTTGTTCTCTATTCTTTAACAAAGGATGAGAAGCAAAGTCATCTAAGATAAGAAGACATCTGTGAGGGTAAGTCTTCCAATCGTAAGATTGCAATTTCTTCGAAAGGTACTCAATCTCTTTCTGTTTGTTTCTGAAGTGTTTCTTCTCTAATATTCTCTGCATTTCCTCATTTGGGTCTTTAAACTTCGAATTGACATACTCATTTATAGCATTGTACTTCAAAACTCTTCTTTGGTACTTCTTTATCCAATCTAACAACTCAGAGTCTTTTATAGATACTAACTTAGACTTTTTTATAATATCTTTGAACGAATTGACGGTTTGGTCAAATTGACCAGAAGTACTACAAATGACTACTAACTCATAGAATGGGTTCTTCTCATCTAGTTCTTGTTGTTGTGCAGCCATTTTAAGATAAGTGAAAGTCTTACCCGACCCAGGTGGTGCGATTAGACCTGTTATACCATTCTGAGCAAATAGGAACTTGTCATGTATGGGTTTTATCTGAGCATTTTCCAACTTCCTCTTGTTCTTGTTTAAAACATTCTCAAATTTCTTGTCAATGTCAGCAAACTTTTTTTCTAACATATTTTTAGAAAAATTAAAATTTTTATCTTTTAGGAAATGTCTAGCGATTTCGCTATCTATATTCGAGACAAGCTTTTCGACAGCAAAACATCTGTCGACCATAAAATCTTACATAGTGTAAACAAGAAAGGGGAATTTGTTCTAAAGTTCTGTTTCTGGGAATATGACAAGAACCATAAAACCTTAAGCAGAGAAGTCTTAAAATTTGTCAATGACAGACTTGTTGACAGAGATGACGCCTCTTGGAGAGATGAAGTCCAACAAAACTTCTTAGAATGCAAAGAAGACACATGCGCTGTTCTTGAAAATGAAATAGAAGACAGAATAGAAGAGCTATTAAAGGACAAAGCACTTTTACAAAAATATGGTTCTGAGAAGTTTGACATAACTCCACCAGAGAAGAAGAAGAGAGAAAAGAAGGAAGGGAGAGTAGAAGAAGAGAAGAAAGAACCAGAGCCAGAGAAAAAGAAATTTGACATGTAAAAATAAAATTTTATTTTTAGAACATTTCTGGGTCAATGTCAATGTTCTCTTCCTCTTTAGGAGCAAACACTGGCTTAGACTCTAAAATCTTTTTACCCAATTTACCCTGAACTTCTACAACTTTAGACTCATAATATTCATAGTCGTCTGCTTTCTTTGGTTCATAAGGTATAACAAGTTTGTATGCTTTGCCTTCTTTAAGGTTTGAAAACCTTCTGTCAAAACTTTCTTTGACTGTTAACAAACCTTCTATGTCTAAGTCTTCAAATTTCGCACCATTTTTAGTCACAATAGCAAACTTAACTGGTTCGATGTTCCAAACTTTGTCAAATGTAGACTTTTCAAAATGGTAGAAGTAAACATTCAAATATGTGAATGGGTCTAGTTCTTCTTTAAGTCCTGACATGTACTTGTTGACTGAGATGAATTTTGTCATCTTTTCTATCGGATAAAAAAAATATTTTTTTTTTAAATTTACTCAGAAAAATTTTTCTTTGTATATACACCATTCTGTACGTCTAAAAGACTTTTGACATTTGCCAAGAATGTTCGTTTAGACGCTGTCATATAACCATACTCTTGGCAATATTGTTTATACGAATCGTACAATGACCTTTCATCTAAACACTCAAAGTCAGTTTCATCTATGAACAGTTCATATACACTCTTGTTTGCTTCTAACAATGTTTGTCTCTCTTCGGTATGTGGAATTTGTCTTGGATTGAACTTTGAAATATCTAATGTCATGAAATATGAGAACAAGTGGTTGTAAAAGTTAGGTGTCAAAGTTTCTGCTAAGTCGTCAAATATTCTGTATCTTGCATATGAGCTTCTGACGTTCTGACAACTACATATCTTCTGTCAGAACTTTCTAACTTCATCGGAACGGCGTTGTTTGAAACCATGACGAAGTTTGCAACATTTTCACAAACTCTTTGGTCTCTATACTTTCTTTCAACAACTCCAACTTTGTCTGTTATAAGACTCTTCAAAGCATCCGAGTTTAAAACCTTTGTTGTATCTATACTTTGAAGTTCGTTACATACTATAAGTTTCATATTCTCTATTGAAGAGTTAAATTTACCGCAGATGTTTTCTAAGTTTGTCATATTCGGGTTCGAATAGCCCTCTAACAGTTTGCATAAGATATCTGTAAAGAAAGTGTCTTACCTGTTCCTTGTTTTCCTATTATGATGAGAGCAGTTTCATTTTTAGCACTTGGATGTTGTAAGATGTTTGCAAACCAACATAAGATATACTCATAGACTCTTTCGTTTCCATTGCATATAATTTCTTTGACATGGTCTAACCAAGCTTCTATAACATTTTCTTTCCATTCTACTTGTTCGTATTTATATCCAGTGAAGATAGAATAGAAGTTTGGAGAAGGTGTATAGAACTTTATACCACGAACTGAAAAATCTTCTAACTTTGACAATAAGATATCCCAAGCATCTAACATCTTCATACCAACTTGTACGACTTTTATTTTCTTAAGTTTCTGTTTACATTCTTGTTCTGAAACTATTGTCGCTTTAGGTTTGTTAAAGACTACATCCCATTCTTTCATGACATAACATTCTGGGGCAGAGTCGACATAAATGACTAAACGTTTCAAATTCTCGACTGCTTTGTTATAGTCTCTAAATGGACACATATTTCTGAACGCTTGGAAGTCATAAAAATCTGAAACGTCTATTCTGTACATTTTTTTATATAAAAATAAAAAAAAATATTTTTTTTATTCTTGAGCTATTTGTTGTTCTTGACTTTGTTGTTGCATTTGTTGTTCTTGAGCTATTTGTTGTTCTTGAGCTATTTGTTGTTGAAGTTGTTCTTGTAATACAATACTTTCACCAGTTGCATCTTCCAATTCGAAACTTTCTGCCGTCATTGACAAATACATAGGACATAAAAGTTTTACAGGAACAAAGTTTGCGTCAACTAAGGTTAAGTTTATGTTTGCTAAAGTGTTTGAGTTTACTAAAGCTGAAAACTCTGCATTCGAATGAACAATAGGCAAACCAGCAGAGAAAGTGTTGTTTATACTCATGAGTATCTTTTGGTCATAGTAGTTTCTGTCGACATTCGAATAGCACTTTGAACCTAAGTTTGAAACAATATATAAAATAGGTGTACTTAAAGTCAATGGAATAGATAGACCTTGTATGACACCTTGTCCTGTTATAGGAAACTGTTGGTAGTAAAAACCAGATATAAGTTTTGTATTATAGCTCATATCGTTTATAGTAAACTCAGTCGGACATCCAAACATAATGAAACCTGCTCTAGTTGCAGCACATGTTACATCCGTCCTTAAAGTATTAAATAAGTCAACAAAACCTGTTGGTGGTATATCTGAGTAAGTATCTTCAAAGGAGTATTTTTTACCATTCACAACAACAAAGTCTTCTGGTGTCAAAAGAGCAAAACAGGCTTTAGTCGTCATCGTGTTTAAGGTCAGTTTACAATATCGTCCTTGAGGACTTTGTAAGTTTGTTGTTATAGAATTATATGACTCAGGGTTTTTAGTCGTAATAGTATAAACCACTATGTCTTCTGCCATTTACATATATTTAAAAGTTTTTCTGAAAGTGGAGAAGAACTTCATCTAAACTTTCACATGGCGTTTCTTGAAGTTCTCTGTCTAAGAAGTTCAAATATTTGTAAAGACATAGAACTTTCCTTTGTCTACACGAACAAACAAAACAGGGTCTTTCATATCGTTCAAAAGTGTGTAAAGTCCTTTACATGAAATAAAGTCTATATTGTTTTTCTTCAAACATCTTTCAAGAAGTTTTGACATTTACTTAGCAACTAAATTTTAATGAAATGTTGTGGTCGTCAAATATTTTTATGACGTCTGGGAAACTATATTTTAAGTTCAACGTTTCACCTCCTTTCATAACGTATATCTTGTCAATGACATTATATGAAACACCACAGCAAGCAATGTCGGGTTCTATTTCTTTGATGTTTATATCGTCTGCCTCTGTCAAAAGTTTCAATAGTTCTTTCAAAATTTCATGAGGTGCGATGACATATGAGTTCACTTTTACAGGGTTGTGTTCGACCAAGTTTAACATTAAACCCAAAGCCTGACAAATCTTCTCCTGAGTTTTAAGTTTGTCTTTAAGTTGTTGGTAGTCGTTTCGAATATCTGCAACAGAACTTAAGTCTCTGCTAACTTCAGGGTATGTTGGTTGTTCTTTTACAGGAACTATTGTTATACCATCTTCGTCTTCGTATGGTTTCCCCACTTCAACATCTCTTTCTTTGACATTGACAACAACACTTTGACTGTTTGTTTGAGTTGGTGAATTTAACTTCACATCTGCCATCGCCATTAAACCTTTTGAAACACTTACGCTTCTATTTTTCGGAAATGACATTTTACTTAGAATAAAAAGATGGACGTATTTGAGTATCTCTTCGAATTGAAGCAAAACAAAGTTTACACACACAAACAATACAAGTTCATTGATAGAATAGTTCTTTATACAAACAATGGAAAATGTTATAGAATAGCAGTCTTTGCTGAACCAAAATATTTTCATAAAGCAAAGAAAGTTGGTATAACTGAAATGGTGAAAGTTCTTGAAGCAGACAAAAATATAACAACAAAACTGACCGATATTTCTAAAGGTAAGTTTATAATACAATATTATATCAAAACTGGCGTACTGTCAATATTTGACGGAGAGAAGTCAGTTCAAGAACAACTTACTGACCTGCTGCCAAAATCTGCTCGATGGAAGCTGTCGTTATACCAATCTGAGGAGCCCCAGCAGGTTTCATCGAACGAATCTTCAAAAGAGCATCTTCTGTGAAAAGTGCTATTGGTTTTGTAAACTTCTTTGCTTTCAATTCATCTGGACCGTCTGTCACCAGTATATTGTATTTGAACTGTACCAACAGTTGAAATACCACCATAAAGTCTTCTGAGTCAGCAAATGGAATGCCAAGCCAAAAGTTTGAACGGTCTCCATTTGTATATTGAGTTTTTTGACCTCCTGTATGAGTCCATACTTTCACATATGGCATAATAGAACTTTGCATTTCAGGGTTAATGGTTGTTGTGAAGTTGTTGTTAAAGTTCATAGCATCTAATGTCAAGTTGTATGACCTCATATCCTCAACTGTAGAATATTCTTCTCTTGGATAATATTTGCCATCTATGTTTATATGATATTTAATACCGGGGTTGTAGAAACAAGAATAGTCATTTATAGTTCGTCTGAACAGTACAAACAGAGTATCTGCATGTTTCATTGCAGTTGTTAAAGCAATATCTGTTCTTGCACCTGGGTCAGCACTTTGGTTTCCAACTTCACTGCAAAGTCTTTGACAGATATTTGGTGTATAGGGAACATAAGTGGAACTGCAATATATTTGGCAGCTAAAGCATTTGAAATATCTGGGTCCAACATATAGACTGCAAGTCTGCTTTCTATTCTCTTGCATTCAAATTTTTCGCATGTGAACTTAACTGGGTCCCAAGCATCTCCAGCAGCATTGAAATAATAGTTTACTTCAGTGTTGAGGTTTGAGAAACCAAAGTCTAAGTCAACTTTGTTTTTGCAAAAGTCGGCGAATGACATTTTATTTGTTCCCACTACTTCTGTAAGAGTGAATGGGTCTTGTGTTGGTGCAATGACTAAGTTATTTTTGCTTGGAGTAAGTTCAATAGAAATTTTTCCTGCCCAGTTTGGCAAGTATCTTAAAAACCTGAAGATGAGGAAAGATGACAAAGGAACTCTAAGTTTCAGTTTTACTTTGGTTACTGCTGCTGCAGTTTGTCCAGAAAGGTTAACATAAACTCCTGGAACGTTAGGGTCAAGTCTTCTTATTTTCTCAATAGTTGCATACTGGTCTGTTTGTTCTCTAGCTTGTGGTTGTACTGAGTTTCTCAAAGCGAACCATTCATAGTTTGCCCATGTTACTGTTTGAACTAAGTCAGAGTTAGAATATATCTTATATCCCATGAAAACTTCTGGAGCATATTGGTATCCGACATAGAAAATTCCATTGCAACCTTTCTTGTCAGACAACTTGGCAGAAGGTTTTATTTCAATGTCTTGTTCCACGTATAAGAAAGAGTTGTCAATAGAAATTATATGAAACCTGTCGCAAGCAATATCTACTGTTGTTGAAGAACCTTCTCCAAACTCACCTACGTTTCCATAAGAAACAGCAGTTGTATATTCGTAAGTTCCAGGAACTATTTCTGACCTTCTAATGGCATTGTCGCATTCGTTATACCATTCGGAAACATTTCCATTCATGGCATCCAAAACTGTTGGCGTTATATTCTGAGCGGCGTACATTTCATATGGGTAAAAATATAGAATAGTTGGGTTTATGTGTCATAATAGAACCCACGTGGACCAAGCTTTACTTTCTTCCTGACTGAGTTTTTAACTCTTCTTTTTCCTTCATTGCCACTACTTTCACTAGATGAAGTTACTTCTTCACTACTTTCACTTTGTTCTACTCTTCTTCTTTGGTGTCGCTTTGGTAACTTGCCCTCTGCTTCAAGTTGTTGCATCTTTGCCTCATGTTCATCTAGTATGTTGCAAATTTTCCATGCCCTTTTTGCCTTTTGGCTCTGGTCGCCCATCTCAGGTAACCTATATCCTAGAAAGAGTTTGTCATAGTTTGTATTTGAGTCTTCGCGTATTGTTTGCATGACTCTGTCCTGAGTTTCCGGTTCAAGCTCTTCAAACAGTGCCTGTCCATATGGAATATGCTCGTTTCCAAATATATGTTTTTGTAGCCATTCTGGTTTTCTTTCCATGTTACCAACTATATCTTTTGTGAATGGGAAAGCTTTTACCCAATCTTTCAGTCTTGCGTCGTTTATTTCTGTAGTTGGTTTTATTTTGTCAAGGAACATGTTTTTCAATACTAACATTTCATTTGGTACTGTCCATTTGAGTTTTCTTAAATATTCATTCATTCTCATTTCATTGTCTGCAAAGTAAGTTTTTATGACATTTTGTAAACTTTCGTTTGCAAGGTCATGTACAATAGGTTCTCTTCCTTCTCCCTCCCTAACTTTCTTTCTAAACTCTTCACCAAATATACCATCTCTATGGTTCTGTGTAGTTCTTTGAGATAAATGTTCTAGAACGTCAGGTGTTATATTTCCATCAGCCATGTTCATTTCATACTGGTCCAAAATATCTGCATGTTTCATATCTTTCAATGGCATTAAAGCCGCGCTGAAAATACCAGCTATATCTGGTTCACCATTCACTTCCATTGCGTCTACAACTTCTTGGAATTGTGGTTGTAAGTTTATGAACCACCTATCCGGGTTAGCTTTATGACCCCATCTCATTGTAGTTCCATCGTCTGCAGAAACAAAAGTAGGTTTGTTTCCATCTTGGTTAGGTTCTGAATGAACTTTAAACAATGTTTCATTTCTATATGTTTTCTTGAAATTTAACCTTTTATTTTCACCGAGTTCATCCGAAGATTGAACGTTAAATGCTCGTAAGTAAAAAGGGTTGTTGTATTTGTGTACATTTTCTTTCAGTACTTCCATTCTATGCTGAATATTTTCATCTGTGTTGGAGTCTTTTGTATGTCGGCAAACATTTTTCGATATTCTTCTACAATGTCAGCCGAATTTTTTTTAGACTCTTGGAAATATTCCATATTCTCCGCATACTCTTGTTGAGGGTCAAGATTTTTCGGCTGTTCCAAATCTTCATCTAGTTCTGTGAAGTTAGTTTCCAAAGGAAGGACTTGTTCGTTTCCTTCAGGCTCTTCTAGCTGTTGTTGCTGAACTATTTCTTCCATGTCTGGTTGTATCTGAACTTCTTCCTGTTGAGTTTCTTGTACCTCATCTGCTGGCATTTCATATATTCCGAGACCGTTTTTAACAAGTTCCCTTTCTAAGTCATCCGGACTCAAAAACCTTTCTTCTTTCGTTCCGTCTCTATTTTTTACGCGTTTCATGACGGGAGTTGAATTGTCATTTAGCTCTGACATCAAATATCTCGGAGTAAATTCAGTCATGTCATTTGGATGATATGCTATTAAATCATATCCCTTAGCGAGCTTGTATTTTCCAGGTTTGAAATTATATCCCATTTGGTGCTGAACCATAAAGCTAAATAGGTTCGGGTCAGTATTTCCATCCTTGAACTTTCTAATAGCTTCTTTATATCTGTCACTAAAGTCAATACTATCTGGGTAACCATAGTCTTCCTTAAGCCTTTTTAAGAATTCTTGGTTTCCTTGTTCTCTACTTCTTTTATGTCCTTGCTCTGTTTGTGCTGGTTGTTGTGCAGGGTTTTGAACTGTTGGTTGTTGTGCTGGTTGTGGAGGTGGTTGTTGTGCTGGTTGTTGTGCAGGGTTTTGAACTGTTGGTTGTTGTGCTGGTTGTGGAGGTGGTTGTTGTGCTGGTTGTTGTGTTGGTTTTGGTGCATGCCTGTGTCTATGTCCATGTGACGATGTAAATGTTTTAGGTAGTCCTGGTGCAGGTGCTTCTCTTGGAGGGTTTGGTGGTATATAAATTCCACCAGCTGGCACATATGTTCCATCTGCAGCGTAATGTCCTACCTGACTTTTCGTTCTTAAGAAAGCATTTACTAGGTCTGTTTTGGTCTGTTGTAACTCTTTTTCTTGACTTTTCACAACAGTTGCTCTAACGGCGTCATAGGCACTTTGAACTGCCTGTCTCGTTGCTGCATCTGTTATTTTCGTCATATTTTGTGCTACTTCTTTTAACTCTTTGTCGAAACCTTCAGACTTCAGTTTCTTTCCAGATGAGAAGTCGTTCACTTGTTTCACCTTACTATGAAGAGCTTCGAAGGCGTTCTTAAAGTCAGCATTTGTTAAAGCTTCATTTGAACTGTCTTCATCCGCTTGTATTTTTGTCCTTATTGACCCTATGAGTTGGGCTGCTTTAGCGTTGGCTTGGGCATCTAACCAGTCATTGTTAGCTTTTATATATTCTGCGCTTTTCATTGCCTTTTGCATGGCTGCGTCGTTATTTTTACTTTCTTGTGCTAAGTTTTCATACTGTACGGTTTGGTTTTGCAACTGTAAAAGTTTTTCTGCCTTTACATTTGCTTCAACTTCTTTTTTATACTCATCGCTATCCATATATGTCTTCAGGGCTTTTTGTTTTATCTCTTCATCTTTCAGTACTTTATATCGAGTAGTATGGTTTTTCAAATTTATGACATCTTGTTCCATTTTTGCTACTTCTGCTGCTTTTTCTGACACTTTTTTCGCATATTCCTCTGTACTTAGTTCTTTCAGTTGTTCTTCTTTCTTCTTTTTCTCTACGTTTAACTCATTGAGTTTCTTTGTGTGTCTGTCATATTCTAGTTTCTTTTCGTTTTCACTTATTTGCTTCTGTATGTCTATGTTTGACTTTTTGACATCTGCTATTTGATTTTTGAGTGAACTCAAATTCATTTGACTTTGAGGGTTATAGGCTGTTCCGTCTGCAGCTCCACCATAGCCTGCCATTTTCGCTAAAAGTGCCGCTCTTAAACCTCCACTCTGTGCACCAAGAACTCGGTTTAAAAGCATAGGATTGCTTGACATTTGTTGCAACATAGTGGGGTCATTCAGCATTTGTTGTTGCAACTGTTGTTGTGGTGTTAGTCTTACTATTGGATGTTTCAATGCTCTCTTCCTCTTACGTATATTCTTACGTAGCTTACGTGGCATTTTAAGTGAAGTTAAAAAGAGGCTTTTGACAGATGTTTATATGAGACTTTCTCCGGTTTATAGGACCTCTCTCATATTCTATCTTGTTAAGACTTCCTGGACTGTTGTCAAAATGTCATGTTGTCACACTTTTTCAGAGAAGTTCATTTGACCGAGGGACCGAGGGACCGAGGGACCTGGTGTTATACTAAACATCTTCAGGGGGCTAGAGGGGCGCAGCCCTGGAAGCCCCAATACCTTTTTTTTTTTTCACACTGTTAACTATTTTCTTGAGAATAGATCTGCAAATTTCAAGATTTCAAGAAAAGATCAATAAAAAATAGATAAAGAAGGAAATTTAGACAGAATGATTGTTTATAATACAAATTAGATCTTAAGATTTTGAGCCATTGAAAGAATTTCGGCAACATTTGCTTTTGACAGTTTTTGCTGAAAAACTTCAATAAATTGGTCATGTGAACTGATTTTCTCGGCGAAAAGATCATCAGCGGTGTACAGAAGTAATGCAGCCGAAAATTTTTCCAAAAACTTCGGAATACATAAAGAAGATATCATCAATCTCTTGATATCATCCTTGCTGAACGAATTAATGAAGAATGTCTCGATGTTTGGAACTAAAAATAATAATGAAAAACTTTGGAGGTGTTGATAGAGTTGTAATACCTCAGAATGTTCCTTAACAAAGAAATCGCCGATATCCTGTAACATCTGGAAGATTCTTGGTGTTTTTATGTCGGCAATAATTTCATCTAATTTATTCTTGAGGTAAAAGTCAATAAATGAATGGAAAAAGATGGATTCGCTTTCAACTTGACTATGTGAGGCTCCATCATAGAAAATTATCTTCTCTCCTTCGATTTTTTCAACATAAAATTCAATAATTCCGTGTAAAATGTAGACCATGAGCTCGTTATAGTAAGCTCTGTTTCTGTTCCAGTAGGAAAGCGTTAAAAGAACGTTAAAACTGACTTGCATAAGAAATTCTGATTCTCTGAAAAATTTTGAGTGTTTAACTATGTCGTTTTCGATGGAATTGACGAGTCTTCTTAATTCTGGATATTTTTCCCATTGAAGTTTTGGAGTTGCTTGCCATTGTTCTTTAATTCGAATGTATTCTGTTTGTTTGTCAACTTTTGGTTCTTCTGATTGCTCATTCGAAGATTTCTCCTGATTATAATGTACTATATAATCGAAAACTAAGCTAGAAACTTTATTATCCATTTGACAATTGTAAAATTCGTTTTCAAATGTAGTTGTCGGTTTGAAAGTATTGTTTTCATCAAATAGAGACTTAAACTCACTCTCAGAAAGAGTCTTTGGTTGGCCTTGTTGTAATGATTTGCCTTTTCTTGCGATTGAGAGTTTTTCTTTTAATTCTTCTTTAATGTAATCGTTTGTTATAATGAACGGATTCAAACTAATAAGCCTGGTATCCTTTTGGATGAATTCAAAAGTTGTCGGAGTTTCTGTCGAAGCTTTAAGAATGAAATATTTGGAAATCAGGTGGAATATCTCCTTGACTTTGAAGTAGCTTTGGAATGAGAAACTCATTTCTGAATCTTGTTTCATGAATGACAGAATTATTCCATTCTTAACTGTGACTTTTATTTTTGAGAAATCTGATATAATGGCTGCAAAATCGGGTAATTTTAGTTGAATGTCAATCCTTAGATTAGAAACAAGTTGTTCGACATTAACTTCTGAGTAATAATTTAAGAATAATGTGCCATAATTCTCTTCTATGTTAAGAGCTCCCTTTGTATAATGCGTTGGTGTATCATAGTAATCAACAATGTATGTATAGATGGCAGTGCTCATGATTTTTTTTTACCTTTTACAAAAATTCCCAATTAATTCAAAACATGATCGGCAAATCTCAAGACCTACCAAAAATTAAGAGGATACCTTTTAATATTCATATGTTCCGTGCAATTTAAGAAGTTTGGCTAATTCTTTCTTTTTATTATTATCTGCTGCACTTTGAAGATCAGTTCATCCATTTATATCTTTTTCATCGATTTTTACACCACATAAAATAAGAATTTCGGCTGTTTCTTTATCTGTTGCAAATGGATGTTTATGTTATACATTCGAAAAACAATTTCAGATATAAACTATGAATTATAATTATGTTTATAGTTATAAATGGCAAAATAATAATAGGAATGTCAAAAGCAATACGATATTCAATCAGAATCAAGTCTATGTTGTTAATCTCTCATTTTCTTGATGTGATTTTACATTTATTAAGAGATCAAGATCGTTAATACCTGACTGTGATCAAACTATGTTTTATTTTCTTTTTTGCAATAAAGTGTATATCAAATTTATATTAATGTTTCAATGAATAATACGAATTAAGTGATGATGCAATATATATACTTCTCAATTAACTGCTAACATATAAGGTGAATCAAAATATAACAGATAATGAATAAATATTAATACTCCAGGGAGCGCAGATGAATTATTTAGGCATAATCATATAACTATACAAAAATGGCGCAGCATGGATATCCCTAGGAATTATATAATCATATGAGCACTTGCAATCGTTATGAGATAATGACGAAATGATAGCATATCCAGGACCTCTATTTGTGGAATAACTAAACTGAGAATCTTCGATCTTTATCCATGATGGTAATTGGTGAATTTTATCAGTCTCTCTATTCTCAGAATAAACAAAACCAGATCCACCGGAACCAGGACCACCGCCAAATAGGCCTCCCCCACCTCCTGGAGAGTTACCAGGCGCTGAATATCTATTTCCATATCCACTGCCAAATGATCCATCAAAGCCTGGATTGGTTTGGTTTGCGCCGGGGAGTCCACAAAAATCCAAACTTTTCAATCCACCACCAGATGTGCCAATATCATGTACATTCGCAGAACCACCACCGCCGCCGGCAATCAGAAATCTCGATTCTAAATTGTCTTCTGAACGAAAGTCAGTGGCGCCGCCACCGGAATATACAGAACCGCCCCAACCGCCACCATTAAAGGTCTCGTAAGGTGTTTCTGGTCTAATTTCTCCCTTACCGCCTATATATAGAAATAAAGGATTTTCCTCAAGCAAATTAATTATCATTGATGCATAACCGCCAAAACTACCACTGTCATAATCACTGCCTGACGCACCATAAACTTCTAAAAAATATTTTCCAAGTTTTAAATGTAACTCAACAGGGGTGCAATATACGCTACTTTGGCATGGATATAAAAATCTACATGTGGATCCACTACAAATTGGCTGATAACCAGGTCGCTGTGCTCCACGGAAAAGCCCATATTTTCCAAACTGGAAATAAAATTCCTCATATGGAACTGATTCTGACATTTAATTTACTAATCTTTTGGCAGTAAAAGCAGAGCATGAAATTTATCAAATCAGAAATGCATTGTGCAGGCAAGAGAGCATCTAGATTTATTCACGTATGTATTATTTAGATAAAAAAAATTATGTCAAAATAGGGAGAGAGGGAGGGTGACCCCCTTTTTCTTGAATAATTTTTTTTACATTAAAATGTTTCTTTATTCTCTTTTTTTAGCAGCAACAGATTCAGAATATCAACTCTCAGTACCATTCTTGAGAACCCTTCCTGGTGAGATTGGAAATTGGACACTTCGTGGCCAGGCTGTGGCACAAAAAAGAGTTATCCACCTCACTACTGCAATACCTTCTGTTTTTGGTGGCATTTGTTCGAGAACACCAACGAATGCCAAAGATTGGTCTACAAATCTCGATTTTTCACTCGACCAAGATGAATTTTATATAACTCTCAGTAGAAACGTATGCCCTGATCCGCAATCATGGTTCAGCGGTATGAACATCACATTTGTTCCTTTAGAAAATGGATCTGTTTCATTTTCAGTCAAAGGAAACGAAGTTATTCCTCCACGCACAAATATCATAGACAATTTCAACTTCTCGAAACAGCATACCGTTCAAATTGTCAAAAAAGGTAGAAATATCGAAATATCATACGAAAATGAACTTCAATTTAATGTTTCAACATTTGGAGCTTATGATCAAACATATTTTTCATTTTTCGCGCAATCCCCTGTTAAATGCAATCGATGCATAACAAATATTCACGGATTTACATACATTCCTACATCAGAAAGAAGAAAAATTGACGAATCATTAGATCAAAGGAACAGAAAGGCCTTACGCACTACAGCGAATAAAAGAGAGACAATGAAAATGATGAGAAGAGCTGTGATGCAGGTTGTTTCTCAATACATTGAAGAAGCTCTCGGAAATGATGATAATTTTACCGGCCAAAGTGTTCAATTAAAGGATTCTCTGGCAGAAATCAAAGAAACTATACTCAGAGCTAACCATACTGTGTCGTCAAAGCAATTAAAGCAGTTAATTGATGAAAAAATCTCTCCTGTTTTAGAAAAGTCATATCACAGGTTCGAAAATGTCGCAAACGCAATGTTTTCGACCAAAATGGATATGGTCAACATATGGAGAGACACAGGAAACCAACTTCGCCAAATTAGATCAGATTTGAGCTTGAATTGCGTTCAAATCGAAAATGAAGCGAGAAAATATATCTTCCAGGTATTCAAACTCGCTCCTGAAGAGTTTCATGAGGATAATCATGAAAATGAAAAAGAAAATTTATCTTTTTATCTCGGAATCATTTGTTTAATAGAATTTATTGCTTATTGCATCTTTTTCCTTAGATATCACTTTGTTGTTTTATCAAAGAAACGCGAATAATTTTATTTTTTATAGAGATTTTAAAAAATGTTTTTTATTTTTCAATATAACAACTAAAGCCTTGTTTTTAATTTATTGTTCGTATATGTAGGATTTCAATTTGATCTGATAAATCTTTCAAAATATTATTTTTCCAACTCTCGAAGTTTGCTCCAAATATATGTAATTTTCATTCAATACTACCAAAAATTTCTTCTTGTTTGTCATATATTGAAAGAAATTGTAAATATCTCAATTTTAATATCCTATTTAAGACTTATTAAGTTCACAAAACATATTGTATTTATATTTTATGTGATTTCAAACTGAAAATATTATATAAATTCATTATTTAATCAATTGTATTTCAATTTTATTGTTCATTTTGATAAAAAAGTATGATTGTATACATAACAATTCACAAGTAAGATGATGGTTAAAAAGAATTCAAATAAAACATTTAATTAAATAAACATAAAAAAACATAACAATAAAAATTATTCTGGAAATGCAGGTAATACTCTATTAGCGCTCTTTCTTGCATTCTTTGCCGTAGCTGTGTAAACATTAGGTCTAACAAGTAGTCTTTTTGCTGGACTTTCGTTTCTAAAACTTTTAAGTTGTTTAACTTGTTGTTGTGACATTTTAGGAACAATTGGCTGCATCTTTGAAACAATTATTTTGGAGTTCAGACCTTTTCTTTCCCTTATTTGTTCGAGTTCTCTGCTTAAATTTTCAATGTGAGCTTTTAATGCTTGTTCTTCTCTTTCTTTTTGAGCTGTCATTACTTTTATTTTGGCTGTAGCTTTTTGGGATGCAATGTTTATCTCCTTCTGAAGCTTGGATGTTAAGTTTTGCCTTCGTAAATTCACTTCCATTTCAGCAATTTTTTGCATCCTTTCCGCTTCTTCTTCTTCCATCTTCTCAGCGATTGACCTTGCAGCAGTGGCCTCTTTGAACTCATTTGCAAGTAACAATGACCTCTCTCTTTCTCTCATTGACAATAATGCTGGAGATGCTTTGGAAAATTCGCGAAGATTATCTGGATTTTCGTATTTTTCATTGAATTTATCCAATTTTTCGCTATGTTTGTCCCCTAATTTGTCTAATTTCGCCTGTTCCGTATCTTGATAATTCTGAATTTTCTCTTCCCATGATGCAGTGAGGTTGTGGAGCTGGTGGATTGCGTTGTCAAGATGTTTTTCGAGTTCAGCTTCACGTTTTTTATAAGCTTCTGCAGTTGCATTTTCTTTCATACTTTTTTGGAATTCTGACTGCAGGATATTCATTTCCTTGGCCTTCTGGTAGTTTCCATTCATCATTGACTCGAATCCTTTGTGACCAATGTAGACATATAATTCTGACCTTTGTTCTGGATGAGGAAGAGTCTTATGGACAATATATGTATGCATAGCAGCTGCAAGTTCTTCATCCGAATACTTCTTTGCTGCTGGCTGAGTCTGATTTGCTACATAAGGTTTGTCAATTTGAGCAATGAATAAACTGTTGTCATTGTTTTCGGATGTGGCAGTTCCCTGACGTGATCCATGTGGAGGAGAATCTGTAGAACAGTTTTTATCATCTGATTTGTTTTCATTTTCTGAGATTTCGGTAATTTCGTTGCTTGGAGGTTGTTGTTGAGCTTCATCTGGTGAAACTAGGTTCACAATTTCATGTGCTCCTTCGTTAAATTTTTCTGAAATTTTTGTATCTTCGTTTTGATTGTCTTCATGAATGATAGTCTCTTCCATTTGCATTACTTTGAATATATCCTCGTTTTTCTCTTCATTCTTTCCTTCATTTTGATTATTATTTTGATCTTCTGAATTTTCAGGCTTATCTTCTTTCTGAGCTTCTTCTTCATTGTTTTTGTTTTCTGTTTCTTCGTTTTGTAAAGGTTGGAGAAGATTTTGAAGCTGGTCTTTTCCTAAATTCTCAGAATCATTAGTATTTAACGTTTCTGGCTTATTTTCATTGTCTGGCTGATTATCTTGTGATTCATTTTTGTTTTCTTGTAAATTTTCGATTGGAACTTTATTTGAAATTTTTTCTTCGTCCGATTTTTGCTCTGGCTGATCATTTGTTGGCATAATAACGTTTTCTAGTTTCTCTTTTGCCTGCTCAACTGATTCGGCCGTATTTTGTGCTAATTCTGATTTTTCTTCCGGCTTTGGTTCAGTATTTGTAGTTTCACTACCTATAACTAGATTTTCTAGCTTATCATTTACATTTTCGGTTGGTTTGATTTGTTCGTTATTTTCAACAATTTGTTCTTCTTGAGTTTTATCACTTGCCTCAGGTTTCTGTTCATTATTAGTTAGTAATGCTTCGACCTTTTCCTTTACTTCATCCACATTTTGTTTGACCTCGGTTTGATTTTGAGTTAATTCTTTATTTTCTTCTTGCTCTGGCTCTGCTCCAGTACCCACTGATTGAAGCACTTCTTCTGCCTTTTCTTTGAGCTCATTTCCGATATTTAATTCTGAATTTGGTTTAAATTGCTCAGGTTTATCATTGCGTTCATTCACAAGTATGAGCATCCTGTGCTTCATTGTCTCAGGAAGAATTCCGGGGCTGGAGGATTCCTGAGATTCGCCAGTTTGCATACTTCTAATAACGATTAATTTTCTCTCAAAAATAATTTTAAAGTGGAGTCATTCCTTTTATAGATAATATACGGTGTGCATATGATCTGACATTTAATCATTAACTTTTACATGGACATGGAATAATCATGTACAAGAAGTAGATCAGTATTTTATCATAAAATGGATCACGCGTGTGGGCAATTTTAACGACATTTTTTAACGCGATACGAGCGTAAGTCCATAGAATGTGTTTTGAGGGAAACTATAAAAATCCAAAATAGAGGTAAGTGCGCCATTATTACCTGCGAAGTTACATGGAATAAATCGAAGAGTAAGTACAAGATGATCTTGCATCTTTCCAAGTAAATGAAATTTATTAAAATTAAGATGATAATATTCATTTATAGTATGTGTATGATGTTTTTTCAAAATTTCTTCAAATAAAATGCAGAGAGAGGGTCAAAGTTGCTATTTGTCACTTTTCCACAAGTTGCTATAGTTGATCTCATTCACTGAGGTGAGAGACGCATCTAGTGTAATGGGATAAACAATGGGATTGCTGCTCTAAGTCCTAGGTTCGAGACACATTGGCTTCATTTTTCTCTTTTTTATTGACGTAAACTATTCAATTTTTGTGTTCTCCATTCAAATTTCAGAATTTTTTTTGCAGATTTCACGCTACATTCGAAGTTACCTTTTGTAACAACCACCACTGCCTACGAAAGACGAAAGTGTGTCACGATTTCACCCGGAAATCCGACGGTTGTTTAAGAGTAAGCACTTTTGGTCGTATATTAATTTAACTAATATGAATTTGGATTGTGCTTTCCTTATTGATGTAATGATATTTTCACTAATAAAAAATGAAATATACACAAGAAAAAAATTATTCAAAAATTATCATTGCATTTTATTTGAAGAAATTTTGAAAAAACATCATACACATACTATAAATGAATATTATCATCTTAATTTTAATAAATTTCATTTACTTGGAAAGATGCAAGATCATCTTGTACTTACTCTTCGATTTATTCCATGTAACTTCGCAGGTAATAATGGCGCACTTACCTCTATTTTGGATTTTTATAGTTTCCCTCAAAACACATTCTATGGACTTACGCTCGTATCGCGTTAAAAAATGTCGTTAAAATTGAACCGCGCCAATGGATCATGTTTAAAAACACTGAAGAAGAATTGATTTTTTATTCTGAAATTTACAGGGGCTCAGAAAACCTGATGGTAAGACTCAAACCTGACTTATACTATCAAGAATAATGGTTTACGTGACTTATACTATCAAGAATAAACTCTCTATAATAATTCTGTAATAGTTTAATCAGTAATAGCATAATTGTGAATGCTAGAATGTTTTCAGTTAAATCGCAAAGAATAGAGTTATAATTTCTATTCATAACTGTTATATTGCCTTTAGTTTATAATAGCCTTGAGTTGAGCTCCAAAAAATGTGTGTGACCATACTTTATATAATGAAACTATCATCTTATAAGCTGTTAGATTTATTATTAAAGTAATCATCTTGCATTCTTACCTTTGTGAGGACATTTTGTGGTATAATAATGTCCGATAATATAAATATAACTAAATCCACTATATCACTGATAAATTTCATTCAAAATTTTAAAAAAGTTTATATTTGATCTATAATTATGCTGTCAATAATATTTTTAATTGACCAAGCAATACATTCAAATCCAAAAATTTGGCGATCATTTTCGATTCAAATATTTTTGAATAGTTTATTTTGCATCAAAAATAAAAGAATTCAAAGAGTAAAAGATTTTTGATGCTGGATTACAAAATTCAGCAATCCAATCATGATGAAATCGAGAAACTTATAAATCCACAAAAAACTTCTGCTGATAAAGGCCTCCGTGATGGATTTTATCTCGATTCTTTACTAAAAATTCTTTATAATTACTCAGAAAACATCAAAGAGCTAACTACTACCTTGCAAGACATTCAAATATCGATTGCAGGTGCATCCGAAAAAGATTTAGAGGTCGTAAACGACGATGAGTTCATTTTATATCTTTTTCGACTGATAAACGAACATGAAGAATGCGCCTCTCCATCATTACAGATACTGAGTTTCCTTTCAGCGAAGTTCCCCGATAAAAGCCATTTCCTTATTGAAGAAGATAAAATTCAATTGTATTTAGAGATTTTGAACTCAACGAACTACTACGCCATCAAATCCTGCAAGGATCTTGTTGCAACACTCTCTGAATTACATCCAAAACTTTTTTTACAATTTTTTGAATTTTTTATTCCGAAAGATACAGAAGAAGTTATACCATCAGACATCAAATACATCAACAGTATACTCGAGTTACTGCCGCAAGACGACGAAAACGTCATGGAAGACCTTTGGACATTTTTCAAGTCAAAAACAGGAACTGACATCGATTTAAGCATCAACGATGGAGTTATTTATATACTTTCCCGTGCAATACAGCTCAATATGCAGCCAATTATCATAAGATACTTGAATGACCCTGAATATCACCAAAAAAACGTTTTGGCGTCACTTTTTTCCACATTAGCCATGCATATATCTGTTGCATATTCTGTTCTTAACTCTCTTTTGTTTGTTTTACCCGATGACTTTGATTTTGAAAATTTTATTCCTTTTCCACGCGTGCAAGTCAACATTTCGACTGCTAAAAGCGATTTATGTCGGTATATATTGATTTTCTTGAGTCATCTCCTTGAAAGAGCTCCTTTTCTCGCTCATACTTTTTTTATCAAAGACGGATTAGTCTTTAATGTCATTGATTTCATGTCGTATGCACAGTTCAGCATACAAGAAGCTGCTTGCGCGTTGATGTCGAGGTTAATTCAAGTTTCTGATCCTTCATTTTTCGAAAATCTCGATCAAATGAAGATAATCAGCGATTTGATTAATGTTTTGGATGAAAACAGACAAGATCTGACTGAATTCATACTTGTTTCTATTTCTATACTGTTTTTCAGGCTGCCAATTGAGTTATTAAGAGAAAATTTGGATGTTGACATTCTTTTATCACTTTATGATGCTGATTTATCAGAGAAATCGTTATTGATACTTAAAGACATCCTAACTGCGCTTAATCCTTAAAATTATTTTGTTTTTTTGTTATAAAAAAAATATATTTATAAAATATCTTCAAAATTGATTGTAGGAAAAGCATCAATTTCAGATAATCGTAGCCTTTCTTATAGTCAATATACATTGTAACATGGGTGATTTCACCCAGCAATAAGGGGCTCAACTTTTGAGAGTTTTACATGGCATTTGACGACAAATGCCATGTAATTTATTCTCAGTGTATTGAATGTTTTGCGGACAAGTCATATAAAAATGTAATCGGAAATAAATGAATATTCATAATTATCATTATGTGGATTCCATAAATTTACCACTTTACAAATTTTAATGAGTCAGGGAATTGTTCTGAACTACGAATATATTGGCTCACATATCAAAGATTATATTGAAGCGGATAATCTCTTTAGCACATTCGAAGTCGAAGATATCGAATCAATCATGAAATTCGCGAATTTAACACCTGACGAGTTCAATTCTCTTCTTGCGCAATCCCATTCTGTCATTTCAGCACGTGAATTGTATGCCTGCACTCGAAATGCAAATGTTTCAATAAACAACCTACAAGATGCCGTTTCAACACTTAAATCAGTTCAAAAGTACATGAAGATGCGAGTTTTCGAAGGAATTATTGTCTTTTTAGAACAATTGCAAAAGGATCAATCCATTACAACAAATAAAATCGAAAAACTTCAAGCAGATTTAATTCGGATCCAAAAAGAAAAAGAAAACGTTGAGAAAGAGATGCAAACTCTTCACTCTCAACTCAAAGCGAAAGAAGGAAACGATTTACCAAAAGAATTTCTTTCGAAAATTTCGGAACTTAAAAATTCTGAAGATTTCGATCAAATCTACAAATTCTTTGAAGAAATTTCAGAAAAAGGAAATCAAAAAATGATGCAAAAAGCATGTGACGAAGAACTTTGGAAAAAACAAGATGATGATTATGGTACAAATGTACTTCATGAAGCATCTGTTAAAGGAAATCTGAGACTTGTTAAATCTCTCATTGAATATGGCTGTGACAAAGAAATCAACAGCAAATATGGTGGTACAGCTCTAATTTGGGCATCAGATTGGGGTAAACTTGATGTTGTTCAATATCTTATCTCAGTTGGAGCTGATAAAGAAGCAAAGGATAATGATGGAAATACTCCACTCATTGAGGCATCAATTAATGGTCATCTTGAAGTTGTTAAATATCTTATCTCAGTTGGAGCTAATAAAGAAGCAAAGGATAAATATGGATATACTCCGCTCATTTTTGCATCACAAAAAGGTCATCTTGAAGTTGTTAAATATCTTATCTCAGTTGGAGCTAATAAAGAAGCAAAGACTAATGCTGGATATACTTCACTCATTTTGGCATCATCATATGGTCATCTTGAAGTTGTTCAATATCTTATCTCAGTTGGAGCTAATAAAGAAGCAAAGGATAATTATGGACGTACTCCACTCATTTGGGCATCAATAAGTGGTAAACTTGAAGTTGTTCAATATCTTATCTCTGTTGGAGCTAATAAAGAAGCAAAGACTAATGCTGGATATACTCCACTCATTATAGCATCATCTAATGGTCATCTTGAAGTTGTTAAATATCTTATCTCTAATGGAGCTAATAAAGAAGTAAAGGATAATAAAGGAGAAACAGCACTTGATTGTTCGAAAGGAGCAGTAAGAGAATATTTATTATCAATTGCAAGAAAATAATTTGTTGATGTATTTGGTTATTATCTCTCAATCATTGTTACAAAAGATAAAGTTAATATTTTTTCCCTATATATAATATAAGTATTTGTTTCCTTAAAACTGGAGCATACTGAGACTGTAAATTTCTTTATTTTATAGGTGGTTGAGCTGAATCATAGTTGCTCAATTTGAATCATAGCGTGCTCTCAATTTTGTTTGAATCTTTGAAATTTTTATATGTGCTATAATATTTCCTAAATTATTTTCACCTCGAATTTTTTATTTTGTAAAAAAATTGAATTGTGGTAAAAAAGAGTAGTGGCAATTGCTTTTTTTTTTTGAAAAAACTTTTAGAAACTATATGAGTGGAGTAGATCCATTATTACGAGATAGTTGCCAATTGTAGTAATAAATTATTCTACACCAATCATTTCTTTCATTTCTGGCATGACGAGCAGAAAGGAAGCGATCAGTAACCCTAGGAAAAAAGAAGAGGGTGTTACTTTTCGTGCATGTAACTTTTAGCAAAATTAAAAAATTTGTAACCAATTGATTAATCAGAAAAATAGCATCAAATAAAATAATTTTGCTATTTTGACACCGCCAGAAAAGAAAAAAAAATCGAAACGAATTAAAAAATGCTTTCAGGCGGATATTATCAAGGAAGTGGTGATCCACAAGATCCTCAACAGCAACAGCCGCAACCACAAAGTGGAAATCCATTCATGTCACCAGAAGTTTTTAAATATGCCCAAATGTTAACAGGTGGAATTCAATTACCACCTCAATTTCAACAATTAAATACAGATAAGCTTACTCAACAATTCCAGCAAAGTCAGTCCTTAATTCCACCTTATTTTGCAATTACAAGAGCTTCTTTTCTTCATAAAATTAAGAATTTAGCATGTCCATTTATTGTTAAGCAATGGTCTCGCTCTGTACCTGAAGGACAAACATGTTCTCCAATTGATAATCCAAACGCTCCAGAATTATACACACCATTAGTTTTTACGTTTATTTTCATGCTAATCACATCTCTCATAAAAGGAGCTGAGAAGGGCTTTTCAATGGACTTCTTATACATCTGTATTCTTAAATTTATCTGCATCTTGTTCTTCGAGATAGTAATTTGCAAATTATGCTTCTCCAACTTTGGTATACAAGGAACATATCCAATTCTCTCCCTTCTTTCAGACTTTTCATCGATATCATTTTATCTTACAATTATTTCACTATTTTCCTGGAACAGAGCCCTTTTCTACGTATCTTACTTATACTGTGCTGCAGCAGCCTTCCTTTGGACCCTCAGAACCTTAAATAGTGAACAATGCATGGCTCAGCGCCAAACACAGAGTACACAAATAATTACTTACTTCCTGCTTATTTTGGCAGCAATACAAATTATTCTCTTGTACTTGTTGGCTCCAAAATGCTACTAATTGAAAAAAATATTCCAAATTTTGTGTTTATTCGTTGATTATTTTATTTTTTTATTCTTTATATTGTAGGATAATAAATTTATTATTATTGTATCTGATTATTTCTTATTTATTTCCTTAATTTATTAAATAATTTAAGCATCTGGGTGAAAATAATATTACCTTCGACTATTTTATTGTTATTGCTTCATTTCAAATATATGAACTTAAGCAAAATTCATAAATTTTATCGGAAATCTTTGAGAACATAGTTTTCCAAAGGGTATATTACAAAAGTGTGCTTTGTAAAGTTTGTAAAGTGTCAGAATTTAGTATTTTTGACATTGTAAAGTCTGCATTAGTGAGGGTTATTTCACCAACACATATTCACAAAATTACTGAGAAATATGATGTAATATAGACTCAATCCAGCTCTGGAAGATATTTTGAACTCTATATTAGAAGAGTAGAGTTCAAAATATTTAACAGAGCTGGATTGAGTGCACATTAAATTTATTAAAGCCTGTTCCCAAAAGAACAGGCTTTAACAAATCGAAAGTGAGGAACTCCATCACTCCTGATCTTGAGGAAACGGAGTTCTGGAGCTCCTGAAGAGGCAGAATGGCTGCCTTATTCTTCTGATCAGCAGAGGCCCAAATGGTAAAGGGCCTCTGCTGATACAGATTCAGGAGCTCCATTTCGTAGGGATTAGGAGCTCTGGAGCTCCTGAAGAGGCAGAATGGCTGCCTTATTCTTCTGATCAGCAGAGGCCCAAATGGTAAAGGGCCTCTGCTGATACAGATTCAGGAGCTCCGGAGATCCATTTCGTAGGGATTAGGAGCTCTGGAGCTCCTGAAGAGGCAGAATGGCTGCCTTATTCTTCTGATCAGCAGAGGCCCAAATGGTAAAGGGCCTCTGCTGATACAGATTCAGGAGCTCCGGAGATCCATTTCGTAGGGATTAGGAGCTCTGGAGCTCCTGAAGAGGCAGAATGGCTGCCTTATTCTTCTGATCAGCAGAGGCCCAAATGGTAAAGGGCCTCTGCTGATACAGATTCAGGAGCTCCGGAGATCCATTTCGTAGGATTGGAAGCTGAGGAGCTCCTGTAAGGGAATAAGGTCTCTCACACAACCATTAAAATTTTTTTGAAACACGTCCCCTGCAATTGCACTGGATGTCAAAAAAACTACTTTACAAAATGGTGGCAATTTGGCCGCACAATTTTGTAGTCTTCCCGTTTTCCAAATGTATAACATTACATTTTTTTCTTCTAATGAATTTAAATGATATCCTATATGGTAAAATGCAATTCACTGATCAAGACATTCACCCAAATAAATTCAGTGAATTGTGAAGTATTTTCAAATCCTACATTGATTCATACAATGCAATTTATCAGCTAAAAACCCAAAATGAAGAAGAATTAAATAAAATTTACAAAATGATCGAAACAGAATTGATTCAAAGAAATATCTACCTACAAGTGTTATAAATGACATTTTAAATATTATTCCATATAATAATCGCTATACAAAGTCGTATTTATTTCTTGCCAAACTCATATCTGATGATTATCATATCACAGAGGCAAGCAGTATTCCAACTATTCCAAATTTCCTGTTTTATAAAGAATATGGAATTAAGTTAAACAAATCTGATGATTTCAAAGAAATTCATTTTATAAATATCGATATTCATGCAGAAAATACAATTTACAGAGCAATTATGTATAATAACCTAGAAACATTCATCTCGTTCACTGAAAGAGAAGGATTTGATAAAGAGCAAACACTTGAAAGCACATTATATCCATATCAACTTTTTATTGAAGGATATTCATTACTTGAATTATGTTGTTACCATGGAGCAGTTGATTGTTTCAAGTTTTTAAGAACGAAATTCAATTCAGAAATAACTCAAAAATGTCTAAATTTATCATTTTTAGGAGGAAATCAAGAGATCATGAGTGAATGTTTGAAATATCAGGAACCAAATAAAGAATCCATGGAATATGCGATTGTTTCACACAACATTGATTTTGTTACATTCTTGATGAATGAGTACAATTTAGAGATCAAATTATCTTATTGTGGTATAATAATCTTGAATCATTTTTAGTTTATTTCGATCAAACTAATGATATAGGGTGTCCAAAGGTGCGTTTAGCACAGCGCTCTATATGAGACTATTAAAGGAGATATATGCTGATTATAAATATATAATAAAAAATATGAATATATGTATATGATGAGTATGTTGTATTTTGGCGCCATGCCGGGATATAAAATGAATTTTGAGACAAGAGGCGGTTTCGCGGGAAATTTTGGCGGGATTTTTTTCATTTTTTTAATGAATCATAAAGAAAACATCCTCGCTCTTGCAAAAAAATGCAAAGACTGTAAAAAAATCTACGAGACATTGGTAAAGTGCTTCGGTATGGATGCTCCTAGCTATTCCACTGTAACGTATCATGTTAGGATGTATCACTTCATGAACAAAAAGGCGCCCATCATAAAAATTGACAAAAAATCGCCGGATCAAAGAAAAATCAAAGCAATTCTTCAAGCGCTAGATGAAGACCCAAGAGCATCACTCAGAAGGATAGAGGAGATGACAAAGATACCACGTACAACAGTCAGTTATTATCTGCACAATTATTTGAACTACAAACTAGCGTATACACGTTGGGTTCCGCACAACCTTAATTCAGTTCAAAAAAAATCTAGAGTCCAATCTTCGAAAGAGCTCCTCTCTATATTGGGTGCGTATCAATCCAAGAAGTTTCGCTTTTTAGTAACAGGGGACGAGTCTTGGTTTCAATATGCAACAGAAGCCAAAATCATGTGGATCCCGAAGGATGAAAATCCGCAAACATTCCCGAAGAAAAAAATTGACACACCAATGATGATGTTGTCGGTTTTTTGGGGCGTGAATGGCATCATCGCAATTGATATTCTTCAAAAACCTAATACGATGAATGCTCAGTATCTAATTGACAATGTTCTTACTCAAATTATCAATTCTGATGAGTTTGAGAAATCCAAACAACAAAAACAAAAGTTTGCAATTCATTTTGATAATTCAAGAGTTCACAAAAGTCATAAGGTAATGAATTACTTGGTGGAAAACAATGTCAAAGTTGTTCCAAACCCAATTTATTCACCTGATATTGCACCCTCTGACTTTTATTTATTCGGCACGCTAAAAAAGAGAGCTGAAGGACGCGAATTCGCGAGTCCAGATGATCTTGAAAATTTTGTAAGAGAGCAATTTGAGCAATTTTCTCATGATGATTTAAAGCGTGTCTTTCAAGCCTGGATCGATCGCTGCGAACGCGTGATTGAATCCAATGGTGATTATATTTAAATAAACTTTATATATATGTAACTTGTTTATTTCTATTCGCAGTATTCAGGTTTGTGCTAAACACACCTTTGGACACCCTATATTAACAAATGTTTTATTAATTCAGTGAACTTTAACTTTCCACCCCTTTTGGAATATTTCATTTCACTTGGTGCAAATATCAATGAAAAAGATAAAAATGGAAACACAGCACTTCATAATGTAGTAGCATGGAATTATGATGAAATGGCAGAAGTTCTTATTTCACATGGTGCAAATATCAATGAAAAAATAAATATGGAGAAACTGCACTTCATATTGCAGCTAAAATTATAGTAAAGAAACTGTTAAATTTCTTATTTCACATGGTGCAAATATCAATGAAAAAATAAATATGGAGAAACTGCACTTCATATTGCAGCTAAAAATTATAGTAAAGAAACTGTTAAATTTCTTATTTCACATGGTGCGAATATCAATGAAAAAGATGAAGATGGAGAAACCGCACTTCATAATGTAGTAGTATGGAATAGTAAAGAAATGGCCGAAATTCTTATTTTACATGGTGCAAATATCCACGAAAAAAAAAAATAAATATGGAGAAAACACACTTCATATTGGAGCGGCATGCTGCGAAAGAATATTCTTTTTCTGATATTGAGTCTAAATTATTTCGATAAGATTTTTAAAATAATGTTTTAAAAATACTTTTCTTCAATTGGCAATCTTGTTTCAATATAATAAATAATTTACAGAGAATTCTAACTAGCTTATGCATATGATCGGAGGATTTGATCATTCAAGACTAGTTAAGTCCTTTTAGTATTATGTACAATTTGACTAATTTGAGTCTCAGAATTTGAAAAAATTCGAGTTGAACTAAACTTGAAATCATATTCTTTGTGTGTAAACCTTTCAATTACCTCGAATTTTGAGATTAAAGTTTACTTCTTTGAATTTTTGGATTCAATTCTTTGAAAATTTTAAATTAATAATTAATGATGTACTTTACTTTTTATGAGCATTCTAAATTAATGCCTGGAAAATTTAGTTATTTGGTACAACCCAATTTATGAAGACCAAATAGATATCATGTTAAATTTTTCCTAGTTATTCTATGTTTCGCTGTTGACTTCTTTAATTCCGATCTACAACAGAAAGGATCAATCAAAATTCATAACGTAGATATATGTTCCAAAAATTAATGACTTTTCACATGGTTTGGTAAAAACATATAAATAAAAATAACAAACATTTATTTTATACAAACAAATATTAAATTATTTCGAAAATCTGTATCAATTTTCTTCTGTATCTTCAGATTGCTCGTTGTCTGTAGCTTTTTGGAGTCCAGCAAGTAGTTCTGTAACTTCCATTTCTTCAGCTGCTTCTGAGTCAATTGAAATAATTTGTTTCAAAAATTCGACAACAGCAGGTAATCTTGTACTATCTGGTATCAAAGGCACTGTTTCTATACTGATTTTCATGGCTTCAATATCATGGTCGTTGTAATTAATTGGTTTTGTGATATTTTCTGGAGAAAATCCTGGAACAGCGCTGGCCAAGTACTTAAATATGTCCTCTTTATGAAGGAATGGCCCGAGACATTTAATGACATATAAGGGCTCGATTGGCCTTGGAGCGCAGCCAGAGTAAGACGTCATGAGTATATCCATTAGTTCTTCACCAAGGAGTGATAGGGCTTCTTCAGGATAAAGAGCAAGAAATGCGAAAATTATATTTTCCATTTCTTCGAAGAAATCAAAGGCACTGCCATCATCTTCTAATTCATCAACTTTTTCGTTGATGATTCCGGCAATGTTTGACATGATTTCCTGGTGTAACTCGGAATCTTGAGGAGATAAAAAGAGAATTGCAGCTGCCATGTTGGAAAATGACTCTACATAAGATTCATTTTGACTCATCATGGCAGAAATGATCTGAAATAGCTGATGGAAGAATTCCATTTGAGATAATGCAGATTCTGGATCCAAAACAGCAAGATTATTGAGCATAATTGAAAACTTACTCATCTGGTCTACACTTAGTTTCTGTTCTCCAAGCTTATTTGCAATTACTTGAACTAATGACCAAAATTCTTGACAAGATTTGGAAGAAAGACCAATAATTTGGCAAGATAAGTCTAGTGCTGGCTCAAGTGTAGCATCATTATCAAAGAAATCAACATTCTCAAAGAGCTGTGCAGCAGAAACAGCCAAAATTTCATTTAATGCTTCAGGAACAGCCTTCATTGAATCGATTAGGTTCATAACAGGGTTAAAGATTAGCTCCATTTTACCAGCATCCTCTTTTTTAGTGTTCAAAAGCATTCCTTTCGCGTTATTGAAGTAATCCAAAACAATTTCAGTGGCGACAGGGCTAATTGCAGTCAAAAATCCTGGCATTCTGATACATGCTGTGATAATTCTCATGAAAGCGATATCATTAAACTCAGAGCTTATTGCCATAACCATAGAAATGAACTGAGAAGTATCGAAATCGACCATTCCTTCGAACTCAGCTGTTGTTCCTGGTTCTCGAGCAATAGAATCGAGCAAATTAATAAGGGAATAGCATGAGAAATATTGTAAAATCAAATTATCTTGATCGCATTGGAGAATTACTTCATGAATTAGTTCAATAGGAAAACCTGCTGGAAGAGGTTTCAAATCATCTATTGATCCTAATAATAAAATAAAACCGCACCTTGGCAAAAGTGAATCTTCATTCAATAAAACCGCCGTGTCCCTCAGAAATTCAATAGCCTTTTCCGAAAATTCGATTGTTTTATACAATTTCGCCCATGCCGCTGAGCAGAAGTGGAGTGCGGAGTAAAGAGCGCATGGATCTTTATTAGCTGCGTAATTTTCAACGGCTGTTTGCGCATAAGGAATAATATATGGCAAAATTAGTGGGTGAAGAATGGTAATACACCAATAAGCCCTACTGTATTGATCTTTTAGATCACCTCCTGCATATATATTTTCGATACAAAACTGATTTGGATCAGATTCTATTTTTGATTGAGCTTCTTCTGATAAAGCAAACAAAGGAATGAGAATATTCTCGAGAATATATTTAATATTTTCTTCTTCTTGTATAAAACTATCCCAAATACTTGATTTCACCTGTAATAATTGAATGAATTTGTAATTTACGGAAGAGTCATTTAATTCGTGTGTGGTAAGTACAATCTTTTCGAACAAGGCCTTGAAATTAGGATAATTTGGCTCTTGAGCGAAATATAAAAATCTATAAACAAAGAAAATAAAGTGTCCGACAAATTTTGAATAGTATTCAGATTCCTTGTTTTGTAATAGTGCAATAAGATAATCAAAAGCTGTTGAAATCGTGTCATAAACTGAATTTTCAATTTCATTGTTTAATAAATACCTGATTGAATCGATAAGGTTACCAATAAAGTATAAGTCGTTTGTATTCTGAATAACTTGAAAGATAACTTCAAGAGAATTAGCCAATAAAAAGTTTTTCTTTTCTGCATCGTCTTGAGTTGCTTTAGTGAAGTACTTAAAGAGAATTGACGCTGGTTGCATAATATGAGGATTCTGAAGAAAATCTAAAAACTGAAGATGAATATTATTTGATTGGATCATGTTTATATAGAATTTATTGGATAGAACATAAGAAAACTTCCTAAAATAGTTGTATAAAGCAGGTTCAACTTGGAATAATAATTGTGGAAATTGAGAAATGATTAAATCAATTGATTCTGGTGGTATTTTGTCATGTTCTTTATCGCATTTTACGCATAAAAATGATGCTGCTGATGTTCTAACGCTTATGCTTAATTCTTTGTTTAATATTATAGAAAATAGGATATTAATAAAATCTTGACTCATTCCGAAGTTATTAAGTGCTTCATTGGCACCATCGATCTCTTCTTGTGACTTTGCTTGGAAAGTTACACTTAGTAAATTAACTATTTCATCCATTTTTTTTTCTTTTGACAAAAAAAAAATATATCATTAGTCAACGATATCAACAATTGATAATCCCTTATTCGGATTGGATGAATTGATGTGTCTCATTTAGTATCCTCTAATTTCTAATCACGGAAATCTTTACTATAAATTAAGACATCTCATACAATAAAGTCGCATGGCTTAGTTTTGCTTGTAGAACATACTTAGACATATACATCTATTTATAATTTGAGCATTAATTCATCTTCAAATGAATGTGAATAAATTTTATAAATTTATTTAACAAATACAAACAATACATGATTAATTAGCGGATCCTATTATAATAGGAAATTGCGGATCCGATGAGTTTTTCACTATTGATACAATATCTTTCATAGACTTAATAATTGGAAGACTATCATCAACATCATACCACATATTATTTCTTAGTAACTTTATGGACATATCTCCATGCATAACGAATTTTCCTTGAGTATGATGCCATATTAAAATCGGAACTTGTGCCTGAGCCTTTTTAACAATATCAATTGCAAAATTAACTCTGGTTAAATACTTTTTTGGTAAGTTTTGCATTTCGAAATGCTTCAAAATATTACCATCTCTTTGAACAACCAAAACTGATACATCAGGTAGAATTTTAAGGATCTCATCTCTTCCATCAAGATCTAAAATAAGTTCTCCTGTGGATTTTGCTGTAACAGTTCCTTTAGAGAATGGGCAGATTAAATCTTTCTTTAATGCTGGATTCTTAAAATTGATTTCTGGTTGTGGATTAAAGAATTGATGCTCTAGCACTTTATCAATAGATGGACGAGTTTTTGGTTCAATTGATAAACATTGATTAATTAAATCTGCTGCAACAGGATCTACAAATGAAGGAATGGAATAATCTGCAGACATCGACTTTTGAGCCATTTCATACTGGCTGTCGGCTTCAAAAGGAAATCTTCCAACTAATAATGTGTACAAAATGACACCAAAACTCCAAATATCGCATGCACGTGAAACAGCACGCTGTTTAAGAACTTCTGGAGCAATGTAATGAAGAGTTCCGCACATATCCTTCTTGGTCGGATTAACATCTTTTAATGATGTTGATAATCCAAAATCGCATAGTTTGATATGATTATTTTTATCAAATAGCATGTTCCCTGGCTTAATATCGTGGTGAATAAAAGCTTTATTATGCATATATTGGATTGCTTTTCCTAAATCGTTTAAAATGGATCTAGCTTCATCAAGTGAGAATATTTGATGATTTCTATACTTTTCGCTGTCATATAGTGATCCATTCGGGCAATATTCCATAACAATGTAAGTATAGGATTCATCTGTGTAAGTACCGTAGAACTTAACGATATTTGGATGATTTAATGAACTATGTATATCAATTTCTTTGTTAAGGCGTGCTTGAGATGTATTTTGAATTTCTACTTGTTTAATGCATACATACTGTCTATTTACTTTGTCAAATGCTTTGAACACTGCTCCAAAACTTCCTCGACCGATTTCGCTTTCAATTCTGTAGTTCTCTTTGTGGAGAGAGCGCAAATTCAACATTTTCGATTTTTTAAACGTGCACCAAAATCTCTCAAAAAAAGTTCATGAATTTTTTTACAACCATTGTTTGTACTTGAATAATATTATCCGAAAATAAATGGAACGCATAATTAAATTCAGTTTTCGATGAATTCTTCCAATTTGAAATGTTCAAAATATAGGAAGTCATCAAAACCAACAAATTTGATAGATCAACTAACAAGTGTTAACATTCCTGATCTAATCAACAACAATGATGATGAAGTCACAACAAACAATTTTCAAACAATCTTAAATAAAGCTCATAGCAATTCATTAGAAGAAAAAATCGAAGCTCTTCAGTGGATCTTTGATAGTTTCGCTCAAATAGCTAATATGTTCCCAATAGAATTCGTATTAAATTTATTAACAGATTACCAAAGTGATTCTGCTGAAATTCAGCATCTTGCATCTGAATTAATACAGTTATTTTGTCGTTCTAAGAAATGGACTCTTTATTTAATTCAAAATGGAATAATCCAAATTCTTCAAAATACATTTCCAAGAGAAGACACAATTAAATTATGCTGCAAAATAGTACTAAGTCAAGAAGGGAGAAGGAATTTAATCACTTCTCACTTTTTAAATGCATTTAATACTTTATTCACAGAAGATATTACATCTAATACAATTGTTTCTGTAGCTGTATTTATTACGAACTGTTTAGGCTCAAGTTTTGTATTTCCAGAATATTATGAAGAGTTATTTTCAGTAATGAATAATTTACTTCCTTTTATGGATAAAATTCATCCGCCAGAGTTTGTACAGTTTATCTCTCATGCATGGAATAACTTTGTTTGGGCAAATGGTGAATTCGTCAAGTTTTTTGTTAGAAATGATTATATTGACATTTTTATTCAATATATTCAAGCAAATTTATCTCAAAACCAAGATCTCTTCAACATATCATCGGATACCCTTGATATTATTGAAGGAATTCTTCTTTTTGATCACAATTTTATTGAATATTTTATGAATCATTCAATTTTAGATGTAATCACTATGATTTTCAATAATTTCACAAAAGAAGAAAGATCTAATCATTATTCCTTGATTTCTTTGTTAATAAGCATAAATGAAGAATTAGCAATGTATTTCATTTCACAAGACTTCCATAAACTTGTAATTGAAGATGGAAAGTTTTCTGTTCGTCAAATCTCGTCAAGATTGACTTTAGCAATAGATTTCTTGAATAATTGCGAAAGTCATAAAGATATTCTATTAACATTAAGGGATATTGGCTTTTACGAGTTCATTGTTTCAAATATCTCAATTCTTGGTGAAAAAGACTTTAAATATGCTTTGAACGCATTATTAACCATTTCTAGGCTTCCTCAGGATGATATTTACTTTGCAAAGCTAAAAGACATGTCAGAGAACTCCGAATTAATGCAATGGATTGAAGAATTAAGGCTTTCTGATTCACTTGAAGTCGAATCTTTGGCACAGATTCTAGATCAAATCATTGCTTCAGCAAACAGTAATAACAATGATCTATAGAGTATATTTAATGGTCTCATTCTTTGTATATTAAACGAATATTATATTTTTTGAGAAATCAATAATATTTTATAATTTTTGTTATTTTAAGAGATCACAGCAACAAAACTTAAGATATATAAACTGTTTTAAGGAGATTTATAGGTTAATATAACAATAATAAGTCTCATAATTGAGATAAAATTCATTTCAAATACATATTATTGAAAAATAAAGTCAATTCCACTAAAATCTAGTGACATAAAAGCAGAATAACCTTGTAAATAAAGGACTAGCCAGAAAAACTGTTGGATCTTCAGAAATAGATGGGTTTATGATTTCAAAGTTGTCACTTTTTCAAAAATATGAGTAGTCTGACTGCTCAGCAAACATCGAACGATGGCAGTGCTAAGGCATTCATTATTACTCAGGCGGCATCTAGATTTGAAAATATTGCACTTCAATACTTGAAATTGCAAGAACCAGATACTTCTGAAGAAACCATTCAGAGTAACGAAATTAAGAACAAATTGTCTTCATACAAAGAACTTATTCAAGCAGCTAATAACGAAATGGAACATAAAATGCATTTACTCGAAATTCAAAAAAGATTCGAAATACAGCGCGCAGATGAAGAATTTGAAGAATTTCTCGATTATATTGATCAGAGTAATTAAAATGTTTTTATTTGTTTAAATTCTAATATTAATAAAATTGGATATTGAAAAATATTAATCTTAATTTACTTTTTATTTAGCATAATTTTCATTTCAATGTATTATTTTCCATGAAATATGTTGATTTGATTACAAAATAATTGATTTAATCTAATATTATTTAATCATTCTTGAAATTATTTTCTATTTTTTAGACGATTCTGCATGAAGATGGTCTTACTCCTTATAGACATTTAGGAATCTCATGAATTATGAGTTATATATTGCTTATCTTTTTGAATCCAAAACAAAATAGAAAGCTACCTATTCACTTAGCATGAATATCATAAAAATCATTTATTTATCATAGATAATGAGCTATCGTAGTGTAATTTGTAATCTATATGTTCATTTTCCTCAAATTTATTTTAACTAAATAAAAATTTACTATGTTGCATATGAAAATTGATATAAATTCTTGCAAAACATAGTAAATTTAATTAAATTATAAGATTTGAAAAAAAATGAAATTATATTAAACTTAAAGTTGATATCAATGACCAATAGCTTAAAACTTCTCAAATATTCCCAAGATCTATTAGAAACATGAAGATAAAAAAAATAATAATTATATTTTTTTAGATTTAGGAATTACATATGTTTTATAAAGGTATGAAGTAATCAAAAAGGTAAATAATTCTAAATTTAGTTAAACTTTTATAGACAATAAATATAATTACTGGAAGATGATAAATTGTTGGCCGCCACCACCCTGTTGGCCACCATTCATTACAAACTGGAATCCTCCACCTCCCTGAGACATTGCTCTGAGGATTTCCTCTATTCCTCCGCCCATTGGTCCACCCATATTTCCGCCCATCATGTTTTCAGCGCCAGGGACATATTGTTCCATGTCACCTCCGTTATCGTAGTACTTCCTCTTTCCTGGGTCCATGAGTAGTTCGTAAGCGTAGTTTATTTCCTTCATTTTGGCTTCTGCGTCTGCTTTCTGCTTCTTGTCTGGGAATTGGTCTGGATGCCATTTGCGGACGAGTCTCCTGTATGTGTCCTTGATCTGATTTGGAGTGGCCGATCTGTCTACGCCGATAATTGCGTAATAATCTACAGTATTTGCCTTCTTTTTCTCTTCCTGGGCTTGGAGGAGAGCCTTGCGAACGGCACCATCATGGGGACGTAATCGCTGGACTCGTGTAAGGTCGAAAATGGCGGCATCGTATTCTTTCATTTTGAGAAGAAGATTTGCGCGGAAAAGAATGTAATCTGCGTTTTCTTGATCGACTTCTATGGCCTTGTTAAGAAGCTCGATAGCATCGTCCTTCTTGTCTTGCTTAATAAGCAATTTTCCACGAATGAAATTATATTTTGCCATAATTCCGGCATTTGATGTGCAAATCTGGCTGGAAATGTTGTAGAATTCATCGAGAAGGTTTGTCGCATTGTCGTATTGCTGTCTGTCGATGTTCTTTTGGACATCTGTTAAATATGTGTTAACTTTCGATGCAATCTGTGTGTAAGTGGAAATATTTTCAGGGGGATTCTCCATGTTCTTTGCCTTGTTAAGGTATCTCTTTCCATCGGCGAATTTTCCATTGCATATCATGGAAACACCGTATTTGAAGTATAAATCTGTATCATCTTGATACTGGTTAACGAGCTTCTTGGCTTTCTCTTCGTAAACTTTGCTCTGGCCAAGTCTCCATGCAATATCAAGGCGGCGATAGATCAATGAAGTTGCATGAGAACAAGCTGTGAGGATTCTGTCCAAAATTTTAGCGCATTCGAGGTACTTGCCCTCTTCGTAGAGTTCGTCTGACTGTTTGATGACTTTAGCCATTTCAGTTGTCTGAGTAATGAGATTTGAATCATCTGCTTGAAGGGCGTACCTGTGAGCTTCCTCTGAATTTCCGAGCTGAATGTGTGCAGTAGCGGCAAGCATGTTAATGTTTTTCATTTCGGTGCTATCAGGATCATGGTCGAAGGCTTGTTCGAGGTCATCGAGAGCATCTTCTGGATTACCAAGATTAAGATTGGCTTCGGCTCTCAAACGAAGTATTAATGGATCGTTTCCTTTGCCTTGTTCATCAATCATTTGATTTAAAATTTCTCTCTCTTGTTCCCATTGACCAAAAGCTCTGAGTTGCTGGACCATCATGAGTGGATCATTCTGACCTCCAAACATATAGTTGAAACAAACGAGAAATAGGAGAAACATTCTCGTTCTGGTTAAGTCTGACGATTATTTTTAGTTCAATTTTTGAGAATTTGAAAAATTGTGGCCAAACAAACTTGTCATCAAATCAAGTTGGCAGAACAATATATATCATTATTTTGTCTTTAACCTTCTTTTTTTCGGAAAAAAATTTTCATGGAGTTCAAAAAATCACATCTCACTTTCTGACATGCTATGGAAAAATCAACAGATCTTTATTTTAATAGCAGAAAAGTATAGCAGTCAAATTAGGTACTATATAGTAATTTATATTTACTTTCTCCTGACCAAAAATATTAACTATTACCTACCTTCAACTTTTTGAGAGAAGTCATACAATTAATTATATGAGTTTCTCTCAAAAAGTCGATTTCTGCCAGGTACGCCTTTTGGACCGAACAAGCTATTTGCTCTAATTCGATATAACAACAAAGGATCATAAAACAGATATAAATATAGGATGAACTGATACGATTTTTTCGGGTCTAACTTCAAAATTTAAGATTTCGAAATTTAATTCAAGCTTCAAACCAGAAATTTAAGCATAAATAGAAGCTGGTGTGCTACCTATTGCACGTGAAGCTTATTTGAGCTCTAATATTTAATAATTTTCCCTCACTCTCAGTGAAGGCACTATTAGCATTAGAAATGTAAACTATTCAAAAATTGATAGGTCCGCCTTTTGATTAGCAGTTTAGTTTAATTGTGTGTCAAAAAATTGAGAGAATGTCAGAAAGTGGTAAGTGCACCCTTAAAAATCTCTTCTTTTTGAAACAGAAAGAAATTGGGAAAAAATAAAAGTAGGAGAAAACAGCTCCTTAATTAATTGGTGGGAAGGAAAAAATTCTAAAGAAACAACTTAAAAATTGTTTGCAATTTGGACGGAGCTTGCCTCCGTCCAAATTGCAAACAATTTCTTTAATCGTTTGCAAATTCTAATTTTCATGAACGTTAAAAGTTCTGAAAATTTGAATGCTTGCAAACGATTTTAGCATTGTACCCATGGTGTAAATGTGATTGGATAAATGGCCATGGAAGAATTGCTTTTCATCTTGCAGCATTGAAAAATCGAAATTCCTATTTCACATGGAAAATGATGTATACAAACGAAGGAGTTATGTTTACAAATTGTAAACTGTGAGTCGGAATTTTACCATAGGAGTTTAATCGTAAGCTTTATGATCGATTTTAATTCCAATATGTTCGTTTCCAATAGGATTCTGATTAGAACGCTTTTGTTTTCATACGTTAATGTCACTTTTCATCAAATTCTTGATCAATATGGTACTACATAATAAAAGTATTAAATATTTTCATTTATTTTGAGATAAAATGAATTTGATAGAGTTATAAAGCTTAGAAGTTTTGAGAGGCTTTTTGAAGGGTTTGTTTGATTAATTAATAAACTTTTCTTTCAGAATTACAATAACCTAATGAATACATGCATGTTTTATCATTTCCTCACAAAAAATAAACAAAAATTCTTCTTCATTTCATTCAAAATTATTTGGAGTGGTAAACTCATAAATGTGCTTTTTCTTGTTTTCCACGTGTTACATTTGTCCAGAAGGAGCTTATGAAATCGAATCTGGTACCCAAACCATTGAGGTAAGTGCTTTTGAATCGTGTGCCACCCTAACAAGTATTACAATTCCTGATAGTGTCACATCAATTGGAAACAATGCGTTTGCAAGTTGTACTGGTCTTACAACTGTTATAATTTTATCTGAGAGCATTCAATTCGGATCGCAAGTATTTCATAGTTGCACTAGTCTTACAAGTGTATCACTTCCTTCAAAAGTCACCGCACTTCCTAATAATTTATTTTTTGGATGTCAAAGTCTCAAAAATATATTCATCCCTCCCACAGTTACACGCTTTGGAGATAATCTATTTGGTAGATGTTCTAGTCTTGAAAGCATAACGATCCCACCAAAACTTGAATATATTGCGTGGCAAGCTTTTGATGGTTGCATTAATCTCAAAACTGTCATAATTCAATCCACTGTGAAACCAACTGTCTCGTTTCCTTTTGGCACTTCTCAGGGCTTCGTCACTGAACTAATATTTGAAAGTGAAGTATTTACATTTTCTGATAATAGTCAATTATATTCATGTGTTAAATCAATAAAATTCAATCTTTCGCACGTTGACTCGTCCAAAAAACTTTATGAAGTCACATCTTTACCTTCTTTAGAAGGCTTTACAGTACTAGAGAATATTGACATCATTAATATTAATAGTTTGAAAATACCTGAAAATTTTATAGGAGCACAAGATGTTAATATAACGATTTATTGTGATGTCAGTGAAATAAGCGAATCAGCATTTTCACGTGGTTCCATTGGAATCTTCTATTACAAAGGAACATCTTTTATTGAAGGAGGAAATTTCATCAAAAATTCAATAAATAATATTCGTGAATATTACATCACAGAACTATATACATTCGAAACTATAGGCGGAAGTCCTGTAGCAGGACATATATATGCACCAAAAGCAACACCAGAACCTACACTTACACCAATGCTATCACCAGAGCCGACATGGAATGGAAGATGGTTAGATCCTCCAGGAGAAATTATTCGTGAAAACGATGTCCCAGAAATAAGAGAAACACATCCTCCTTTACAAACAAAGTACTTAAAGACAAATGTTCCAAAAAAGACTGCTATAGTTAATATATCGACAGGAACAATCCTGATTGTTATTATTTTGCTCTATTCTGCATTCAGTTTTATGCGACAATGTAAATTTGTGAGCAGACTTATTCATGCAGATGAAATGGAAGAAAAAACGATGAATTATCATTTTCATCAAGTGATGGATCAATATATGTAAGTAATGAAGAATAGAGATGTATAAAAACTATTCATTGTTAGTTTATTCATGTTTAAAATGTAAAAAATTATGTTTATTCTATAATTATTAATTGAAGCCTCGATGGTAACACATCAAAAGATTTTCTAGCTTGGGAAGCTCAAATTATCTATGTAAAGTTCTAAAATCATTTCTTTTTGACGAAAATTTATTCAAAAATTTGGTAATATGCATTTATTTTCGAGAATGTGCTTATCATCGGAATACAAACAATAAATGAATAGGAATATGGATCAGAGAAAAGAACAATTAAAATATCTTGCAATAACTGTACATTAAAGCTTGTAAATTAAAAAATCGATTATCCATTAAAATGTAAGTTATAAGAACTAATTAATATGATAAAATGATTGATTGGATATGAAATGAAAAAAATACGCTAAGATAAGCAAGCCTTAAAGGTATTTAGATTAGTACGTTGAATTTGATATTATTTGCACTTATTTCGGCATCAGAGCAAAAAAATTGGCAGAATTGACAACAAAAATGTTCAAAATGAATCAGATTACAAGAAAAATCGACACGCAAATTTATGCGAAGAATAATGGGCAACATAATTCAAAACCCCCTTCCTGATCTGAATTGTGGATAAAAAAAATATCAAAATAAAATTTTTATGAATCCGGATCTAGAGAATTGGATTCCGGATTCCATACCTACAAAAGTCGAATCCCTAATTTCGAAAGGTGATGAAGGGATGCTAAGGTTCTTAAAACTATGTAGAGTTAATCAAATTTTAAATTCTTTATATTTTTGCAAAAATTTATCGCCTACAATTGATGTAAATACATTCTTTAAGGTAGCAGGTAACCAGATAGTCGATGCAATGGATGTTTATTCTCCAATGCAAGTCAATGCCGTAAGTTATTTGATAAATTCAATTTATGACGATCCTACAGCATTTGCAATTGTAATGGGCGGATTATCAGACTCACCACATTTCAACTATTTGGCAAATATACTTGTACCAGCAATATTCAACTATTTTTCCACAGAAGAAAGTTTAGAACAAGCAACAACATTTTACATCGCATTAGGAAACCAGCTTAAGTTCGACAAGTATTTATCATTCACTTCACCGCTATTTGCTTCGACTTTGGCCTTTCCTTTCACAGAAATTGCAATAAAACCAATTTTTTTGCAAATACAAGAAAAAAACTATCCACTTGAACTCACTATCGTTAAAATACTTATTAGCGTCTCTACAAATCTTGCTTATTTACCACAAGGAATGTTATACGTTCTTGACTTTGTTTATCAGCATTATGGAGCTGATTGTGCATATATATTTGTAATTAAAGCTATTGTATACCCCCATCTTGCGATAATCCTTAAAACTACAGAACAAATGCATTCCGATAGTAAACCATGCAATCCTCAAGAAATTCTTTCAGAAATAGCATCATGCAAGAAACAATGGCAAAGGTACTTCGATTTTAACCCTAAAAATTCGAGATTACAGCCATTACAAAGATTATTCGTTTTAGAGCAACGAAGAAGGATCAGTTTTATCTTTTCTCCATTCGACATATACCTTATGACACAACTACCCATTGATTACAACGCTATGGCCACTCCTTTGATGAATGATCAGCTTCCATCGAACCACGACACTCCATTTCAGGTCCAGGTGACGTTAGGAACGAACCACAAGAGGCAGAACGGTGTTATTTCGGATGATCCTAAATCAGAAAAAGAAATTTTCTTGGAAACTTATTTGGATTTGAGGGTTTCTTTAGGACAGATCACTAATTTCATTGATATAGCTCTTAAATATCAAGTTCGATTATCGTTTTGTACAGGATTTACCTCAAGACCTCAAGTTGAACTTCAATTTGTAAAACCAGTGTGGTTAGACTCATTTACAGCATCACATCTTGGATCTACAAGGTTCTGGAGAGCTATAAGTGCTATTGATCAGATAGAAACCCATCTTTTGGCGACAATTAAAAGAAAATTATATTTAATTGAGACTCAGTTGACTTCTGACATATTAATCCTCAAAATGGACTTCAAGGAGACGAAGTACTTGAGCGACGAGCATTATAGAAACGCAATTACTGATATTTCCTACACTTTAGATCTTGTTAACGTCAAAGCTAAGTTTAGTGACAGATTTATTGTTCTTGTGTCATTCATTACCAAGTTCTTTAATTTCTGCGCGAATGTAAATGATATGAACGATATAAATATCCTCAAACTTTGTTTTGTCATTTATGACCCAATTTGGATATTCAGAACATGCGCAATTATAATAGGATTCGCACTCCGCGAAACGAAATTCTGTATCTGTTGTCCAAAAGACATTTACGACATGTTGATGAAGTTTACTCCAATGCTGATCCAGGTTTTGACACTAAATCCATCAACAGCTGATCAGTTTACTGAACTCTTGACTACCCCTTTATTATAATTCTGTTTGTGTTTTATAAATTATATTTTTCTTTCCGTAATAATGCATTTTTTTAAGATGTTTAAATCAGAAATGTCATAGGTTAAAAACTATTGCAAAATGAAAGGATATTGATTGGTAATAGATTGATTTCATATTAACAATAATGCAAAATGATGCGATGGAATGAGGATTAATATTTAAATCCTATTGGAGTTTTAGTGGTTATAATAATGGCCACTAAAATTAATTAACTATAAAGATAATAATAAAATTAGGAAGAGATTCTCACTTTTTTATATTTGTTCTATTAAAAAATAATTTTATATTTTAGGGGTCGACGATAGATTGTAAAGTACTTATTTGGTTTGCTCAAACCGCGTCGTGAGGGCGGGTTGGGAGCGGAAGTTGCATCTCCATTGCATATCGGTGTGCATAATCCGTTGAGCGGTTATGTTTCCACATAACTTCTCCAAATGAATTTTGTTTAACCGGTACCACCTCGTGTGGCACCACCCCCTTAATTTAGAGTTTTTTTTTTCGTTCTTTCTTTTCTTTCCTCCTAATAATTATAAATTTGAAATCTTATTCTTTGCGTCTGTCTCTGAAAATTCGAGATAATTGAAAGGTTTGCACGCGAAGAATATGATTTCAAATTTATTTGTTTTGATTTCTTAAATTTTGAAGTATCTGTTTCCTTAAAACTAGAGACTGCTGAAAACTTAGGTTTGAAAATTCGATGCTATTGTATTTCCCAATTTCTATATTTTTTCGAATAAATAAAATTTTCAAAATAATCTTATCGAAAATAGGCTATTGATTTTTTAAAAGATAGCATTGTGCACTTAAGAAATGAAAAATATTGATTTGTTTCAGCTCCATCTTAATTATTAAGGCTCCAGTCCCACCCTTTCAATTTTTAAAATTGAATATATCCGTCAATAAGAGTTTTCATGACTTATAATTAAAGATATTATATTAGTGTAATATAAGCTATAATATTATATTATGACGTAGGGTGTAGCATTGCTAGAACGTTATTTGTAAATTTCACTATTATCAACTTTGAACGACATAATTCGTCCTATAAACAAAAGGGCTCTGTCATGTTGTAGGATATTAGTATAGTATATTATTTATATTAGTAAACATGACTTTTACTTCTCCCGGATTGAGTTATTTTTTCAACAAAGAAAAATGAAAAAGTTACTTTTTGACAAAATCTAATAATAAGTGATCCATAATTTTATTATTAATAAACATGTTACTACATATTCTTTAGATATATCTAAACATTGAATAGCATTAGCTTCTTTCGATTTTTATCAAAGTATATAAAATTACCACCTGAAAAAAATTGACATATTTTGACAAAGAAGAAAAAACTTTTAGTTCCGCTCTGTCACTTTGTTAGCATGCTAGTGATGTTTATTTTTATGTCTTAGTTTAATTTTATATATAAATGAGTAATGAGGAATTAGATTCGCAATACCATCACGAAAATAGCATTTTTAAAAGCTTGTTATTTTATATGAGATAAATAGACATGAAAAGTAGAATCTGATATGAATATAATTTAATATGAACTATTATATAATAGTTGAGATTATTTGTCAAAACGGTTTTTTGACAAGTAAGTATTCAATTTTTCAAAAGTATATTCAAAAAATTGAATGATATCTCAACGTACAAGAAAAAACTTTTAGTTCCGCTCTGTCACTTTGTTAGGAAAATTATATAGTTTCTATCGACACTATCAGTATACCCAGCCGTGAAAGGTATATTGAGGAATTAGGTTTGCAAGATTGTAATTTTTGTTATTTTTTTCCAAATTGAGAGGATTTTTGACGATAGAGCTGTATTTTTTTTGAACAACAATTTCATTACCTTAAACATTATAAAAATATGAACAAATTTTATGACGTAATTGTATAAGTTATAATTTATTAATTCCTAAAAGAAATGACCAAAAAATTCATTTCCAATATGTTGAATCAAATCAATTTTATAAATAAAATTTAAACCTTAAACTTGATTTTTATTAATGTGACATTTTTTAACTTTCAATAACTTAATCCCATGGTAAGAAGCTAATCCAATCATATAAAAATGTTATAATTAACCACATGTTTATTCATTTATGATATCATTATGCTTCAAAATCTATAATTATAAAATTCAAATTATCAATTATCAAAAAATATTTATTTGTCATATATCAAATAGAAAAGTTAACATAAATCATCTTTCAAACTATAATATAGTTAAATTAGAAAATTTCGAAATCAGATATTATTTAAATTTCTGCCATGGTGGATGTATAAACAATCTAATGGTATATTTTTGCTCCTAATTATCCACTCGTTCTAACTACATACAACAATCATGTGGGACTAGAGCCTTAAATGAGAATTTGATAATATCGTTTCAAACTATGACATAGCATTTAAAAGCTTCGGTATCTGATATTCCGGATTTTTCACTTTGTTAAAAAAATTGTGTAAAAAAATTGGGGTATTATTATTGTCGTCTGGTGGTTTTAGACGACAATACGAATTTTCGAATAATAGAGTTTTTGGCCAGATAAAGAGCTACTCCATATATCTTGCGTGTTTACATACTATATACATAGATGGAATTGATGTTCTTCCTTTATTTAGGTACCAAAACATGCTTGTAAAATCTCTTTTTTAGACGACAATGATAATTTTGTCACTTTTCCAGACGACAATGATAATTTTGTCATTTTTCCAGACGACAATGATAATTTGTCACTTTTTAAGACGACAATGATAATTTTGTCACTTTTTCCCAACGGCAATAAAACATCCTCAAAAAAATTTGAATTGTGGGAAAAAAATTGAATTGTGTGAAAAATGAATGTAGTAGCAATTTCTAGTTATATTAATAGTTATGATTAAAATTTTAAAAAAAATGTTGGCTTTTTTTCCAAAAAAATATATTGTTATGGCAATGAATCAAGACATTACACAAGAATTCAAAGGAGCTGATTTAATTAGAACATATGCTGATTATATTGATGTAATGAGAAGTATATATCAACTCACAGATAACAATGTAGAAAGCACTTTTATCAAAGTTAAAGAAATCTTACTGAATAAATATAATTTAAGAACATGGGAGATTCTAAATACGGTGGGGAGATGTCTTTATTTTAGGTACCGTTACATGAAGACATATATAAAACTTTATGACTTGATTAACCGTCTTGAAAATAACAAAATAAATTTTTTATATGTAGAACAAATCAAAGGTGTAATCTCTGCAATTCAAAATAACAAGCAAATAAAAGACAATTTTTTTAGAGACTACCATGAACTTTTGAAACCAAAATCATTATTTAATTCAATCATGAATGATGACCTCGAAACAATGATATATATTGTCAATCAGCCAGGTTTTGACATCAATATCAAAATGAAAAAATTTTTATTTAACATTAAGATGCAATTCAATCTTTTAGAAGTTTGTTCTTATTATGGTTCAGAAAAGTGCTATTTATATTTAAAACAGAACTATAATTTCGAACCTTCTGATCTTTCGATTGCATTCTCGTTCTTAGGTGGAAATCCAAAGATTATTCATGAATCATTACCTTTAATAAATTCTTCAAATATTCTTCAAAGTGTTGAATATGCAATTATGTCCCACAACATTGATTTCTTCAACTACTTAAATAGCAACTACCCACCTCAAAATATTTGTGAAATAGTCGCAAACTACTATAATCTTGAAGCATTTTTGATAGCAATTGATTCGGGACAAATATCTTCTTTTGATAAAATTATACTCAAATTCAATATTGATGATTTGCTCGTATATATATTTAAAAAATTCAAGCAAAGTGCAGTCGAAAAATTTAATATTATACGTGCAATTAGATTTTATAATATTCCAAAAACTATTAAATACGCCATCGAAAGTGGAGTCAGTATCACAATAATGGATTTGAATAATGTAGGAGCTCTTCATTTGGCTGCAAAATATAAATTGAAAGAAATAGCCGAACTTTTGATTTCGCACGGATTAGATATCAACGCAAAAGATAATACTGGAAGGACTCCACTTCATTATGCAGCAGAGGAAAGTTTAGATATGGTAGAACTCCTTATTTCACGCGGTGCAGATATTAATGCAACAACACACCGAAGCGAAACTGCCCTTTATTTGGCACAATGTTCTCGTAAAAACGATATAGTAGAATTCCTTATATCACATGGTGCAAAGTAAAAATCGGGAGAACAAGAAGAAGATGATGAAAATGATGAATATGGTGAAAATGATGAATATGGTGAATATGATTAAGATGGTGATTTTGATGAAGATGATTAAACAAGAACGAGAAGATGACAATTATACAATAGAAAATTGAGATATAATACTCGGTTGGCAAAAATTGAGAGAAGGTCAGAAAGTTATAACTTATTCGATTTTATTCTTATTATTATAAAAAGTTATTTTTAATGCAAAATAATGAATTTATAAATTTGATAAGAGCATATCCTCTAACTTCTCGCTGTCAGCTGCGAAGTTACGAATGTCTTGTGCGAGTATCTCAATTGCCATTGCATCCATGTAATGTTACCGAAGGAATTCTGCCTCTGTAATTGGTTCTTGATGTGGAAGGATCTAACCTTTATACTCGGACTTGCGTGGAAGTTCTGCGTTTGACTCCTGGAGTTTCTAAAGAAGGGCTGGAGAGATTGTAAGGCTGTCGCAGCCAGCGAGTTCTGTGATTTCGTTTGTATTACTGAATGATACACCCATAACGACTGTCTTTTTTTCATCCTCTAATAATAATATCCATCAATAAGGTATAGTTTGAGTATATGTATATTTAAATGGATGCATAAATTTATTTGATGTGAATTTCATAAGTGAAAATTTAATTTGATTTGATTAAGGAGCGAAATTGAAATTGATATAGATGTATAGATTTTGATTTTATGTAAAAAATGGATGAATTTAAAATCTAGTCAAGAATTTTTTAAATTTACAATTTTTTATTTTCACGAAAATATAAATAATATGATATAAAATGTCACTTATATTCATCTATTTTCATTCTATCATGATACAGGATATAAAAATTCTATCGTTCTGAAAATACCAAATTGGTAATTTTTTTGAATGTTTCAAAAAACAAATCTTGGTATTTCTCCAAACTTTTCATTATGAGTTCTGGCTATTCGAGGCAATATGCAGACTTCATAGGAGCATTTGAAAAACTCTTTAGCATACAATCTAGCGAGTCTGTTGAAGAAATATGCAATATTATTTCAAATGTTTTGATATCGAAGTATAAACTTTCCGTAAAGAAACTTACAAAGATCACTCTCATGGCACTTCAATACAACTATGCATCTGCAGAGAATTACGCCAAAATATTCAAGCATATTGGATCTAACTTTAAAAGAATATCTGAATTGATATTTCCATCGGAGAATTCAATCGAATATATTGTTATGCATGATCAAATTGAAAAGTTCAAAGAATATATTTCTCAAAAGAGAATCGATAATGATTGCGTTTTTCTTGAAATTCCTGATTTAGTGAAATATGAAAAAATCAAAAATTATGAATATAGACCTTTCGTCAAGCTATCATTAATTGAAGCATGTGCTTATTTTGGTTCTGTTAACATTTTCTTTTTCTTGATTTCAAATCAAGGCTGTAAAAGAACAAACAATTGCCTTCGATACTCAATAATAGGAAGAAATGCTGATATTATCAATGAATGTTTGAAAAACAACAAAATGGACATTTATACACTCAGAGACATTGTAATAACACATAATAATGAAATGTTGAAATATGTTTTAGAAAGGAAAATATTCACATATAAAGATTTCGAAGTTAACGAATCAATTTTTTATCCCTTCTTCAATAAGGATTCGTGTAGAGCTATTTATGAAGATATTATTACATATCAAAACCTTAATGCTGTATTCTTGCTTTTCGAGAGAGAAAACAAAATTATTGCTCCATTGTTTGCTGCATTTCCACAAACACTAGATATTCTCAGAAACAATATATTTCCTGATAAAGCTGATTTTCGTGGAAGGCATATTATACATTTTGCATGCAAATCACGAAATTCAGATATCTGCAAATTTTTACTTGACCAATGGAGCATGATTCATGTCAATGATACTGATGACAACAATGAAGAATCTATTGAAGAATATTCTGATGACAATACCATTGTCAACATTGTAGATGTTATCGATGAGAAACATTTAACTCCACTTCATTATGCTGCAAAGAGAAATTCCAAAGAAATAGCAGAACTTCTTATTTCTCATGGTGCAAACATTAATGCAAAAGATAGAAAGGAAAAAACACCTCTTCATTATGCAGCAAAATATAATAGTAAAGAAATAGCAGAACTCCTTATTTCTCATGGAGCTAGTATCAATGCAAAAGATAGAATTAATAGAACTCCTCTACATTTTGCAGCAGGGAATAACTCTATTGAAATTGTCAAACTTCTAATTTATAATCATGCAGCTCGTGAAGTAGAAGATGAAAAGAAAAAAAACCCTTCATTATGCAGCAAAAAATAACAATAAGGAAATACTCGAAATTCTTATTTCTAATTGTGCAGATATCAATAAAAAAGATATAAAAAGCAAAACACCCCTTCATTATGCAGCAAAAAATAGTAGTAAAGAAATAATTAAAATTCTCATTTCTCATGGTGCAAATATCAATATAATAGATGAACATTTAAAAACAGCAATCTATTATGCAACAAAACGATTTGGAAAAGCTTTACCAATCTTTTTTTCTCCCATGGCGATGTTGCATGATAAGAATGGAAAAACAATTGTTTTATAAGCCATTTCAATTAAAATACCTTTTAGTATTAATTTTAAAATGACAAAGCATTATGGATGCGTTTACATCTACTTAACGAACTCTCAAATATGAATAATGTTTGACATCATATGCTATCTGTACAATCTACTCGATATATTAATCAAGTGAAAGTTATTTATAAACTATCTGTGAATAACATCGCAGTTATTTATAAATTATTTGTGAATTTTGAAAATTTTATACTAATAATTTAGGAAATTCCTTTTAGACATTCTGAAAGTGTGTTAGGCAAGGTTCTAAAGCCCGATGTACTGATAAGTCTTTTTGAGAAATTTTATCGGATAAAATTATCATCATTCTATAGCCTTCAAATATTTTGCAAAAGTTTTCTGGAACTTTTTCTCTCAAATTTTTTGTCAAAATTAGAAAAAAAGTGATAAAATCGAATGTCTTTAAAAATCATAAAACCAATTTTAAAACCATTTCAAAAATTAAATTAGTATTCAAAATCATTCTACGGAAGAAAGAAGATCTAACTGATCCCCGAATTCTCCACTTGAAACAGTCAATACAGTTACGCCCAGACCATTTATTAAGGAAATGTTCTAGGAATCCAAGAGCTCGAAGCACTGTTTCCCAAATTAATTTCCATTCCAAAATAAATTTCCTTGGTAATCCAAAAATACCATAACATGATAGTAACCCTACACCCCTTACTAAGTTATTAATGGGGATTTGTTATTAATTCCGAGTAAAGACTTCGACTTTTATCACTTATTTTTCAGATGTTTACAAAAAATTGAGGGAAAAAGTGTAAAATTGCTATTTTCAAAATTTCCTCATTTTTAAATAATGATTTGCATTCTAAAGATTTGCTTTTGAATTATTTTGAATAGTTCTCAAAAAATATAGGACAAATTATTTGGAAAAGAGTTACAAGAGATATTCAAAAGGGATAGCTTATGGAGACTAACATCTGTAAATGCTGTTAGTCAACAGGTAAACAATTATCTTGTTAATAATAACCTATTTTCAAACTACGCGGGTGAATCTCCTGTTTACTTTACTAAATCATCAACAAATGTTTTCATTGAATCTTCAGTATTCGACACTGTTTCAACAACTAATTCAGGATCATGCTTATATCTTGATCCAGTTAATTCATGCAAACAAAAATCTATTTGTTGTACTGATTGTTGTTCAAATACTAAAGCTCATTACTGTTATGTTACTATCAAACCCACTCAAAATTCATCTAATTGGGCAGAATTAATTTCAATTTTCAATTGTCATCGACAACCGACTAAACCAGATGTCATGCATCACATGAATGGAAACATTGATATAAAATATATAAATAGTTCTTCTAACTCTGTTTATGAAACTGCATCTGCCTACATTCGTGAAGGAATTGCCACTTCAAATATTTCATATTCTAATTGTCTAGCAAATGATTATTCTATACATGGTGTTGTGAGATTAATTAGTAAACCAAAACTTCAAAATATAAATTTTGTTAATAATGCGTGCCAAAATGGGTATATTATCGATGGAAATGAAAGAAACATTTTCCTTTCTTCTTGTGTGTTTTATAGAAATAGTGCAATTTCATTATCCCCATCAACATTAAGTTTGCAACTCTGTTCATTTGAACAAAACTCTTTCGAATCTGTGCAGCCATATGTTCCATATTCTGGAACTCATCTCTTTTATCTTAATGATGATTGTCGCCTTCAAAACATTTTTGATATTTGCAGCAGTGTTTATCCTATAAGTAACACATTTGTGTTAACCTTTCTTCAATTGTTGCTTAATTAAATCCCATTCAATAAATCCAGATCGGTAAATATGATTTTTTTTTTCATTTTTCTGATTTGATCTCTTAATCTTTGCCTTGCTTATATCTTATAATAATTCATCTAAGCTTATTAAGCTTGAGTATAAATATGATTGGTAAACTAAGGATTTAAATTGAAAGTTTGCCTAAATTTTCAAACAATGAAATGAATACGATCAGATAAAAGTATAAAAATCGAATAAATATTAATTGTTAGAGTTTCTGATACCAAGGTATTTCATTGAGCTTCACGATGCAGTCCAGGAATGGTGAATTCTAAAACGGTAAGCAACCGCTTTAATCGTTTTCATTTCATATCACATGGCTGTAAACTAATCCACTTTTTGCAACCTTACTTTTCTGGAACTTTTGAATGTAAATAGCTGCAATCGTGCAATTATTTAATTTTTACCATTATTTGAGAATTATTGTGAATTCTGTCACTTTTTCAAAGATGTTTTTAACTTTAATTTCTTCTGTTTCATGCGATATTTCCGAGAATGCATATCCAGTTTTTAAAGGAAACTGGTCTGTTAAATCAGAATATCTATTTAATAACACAAAACAAGAAAATTCCTATTATATTCATTGCGATCAATTTAGGGATAACGAAAACTATCTCACGTTCTCAGTCAAAGATATAAATGAATCAACAGAAGTAATTGATAAATTTAATATTCGTTTTACTTCAAATGGTAGATTTAGATTTTCGGTTGCTGAAGATAACTCTCAAGATTATATCAAAGTTGATTTATTTTATAATATAAGACCGCATGCCAGTGCTACAGGAGTTTATAATGAAGATTATATTTACAATCTTGATGTTATTACTTTTAAGAAGATTCAATTAACTGTTTTCAATCAAAGAACAGGAGAATTATATGTCTGGAATCTTTTCAAGATCCTAGAACCACAAGTTAATTTGTTTGAAAAATATAGATTTTTCTTTTATGCAGGAATTCTGTTTATTATTACTAATCTTGCATCTCAGACTGCAATTAAGAGATACGAGAAGAAAATGCGAGCTCAGCAACAAGCCCGTCCAAAACCAAAACAAAATACTCCAAACAATAAAGATAATAAAGCCAAAACACCTTCTAAACCAAAAACTGAATAAAGATATATACTATATTATGCTATTAATTTAAAATAATTTTATATTTTTTTTATATTAATCCGAAATAATAGTGTTTACACATAATTCAAGAAATACATGATAACCGTAATAGACATGGCCTTGTTATCATTTGTAAATTTGATACCTCAAAAAAATGTTAAGGAAAATACAAAAATTATATAAGCCATGATTTAATTTGTTGGAGTTATATTTAAAAAGTTATGTAAAATTCAAATTAAAATAAAAACAAATTTTATTTCTATAATATAATTTAATTGGTGTTGGTTAACGTATTAAGTTTGTTAAGTAAAAGGTTGTGTGTTGTGTTCTGAAAGTCCTTTTCTTGTTCAAATGACTGTTCTAAATCTGAAATTTCTTTTTTCAGAGATTCGATATCAGGAACTGGCTGAGAGCTTAAAATTTGCAATTTTTGGGCTAAATCCTGGGATTTCTGTGTCAATTGCTTCGATGTTTCCTCTAAATTTTTAATATTATTCAAATAATTTGCTTTCAACTCTTTATTTTTGCCGATTTCGGTTGTCAAAAACTCCAGTTCCTTTGTGAGCTTCTCAATTTCTTGATTTTCTTCCTGTTCGTTTGGATCGTCGTTTTCGTCGACAACTTTCATTTCTTTCAGCTTCTGAGAGTAGATCTTAGCCTGTTCAGCTGCAACCATACCTTTGTATGTTGTCAAATCAGTAGCTTTTTCCATTTTTTGGATTAAATTTTTCGGATCGATGGAAATTGGCTGATTTTCATAAGAAATGTTCAATAACGATGTATCAAGAGTTGTTATTACGGGATCTTCGAACTCATTGACTGCTCTTAATATTCCATTCAATCTATAAGCGCATTCAAGTGTTGGATCTTCTCCTAAAGGCTCTACATCAGTAATACTGGAGTTTGTGTCTTCATCTGATTCGTTATCGTTGAACTCTTCCACTTTGTTTCGTCTTTCAATGAAATTTACCATTGATTGCGGTAATTTATCAGCAACAGTGAGTCTAAAGTCTTCTATGAATGCTGTATCAAACTCTGGGCGTTCGAATTTCTTGTTATTTTGCTTGGATTCGCGTTTTTGGTGAAAATCATCAAATTGTTTTTCGGAAATAATGGCTTTATACGACTCTGCTGCTGACAGACGTTCTGCTTCTGGTATGTATTCACCACTTTTGTCAATAAGTTCTTGAATTGAGTGATTAAACTTTGTTATCGAATTATCAACGACGGGTCTCTTAAGAGATTGGATTTTTGGCACGGATCCTGATACGCATGACTCTATGGAATGTAGGAATTGATTTTCCATTGATTCCAAGTTTGTATTTAAATTAATTTTATTTTCATCGAGAAATTGTTTGAAATTTATAGTCAATTGTGAAAGTATGTCGCTATTATCTTCCGTTTCATGTTGTTTGATGTGTAATGGCTCGATTTCGCCTAAGGAATTCATAGATCTGATTCTTGAAAGTAAATATTCTTCGTATTTGGACAAATCTTTAATGGAAGTCTTTTGATTATCGAGTACTTTGTATAAATTTTCGAAAGAACTTATTTGATCGTCATAAACTGACTCTGCAAATTGTCCTGAGTGTTTTAAGCTGTTTATGAAAGAAATAATCTGTGATCTTATATCTTGTATTGAACTAGCTTCTGTTTCTTCTATAGGAAGTTCTGTTTCTGTTAGAGTTGGAGAATTTCCAAAATTAAAATTGAAATTCCCTGAAAATTTTGTAAGTTCTGCATTAATTTCTTGTTCTTCACCATCAAGTATTGATTCATATGTATTCTGTGAATGTTTTTTATCACTAATTGACGATAAAATATCTATTTCTATGTCAGCTTTCTGAATTAAAGTATAAAACTGATTCAAAACTTCTTGGTATTCGTTTTCATCAAAGTACTGTGTTTCATTCTCGAGATTACTGCAAATTTGTTCAATTTGATTTTTAATTTCAGAAATTAATTGGGGTGAAACGTTGTCTGTTGATGTCTGTGGCATGCAATTATTAGAATTATCAATTGCATTTCGCAATTCATTCATTGATTGAATTTGCCTCTTCAGCCATTGACATTTTTGGTTATTTTCGTCAATTATTGCGTGTAAATCTGAATTTGATTCTTTGAGAGAGTTGTATTGTTCTTGTAGATGCTTTGCTTTTGGAAATAAATCTTCAATCTTTTTTGCTGATTCTTCTGCTGGCTTTTCAAGTTCATTAATAGCATTAATAGAGTTTTGTAATTCAAATTTAACTTGTTCTGTGACCATTCCATCATAAGGAAAGATCATTTTTTCGACAAGTTTTTTTAGTTTCGAATTTTTTTTTCTAAGTCCTATCAATGATGTCAATTAGATAAAAGAAATTAAAAGAACAGTCAATAGGGTGTATAATATATCCTTTCTGCCTCAAATTTGATCGCATTAAATCTTATTATGGGTACAATAACGCTTTTGACAGTTCAGGAACTAAGAGTATAATTATTGTCATTATTTTGTTAGATCTCCTCATTGACTACTCAAAATTGATGGATATTAAAGAGATATATCTAGAATAATATTATAAATCATACATTCAAAGCATGCGCATGATTTATGCATCGAGTATTCTCTTATTCCATTGACGAATGGATTTCATAGAAATATATTTTGAAACTTTCAAATATAAGCAAATCTTTCATAGCTATTTAAGCGAACATTAAAGTGCGATGTAGATTTCAATAATTTGGTATTGTTATATCTCCAATTCCATTATGAGTCCATTCTACCGCGATTATTATTCCATTTTTGATTAGTAGTTAGATATTTGGATGTCTTAAAGTTTTATTTGCATGTGTCTAAATCTCCTTTGCATGAAATAAATTTGAGAGGAAATGATAAATCTTTTTCTATTCAATTTCATAAATACGTTTTTATGTCTGCCCCTCCGAGTTCTCTCGGGGAGAGTAATACAATTTCAGAAATATTGATACCTGATGACTTCTTTAAGTACCAGCTTGAGTCACAGACAGAAATTCGGCATTTGATTGATGATATTTTGGCAAAAAGTCTTTTTATCGCTAGAAAACATGAGTTAATGAATGAAAAAAGCAAATACGCTGCAAAAACAATTGCTCAGGAACTCCTTTTGAATGCAACTGCCGCGGCATTTACTTTAGATACAGAAATTACAGATATTGATGCGGATGAAGACATAGAATTACCAAAACCAGATCAATGGTGTAGTGGTGTTATCCCTCTTATCACTCCGGATTCGATTAATTTCAGAACTACAGTTTTACCAGAAAGAAATAATCCTCATGTCAATTTGCCAAAGCCACAGAAGAAAGAACCTGCTGCAACTCCATCCCAAAATCAGCCAAAGCAAACTTCTCAGCAGTCATCGCCTTCGAGACCTCAAAAACTTACAAAAGAAATGAAAACTCCAACAATGTCTAAACAGGATGCAACTCGCTCCAGGTCAATGTTATCACAAAGCTATATCAAAGCGAATATTACGCCTGCAACTCAAATTCTTAAAGCATTTGAAATATCCAAGAAACAAACGCAAGGATCCGGTCGAAACTTTACAGTGGATCAAGAGAACAACATAATACCTATCCACGATCCCAAGCAGCTAGCCAACGTGTTGATTGTACCAAGAATTGCCGCAAAACGATCAAAACCTGAAGAAGTTGTTGCTCAGCCACGAAAATACAAGCCTCCACCTCCGATGACCAGGATCAGTAACAAGAAGAAAAAGGCTGTTTCGAAGCTTATTAGCCCCGATCAGCCGATATTTGACGAAGATATTCCGGATTACTCGCTAGACAAGATAGCTGTGAACCCTGGCGTTACTATAAAAGATGGCCAGAATGTAAGGAATATTCCGAAGCCAGAAGTTGAAGATAAAATTACAAAAGCTCAATATGACGAATATATTAAGACTTTGAAAGCTTCACAAGATGTTTGAATAAAAATTGTTTGTTATGTTATTATATATCTTTGTTTGTTTTTGATTTACATAATTTTTTTATTTTTCCAGCAATTTTTATACAAGAATCGATCACATTACAGATTTGGATCTAAATAATTAAGGAAAAAAACAGCACTTAATTCAATTGATAAAAGAATATTTATTATCAATTGAATTAAATTAATATCTAGTCATATCTTGATATTATTACCATTGTTGCAAAATATCTTTATTGTGGTGCTAAATAACACGTTGAACAACCTCCGAAATCATTATTTTATCACGTAATTGCCAAAATAATTTTGTAAAAAAATATTGTTAAACAATAGTTCAATAAAGATTTCAATTTTAATCAAAATCCGCATAATAGTAAGAAACAAAAATATTAAAAACAATGATATTACAAGAATAATTCAACTGCTTCTTCATAATCTTGTCTGAAAACATCGTCAGTATCATCTGCTGCAAATGATTCACTCCATAATGGATTATCCATTGTGACATCTGTTTGCGGACACGATGTTGTCTGAATGACTGTTTCGACATCCATCTCGTGAGATTGACTTTCTTCTTCCTCTTCCTCATCTTCAGCTCCTTTCTTGTAGTGAATAATGAGAACAATGATTATAATGAGAACGATTAAGAATAGGATTCCACTTCCGATTCCAATATACATATAAAGATTCTTCTTATTCTTATTCGATGTAGTCTGTCCGTTACCTGAGTCGATCTTAGCGTTGTTTGTTTGAGATGTTGTTGATTGTGGTGTTGATTCACTAGGTGTGATGAAAGGAGTAAAGAAAGGTGTTTCGAATGCTGTTTCTTTCTCTGTCATGAATGGTGTGTCGTATGGTGTATTGAAAGCTGTTTCTTGTTCTGTGTAGAAAGGTGTTTCGAATACTGTCTCTTCTTCGGTCATGAATGGTGTGTCGTATGGTGTATTGAATGCTGTTTCGTCTGCGGTAGAGAATGGTGTTTCGAAAACTGTTTCATGTTCTGTCATGAAAGGTGTATCGAAAGGAGTGATATGTGCTGTTTCAAATTGTGATTCGAAAGGTGTGTTGAATGGTGTTTCGAATACAGTTTCCTTTTCTGTAACAACAGGAGTATCGAATGGTGTCTGATCTGATGTCGAGAATGGTGTATCATATGGTGTTTCGAATGCTGTTTCTTTTTCTGTGATCAGAGGAGAGTCGAATGGTGTTTGATCGGACGTTAAGAATGGAGTATCATATGGAGTTTCATCTGAAGTCAAGAAAGGTGTATAATATGGAGTTTCAAATGCTGTTGATTCTGCAGTGATAAATGGAGTTTCAAAAATAGTTTCTTGAGATGTGATGAATGGAGTATATGAAACTGTTTCGAATGGAGTCTCATGAGCTGTTGAGAAAGGAGATTCAAACTGTGTGACATAAGGTGTTTCATGTGCTGTTGAATATAATGTTTCAAAAGGTGTTTCTGAAAATGTCTGGTGCTCTGTCATATAAGGTGTAATATATGGTGTTTCATGTTCTGTGAGATATGGTGTATCAAATGGTGTTTCTGAAAATGTTTCTTGTTCTGTGATATAAGGTGTGATATATGGTGTTTCATATGCTGTTGAATATGGTGTTTCGAAAACTGTTTCATATGGTGTCTCTTGTTCTGTTAAATATGGTGAATCAAATGGTGTTTCATGGGCTGTAGAATATGCTGTTTCGAATGGTGTTTCTGATAATGTTTGATGTTCGGTGAGATATGGTGTTTCGAATAATGTGTATGATGCTGTCATATATGCTGTTGTGAAAGGTGTATCGAATGGAGTATCAACAGGCGTGTTCATCATTGTTTGGAATGCAGTTAAGTATGGTGTTGATACTGGTGTGATGAGAGGTGTTGTCTGAGGTGTTGGAACAGGAGTATTTAATGGCATGCATCGACCATTCCACAAAACTTTGCCTGATGGACATGATGTGCATCGTGATGCACCTGCACCATCACATGTCTTACAACTGCTATCACATTTAGAACATGTTCCTTTTCCTGTATCATATGTTGCATCTGGTGTTTTATCACATGATAAGTAGCACTTTCGATCATACAACTTCTTCCCTGAATTACACTGATCACATGTTGATGCACTTGAACAAGCATAACAATAATCCATGCAATAAAACTCGGTTTCAACAGAAAAGCATCCATGTCCTGTGTAATTAGTTTTGCTTCCATCTTTTACGCTTGCACCTCGAACCATTGAATTATTAACGTATGAAGATCCACCATAACCACAAGCTACGGTATCAGATTGGTATAAATAAGTTCCTTTCCCTCCCGGACCTCCACGCCACCCACCACCACCACCGGCCCCAGGAGTTGTAGCACTTTTTTCTCCATCACCTCCTTTCCTTGAGCTGCCATGTTCATTCATCTTGGCATTATTGTAACTTAGAAAATAGCCAACACCACCTGCATTACCACCTTTATATCTGCCACAACCTCCAGAGCCAGCTCCGGCAAGCATGATGATAGAACCTGTATTTTTTACCTTAACTTCACTATATCCTCCTCCACTTCCAGAAAAATCACCACCAAAAGAACCAACCATCCAATCATTACCACCATTTCCACCACCAGGTTTTCCGCCTATGGCAGCTCTTTCACAATCTCCATATATCATCTCCCCAACGTTTACGACAATATAATGGCCGCCTTTAACATCAATTGATCCAGAAATTTGAGCTCCATTTCCACCATAACCTGCATGTTTCCATTGTTTACAGCCACGACCTCCATTGGCTCCTTGGATTGTAATTTTATGGCGGCCTGCAGCCAAATACACTTCTTTATTTCTTTCTGAGATACAACTCCATGGAATTGTTACAGATAGGAAAAACAACATTTAATAAAAATAAATTGAGTTCTCAAAGTTTTTGAATCAAAATTGATTTACATAATTTAATAATGAAAATATTTTAAAAAAATATTATGCTTTTAAAAAGGTTATTTTACTTTAAAAAATGTCAGCTCCTTGATTGAAATTTGATAGAGATTATTTTAAATACGATAATAAAAAAAATCTAACCCAAAAGCAGATCAATAAGTTATAATATTACAATGATTTGATTTTGAGCAAAGTCGGCTTTTCAGAGTCTCAGAATCAAAATCCTGGAAATCTTATTCAAAAGAATATATTGTTTGATCATTTGTAATAAACAGAAATTCATCAAAAGTGACAGCCCTCAATTTTTTGACATTTGTAAATTCTAAATTGAATGAGAAAAATGAAATAATACTAAGCATAATACAATATTCTAGATTTAATTATAATTAGGAAAACGTTAGTTTTGAGAGTATTTTTCATAGGCATATAGAATGAAATCTTCTGAAAAATAATATCACATAAACTCATATTATTTTCTAATATATAACTATTTTATATAAAAATCAAATTCAATGATCTTAAAAGCGAAGGATAAACCTCAAAATTTACGAATATAACGAGTGGGAATATAATGCTTATCTATCATAAAACCATATGAAATATCAATTTTTGCTTTACACCTAATTTTTGACGACAATTAGCAAAAAATGTTAAATGTTAACACTCAGTCCATTTGAATATGAAAAATAAAATTGACTTTGATTAAATGTTTTTATTTATCATGCAATTCTTCTTGCGACCAAAGATTTGAATAAAAGTTCAAAAAATAAGATAGCTTAAAAAATAATATACGGTAGTGTTTACTAATAGATGAATAGTATATAAATTCTATTAAAATGGATTTGATCCAAAAAAATATAAAACCAAAAATAATTGTTATAATTTAAATGAAGAAGTAATTTAAAACGATTTTATTTATGATCAAATTTTATACCCTATATTTCCAACTCTTGGAAAATTTTCATGACCCCCTACCCAGGGTCCTAAAATGGGTATTTTCCTCACACAGACACCGTGGTTTTTTGAGCCGGGAAATAAATAGCGCAGACAGTTTCTACATATAGAGACATGCTTATACTTAGAGTTTGACGGGAATCTAAAGTGATTTTTTTCTGCATCGCGAAATCTAATGCAATCTCAAAATCATGAAGAAACTGCGAATCGGAGCGCAATTTTTAATATGTTAATATATAAAGGTACCCCTACTACTGCAAATGCTTCAAATGAAAATCTAAGAAATCAGATTAATTTGATCACATTAGTATAGTATTGGTCAAACCAAAAACTCATATGTTGATATATAGCCTATAGATATTCATATTATCTACTTTTCATTGAATTACATAAGATTTAATAATCTCATAAATATTCTTTTTAATTTTCCGAATTCCGTGTGCATTTAGATTGCCCATACCTGTATATAATAATTCTAGAATGGTTTGGTTAGATATTAAGTTTTTTAGATTAATATTTTAACATTTTGATAAAACAAGCATTTGTTCCATTTTAGAATCGCCATTGAACTCTGGTTTGACTAACATGATGTTGTATGATCAAATAAATTCTAACTTCATGAGATAAATTTTGAAATTAGAAAATGCGATATCTGACTCAAATATTTATCTGAACACATTTAACATTCAATGATAAACTAAAGTACTATACAGCAGATTCGATTTGGCTTATATTTTATATAATCAACTAATAATCCTATAAAATTGTGCTATTCACGTTGCTCAAAGATGTATTGAACATTCCCTACTTGTGTATTGATAAAATTAGATATAGATTCTAATGTAAATCGATATTTTGAAAATTCATATATATTTTGTCTTGGTTTGGCATTTGATCGTGTTGAAACCGGAATTGCAATATATATCATCTAAATATATAACTATCAAAATATGAGCTATAGATTTTTAAATTATTCTCCTGAATATGAGTGACTAACATAATTATATTGAATTGAGTAGTAAGAATCATAAATATTAGAATCTGACGATAATTTATTATAACTTTATATAGGAACAAGATTATAAATGATGATGAAAATAAAGATTAAATTTAAATCTGAAAATTTGAAAACATTAAGTGTATATGATAGCATTACAAAATTAAATTTTATGTGGAAGAGGAAATAGAGGAATTAGAAGTATTATGAGAAAATAATAAGATATAAAAACAAGATTCTATTAAAGGAGTTAATTTATAGAAAGGAATAACAGTGTGAATGTAGTAAATGAATGTTTTCATGATGTATTATTGAAATCTTAAGTTTTGTTAAGAAGATAATAAGGGAATCAAATTTTGTATTAGGAAGTTTGACCGACAAGAGTGTATTGTGCACTCTTGTCGGTCTGCATGTCTCATTCCGGGAGATATTGTCACTGCATGTCTCCCAGAAAGAGACAAACTTCTGCAATCACAATGTGATTACAAAACTTCGACCGACAAGAGTGCACAATACACTCTTGTCGGTCAAACTTCCGCATTCAAGTTATGAATGCGGAAGATTGTCTCATTCTGGGAGACATGCAGTGACAATATCTCCCGGAATGAGACATGCAGACCGACAAGAGTGCACAATACACTCTTGTCGGTCAAAGTTTTGCAATTGCGTTGTGATTGCAAAAGATTGTGCTATTCCTGCATATTTTCTACGAGCCTGCTTCATAAAATTGAATCCTTCTATCCAAATTAAATGCGATTTCGCTAATCTTTCATCTAAAATCACTAATCAGAAGCATATTGCAAGTTAACTTGAACCGGCATGTTCCTCCTATCCTGTCTTTCAGTTCTTTCTATCAGCCATGGTTCACAAGGAGGAGAGCTTTGCGCACAATCAGACATAAGATTGCGGCAGAGGAACCGGGAAGAGAGCAGCTTGAAGCGGTAAGATGTCCGAATGCTGTCTCCCAGGTGTATCTGTCAGGCAAAGTTCACAAGGAGGAGAGCTTTGCGCACAATCAAACAGAAGATTGCGGCAGAGGAACCGGGAAGAGAGCAGCTTGAAGCGGTAAGCTGTTTTCAAGTCTTTAGTTAACAAACTTTAACAAAAGACATCTAAAAAATTTGAAATAATTGCAAAATAATGCCGTCAGGTAATGCGCACCTAAGGGAGGTGTTTTGCGGGAGCTGGGGGTATCTTGGTGAGTACTCAGGAGGCCAAGAAGGGCACCCCAACCGACATTTTGCTGACGCATTGTGTAAGCAACCATTTTGATAACCGCTCAAACCGTCGGGACAAAATAATTTATGAAATTATAAGTCATCTTTCTAATACATATTTTTGGAAGGGCGTAAGATACGCCAACTTAAATATATTATTAAATATGAGAAAATCGCTCAACAAAAAAACAATTCTTTCAAAAAGTTTAAAATTTATCTTTCTAATACATATTTTTGGAAGGGCGTAAGATACGCCAACTTAAATATATTATTAAATATGAGAAAATCGCTCAACAAAAAAACAATTCTTTCAAAAAGTTTAAAATTTATCTTTCTAATACATATCCTATGGAAGGAGTTTACATTCACAAAATAAAAACCAGTTCAAAATCTTATTACTCCTTGAATTAAAATCATTTAATTTCAAATCCATTCCAAATCCTTAAATCTGTATTAAAATCATTTTGCCAACAACCAACACAATACAAATTACATTTCCATATATCTTCTTGTCCATTTTAATTTTTTATCTCATTTTATTTAATTTTATTTAAAGCATATAGACATCGAGATCCTTTACACATAGTTATATAAAAGTCAAATACATAATAAATTCTTAATTCTAGAGATATCTCAAAATCTCAATTTTTTAATTTAAAATACCTTTCATTTTTCACAGTACGATCACAACAAACAAGCCATTTACTAATTAACACATATAAGAAAAATATCAAATTACAAAACAACTTTCAATATCATTCGCATCGAATTCTATTTTTTCATAATTATCAACTACATGTTATTATATAATATATGTCGGCGCATATTCCACTCTATACAAGTGTCAGACACACTCACACAAAGCTGTGAGATTCATACCTCTATCAGTAGGACTTCTCAAATCAAGAACACATATGTTTCACTATCGCACATCTGTGTAGGATCTAATTAACCCTTTGGACTGGTACTTCAAAATTTGATAATTTGATAATTTCATGTGATATCATCATTTGCCTTTAAAACAACTGTGCGTTAAACTAGACACGTTTCTCTATCATAATGCAAAATATCAAAGTTTGGGAGACTCCCAAAGTGTCTGAAACTGATCATAAGGGTGAAAAACCGTTTTCCAGAAGTTGGGAACGTAGGGTATTCTTATTTGAGGATTTCGCTACATTTACATTAAATCAGTATTATCACGTCCATTTTGATTAAGATTTTTATTGCCTGTCTTCAGAAATGAAGTTTTAATATGTTGAAGATAAAATATCGATTAAATGGATTGTCAACTATTTGAATTGCATTGTAATATGCTATGCATATCATTACTATTTCCAAGGTGCATTACGGTGAATAATGAAAAATTCAATTCGATCGATTTAGCCACAAATTGAAAAAATGTAGGATGACCTCGCTGTTATTTAAGAAGTACTAACTATTTTCATTAAAAAGACCCCGAAAAAAATATTGTTTTAGAATAAATGGTTTCATTGGATGTAAACTATTCAAAAATAGCCAAAAAAATGGGAGGGGTCTTCTCAATTAACTTCAAGGTTGATTGGGACCCCAGGTCGGTTGGGTATCGTGAGACGATGGAATCAACTCACGAGAACCTTGCCAATTTAATTCGCGAAAACAAAGGAAACATCTGCATAATAACTGGTGCTGGAATCAGCGCGCACGTACTTCCAACATTTCGATCGTCTGACTCCAAAGGTTTATGGGATGTTGTCGCTGACAAATCATTGGACAAGTTTCAATTTTATTCTCAACCCGACGTTTCATGGAAACTTTGGGCAAGTATAAGAGATTTACAAAAACAAAAATTCTTATATCCTTCAAAAGCTCATCGTGTGATACATTATTTGATGAAATACGGTTACATAGACACATTATTAACTCAAAATATAGATTCTCTTCATAGCTTCCAAGGGGATGAGTCAAAAATCATTGAGCTTCATGGGAAGGTCACAGAATTCGGTGAATGCGAAAAATGTAACAGAAAAACGCCTGTTGATCATCTAAAAGTTCTCCAGTCTGGAAAATGCCCGAAATGTCCCGTATGTAACTCGAATTTAAGGCCTACGGTTGCATTTTTCCAAGATCTAATTCCTAAAGCACTCAGACAGAAGGCAACAAAAATTTGCCAGACTACTGACCTTTTAATACTAATTGGCACTCACTGCGTGGTCGATCCTGTTGTTACACTAGTTGCAGAGGCTTTTCAAAGCGGAGCGACCGTCGTGGAAATAAATCCTGATGAGACGCGAATATCTGACAAATGTGATATGAAATTCTATGAAAAAGCAGATGAGGCGCTAGTGGCTGTAGGAAATATACTATTCCCTGGTGTAGATTTTGAAAACAAAACTGATGTAGAGCCTATTATTCAATAATCTTTTATTTTTTTCTATTTCCTTAAATGTTTTGTATTTAGCTTTCATGAAACATCTTAGTTTTTATCAGCAACTTTCAGTTTGATGTTGATTGGGTTTGAATTTTTTTTTTGCCATTTTAAAAAGGTACCATAACTAGTATCAAATTCCAAAATCAAAATGATTTACGTCGATAATTCATGTTGATTTTTCAATTATTCCAAAAAGATACAAGAAAATTGGCGCCTGTTTGGCTCCAATTTAAGCCATTTCTATCTATAACTATCTTCTAATGAACTCGTCTGTTGATCAAACCAGGAAAAATTGCAGTCTTCTTGATTTCAGAATTTATTCTGATATGAAGAACCGCAAAGTTTCTTTTTTAAGATCAAAGTTTATTGAGAATGATCCAAAATCACTTCTAACGGTCGGAAAAGAAGGAATGTGGAGATTATTTACTCAACCAAACTTATATCTGATGGTAAATGGCTAATTTTACGCATATATCATACGTTTTAATGCTCCACTTTCAACGCAATGGATTTTTTTACAAATCTCAATATTATATTTTCGGTACCAGAGAAACTATGTATATCCAAAGTTTATGAGAGAGGAAAAACTTTTTCTCTAGATTTTTATTACGGGATGGTGAAAATTGAGAACTTTAGTAAAGAAATTGGGAAGTTTTGCAAAAAAAAATGAGGGGAAAATCTGGTGAAAGAATCACAGATCTTTTGATATTAGCTGCCAGAGGGTTTTTCCAATTGCAACTGTTTTTCAAATTGAACTTTATTTATAAATAGGTCTTATGAATCTAACAAATCTCTCAGAGTTCAAACATATTAACCAAATAACATCGTATAGAAACTAAATTTTCATGTTTCAAACTCCTTTACCACAAATGTTGAGTGGGATCATATTAATGAGACCAAAAGTGTCACATCCAAAATTTTTACAAAGCATGACAAGCTCAGAGCAGCCAAAAAATGAAAATTGGAGCAATTATAGTGACCTTAAGCCAAATAAAGTATTCGAATACCCAGATCAAGCATCAAAAATTATTTGGAGCGTCAATTCCAATAATATTATACAAATTTCTTCACAAATTATCGAATTAATAACAACTCACAAAATATCTATCCAAATAGCACTTTATTTGATTAATGTTTTTTCACAAATTCGTGTTAAAGAAATTAAATTATTTGCAGAACTTTATCAAAGGATATCAAATGTATTTTCATACATCCATAAACCGAAAAATATGAGATTAGCGACGCTTCTACATTATCAAGGTTTCGAATTCGAATACTTCCAACCTAAAATGATAGAAGATGAAATTCTGAATTTATATTCAACAGAATCTCCTTTATACTATATTGCATGGGATAAAGTTGATGATCTTAAGAGTAAATTCCCAAATCTTGATATTGATGAGGAAATTAATAAAATCACACCACTTGACTGGGCAATTAAATATGGATCAGAATTGTGTTTCATTTACTTGAAAAATTTAGGATCTCAATACACCGAGGACTCAGCAAAATATGCTGTTCAAGGCGGAAATAAAGAGATTTTTATGCAAATTATAGAAGAAGGTGAATCATTTAATAAAGAGATTAATACAGCATTGGATTATCGAAACAATGAAATTGCTGAATATCTTAAATCACATTTAGGACAAACTCCTGATTCAATAGCAGAAAGTATGCATTTCGGAAATTATGAAATTGCATCTTATTTACTTTCTAATGGAGAAGATATCAACAAAATTTATAATCTCTTTCATTTAATATTTATCATTGTTTGATGACATTATCTTTAATTTAATATTTATCATTGTTTTATGGCATTCTCTTTCATTTCATATTTATCATTGTTTTATAGAATTCTATTTCTTTTCATATTTATCATTGTTTTATGGCATTCTCTTTCATTCCATATTTATCATTGTTTTATGGCATTCTCTTTCTCTTCATATTTATCATTGCTTTATTACATTATCTTTCATGTCATATTTATCATTGTTTTATGACATTCTCTTTCTTTTCATATTTATTATTGTTTTATGGCATTCTCTTTCTTTTCATATTTATTATTGTTTTATGGCATTCTCTTTCATTTCATATTTATCATTGTTTTATTACATTATCTTTAATTTAATATTTATCATTGTTTTATTACATTATCTTTAATTTAATATTTATCATTGTTTTATTACATTATCTTTCATTTCATATTTATCATTGCTTTATTGGATTATCTTTCTTTTCATATGTATCATTGTTTTATGGCATTCTCTTTCATTTCATATTTATCATTGTTTGATGACATTATCTTTCATTTCATATTTATCATTGTTTTATAAAATTCTTTTGATATTAATGAATGCCCTCTTAGTATTGCAATCGAATGGAAATCAATAGAAATTGTCCAATTCCTAGTTGAGCATGGTGCTGATGTTAACATGAAACTTATTCTCTTTCTTTTCATATCTATTTTTATTTTATAATATACTCTTTCATTTCATATTTATCATTGTTTCATGAAATTCTCTTTCATATCATATTTATCATTGCTTTATTGGATTATCTTTCATATCATATTTATCATTGTTTTATTACATTCTCTTTCTTTTCATATTTATCATTGTTTTATTACATTATCTTTAATTTAATATTTATCATTGTTTTATTACATTATCTTTCATTTCATATTTATCATTGTTTTATGGCATTCTCTTTCATTCCATATTTATCATTTTTTTATGGCATTCTCTTTCTCTTCATATTTATCATTGCTTTATTGGATTATCTTTCTTTTCATATTTACCATTGTTTGATGACATTATCTTTCATTTCATATTTATCATTGTTTTATAGAATTCTATTTCTTTTCATATTTATCATTGTTTTATGGCATTCTCTTTCATTTCATATTTATAACTGTTTTATATTATTCTCTTTCATGTCATATTTATCATTGTTTTATTACATTATCTTTCATTTCATATTTATCATTGTTTTATTACATTCTTTTGATATTAATGAATGTCCTCTTAGCATTGCAATCGAATGGAAATCAATAGAAATTGTCCAATTCCTAGTTGAGCATGGTGCTGATGTTAACATGAAATTTATTCTCTTTCTTTTCATATCTATTTTTATTTTATAATATACTCTTTCATTCCATATTTATCGTCGCTTTATAGAATTCTATTTCTTTTCATATTTATCATTGTTTTATTACATTATCTTTCATTTCATATTTATCATTGTTTTATAACATTATCTTTAATTTAATATTTATCATTGTTTTGTAACATTCTCTTTCTTTTCATATTTATCATTATTTTATAGAATTCTATTTCTTTTCATATTTATCATTATTTTATTACATTGTCTTTAATTTCATATTTATCAATGTTTTATAAAATTCTTTTTCTTTTCATATTTATTATTGTTTTATTACATTATCTTTCATGTCATATTTATCATTGTTTTATAAAATTCTCTTTCATTTCATAATTATCATTGTTTTATGACATTCTTTTGATATTAATGAATGCCCTCTTAGTATTGCCATCAGAGAGAATTCAATAGAAATTGTCCAATTCCTAGTTGAGCATGGTGCTGATGTTAACATGAAACTTATTCTCTTTCTTTTCATATCTATTTTTATTTTATAATATACTCTTTCATTCCATATTTATCGTCGCTTTATAGAATTCTATTTCTTTTCATATTTATCATTGTTTTATAAAATTCTCTTTCTTTTCATATTTTTCATTGTTTTATGGCATTCTCTTTAATTTCATATTTATTGTTGTTTTAATTAATTCTTTTTCTTTTCATACTTATCATTGCTTTATTGTATTCTCTTTCATTTAATATTTATCATTGTTTTATGGCATTCTCTTTCATTTAATATTTATCATTGTTTTATGGCATTCTCTTTCATTTAATATTTATCATTGTTTAATGGCATTATCTTTCATTTCATATTTATCATTGTTTTATGGCATTCTCTCTTCTTTTCATATTTATAACTGTTTTATATTATTCTCTTTCATTTAATATTTATCATTGTTTAATGGCATTATCTTTCATTTCATATTTATCATTGTTTTATGGCATTCTCTCTTCTTTTCATATTTATAACTGTTTTATATTATTCTCTTTCATTTAATATTTACCATTGTTTTATGAAATTCTCTTTCATTTCATATTTATCATTGTTTAATGACATTCTCTCTTCTTTTCATATTTATCATTGTTTTATGGCATTCTCTTTCTTTTCATATTTATTATTGTTTTATTACATTATCTTTCATGTCATATTTATCATTGTTTTATAAAATTCTCTTTCATTTCATATTCATCATTGTTTTATGAAATTCTCTCGATATTAATGAATGCCCTCTTAATATTGCCATCAGAGAGAATTCAATAGAAATTGTCCAATTCCTAGTTGAGCATGGTGCTGATGTTAACATGAAACTTATTCTCTTTCTTTTCATATTTATCATTATTTTATTACATTGTCTTTAATTTCATATTTATCATCATTTTATAGAATTCTATTTCTTTTCATATTTATCATTGTTTTATAATATTCTCTTTCATTTCATTTTTATCAATGTTTTATAAAATTCTTTTTCTTTTCATATTTATAACTGTTTTATATTATTCTCTTTCATGTCATATTTATCATTGTTTTATGAAATTCTCTTTCATTTCATATTTATCATTGTTTTATTACATTCTTTTGATATTAATGAATGCCCTCTTAGCATTGCAATCGAATGGAAATCAATAGAAATTGTCCAATTCCTAGTTGAGCATGGTGCTGATGTTAACATGAAATTTATTCTCTTTCTTTTCATATCTATTTTTATTTTATAATATACTCTTTCATTCCATATTTATCATTGTTTCATGAAATTCTCTTTCATATCATATTTATCATTGTTTTATTACATTCTTTTGATATCAATAAATGCCCTCTTAGTATTGCAATCGATGTGAAATCAATAGAAATTGTCCAATTCCTAGTTGAGCATGGTGCTGATGTTAACATGAAACTTATTCTCTTTCTTTTCATATCTATTTTTATTTTATAATATACTCTTTCATTTCATATTTATCATTGTTTCATGAAATTCTCTTTCATATCATATTTATCATTGTTTTATTACATTGTCTTTAATTTCATATTTATCATTGTTTTATGGCATTCTCTTTCTTTTCATATTTATCATTGTTTTATAAAATTCTCTTTCATTTCATATTTATCATTGTTTTATGGCATTCTTTTGATATTAATGAATGTCCTCTTAGTATTGCAATCGAATGGAAATCAATAGAAATTGTCCAATTCCTAATTGAGCATGGTGCTGATGTTAACATGAAACTTATTCTCTTTCTTTTCATATTTATCATTATTTTATAGAATTCTATTTCTTTTCATATTTATCATTATTTTATTACATTGTCTTTAATTACATATTTATCATTGTTTTATTACATTATCTTTCTTTTCATATTTATCATTGTTTTATTACATTCTTTTTCTTTTCATATTTATCATTGTTTTATTGGATTATCTTTCTTTTCATATCTATTTTTATTTTATAATATACTCTTTCATTCCATATTTATCATTTTTTTATTACATTCTCTTTCTCTTCATATTTATCATTGCTTTATTGGATTATCTTTCTTTTCATATTTATCATTGTTTTATTACATTATCTTTCTTTTCATATTTATCATTGTTTTATAACATTCTCTTTCTTTTCATATTTATCATTGTTTTATGACATTATCTTTCATTTCATATTTATCATTGTTTTATTGGATTATCTTTCTCTTCATATTTATCATTGTTTTATGACATTAATTTTCTTTTCATATTTTTCATTGTTTTATGAAATTCTCCTTCATTTTATATTTATCATTGTTTTATAACATTATCTTTAATTTCATATTTATCATTGTTTTATAACATTATCTTTAATTTCATATTTATCATTGTTTTATAAAATTCTTTTTCTTTTCCTATTTATCATTGTTTCATGAAATTCTCTTTCATATCATATTTATCATTGTTTTATTACATTCTTTTGATATCAATAAATGCCCTCTTAGTATTGCAATCGATGTGAAATCAATAGAAATTGTACAATTCCTAGTTGAGCATGGTGCTGATGTTAACATGAAACTTATTCTCTTTCTTTTCATATCTATTTTTATTTTATAATATACTCTTTCATTTCATATTTATCATTGTTTCATGAAATTCTCTTTCATATCATATTTATCATTGTTTTATTACATTGTCTTTAATTTCATATTTATCATTGTTTTATAACATTCTCTTTCATTTAATATTTATCATTGTTTAATGGCATTATCTTTCATTTCATATTTATCATTGTTTTATGGCATTCTCTTTCATTTCATATTTATCATTGTTTTATTACATTCTCTTTCATTTCATATTTATCATTGTTTTATTACATTATCTTTCATTTCATATTTATCATTATTTTATTGGATTATCTTTCTTTTCATATTTACCATTGTTTTATGAAATTATCTCGATATTAATGAAAATCCTCTTAGTATTGCAATCAAATTTGAAGCAACAAATATTATCGCTTTCTTAGTTGAACATGGTGCTAGAAATCTCAAATAATCCTATTTCCAATAGCATTATATTATATTGAAAAAAAAAGATATAAACTGCTTGCCCTATAGTGGATAATGTTCTTTTTTATCAATGGAATGAAGACACTACTTGTTTTGATCAAAATAAACTAAGATTCTGCAATCATTTAAGAATGTAACAAAATCAATGTTTTGTAAAAAAATGCATGATTTAGGCGTTTCATTAGGTTTTTTGATATTTCAAACATTCATTCATGATCTCTTGATTTCTTCCTAATAATGAAAAGCTTAGTCAACTGTCAGTGATTTCAGCTGTTTCTTTGCTATTAGCTTTTGCTGCAAAAAGAAGCGTAGTTTGACCCAATTTAGCTCATTCTTTGGGATTTGCACCAAAATGAAGAAGAATCTCGACAATTTCTTTACTGTTATATTGAGTTGCAAGATGATGAGGCGTTTGTCCATTAAAGTCTTTTTGAGATATAGTTGCGCCATGTGAAAGAAGAAATAGGACTATTTCTTTACTATTTCTATCTATTGCGTAATGTAATGCTGTTTTTCCTTTTTTCTCTCTTTCATTGATATTTGCACCGTGGGGAGTAAAAAGTTCGATTATTTCTTTTCTACAAAATTTAGCGGCATAATGAAGAATAGTTTTCCCTTCATCATATTTGAAATAGAAATTTACACTGCGCTAAAGGAAGTATTCGCACAGAGATGTATTATTGAACATTGTTGAATAAATAAAGCACTCTTTAATATGATTAGGTTGATCGAAATAAACTAAAAATGAATCAAGATTTTAATATAATCCACAATATTCTAAATTGATCCTTAAAAGGTATTCATTCATTAAGAATGTAACAAAATCAATGTTGTGGGAAATAATTGCAGACATTATGCATCTATAATATGGTGTTCTATATTTCATGCATTCACTCATGATCTCTGGATTTCCACCTAAAAATGATAAATTTAGAAATAAACAAAATGAATAACTCTATTGTTTATATTGCGATATAAATAGGCAAAATTATTTCAATAAACAAATATTAATTTCCCAGAACTGCCATATAATAAAAGATATACTCCAATACATAATTATTTCATTTATCATACTTAGATGCAAAAATAAATCACAGGAAAATCTCCGAATCTCCACAGATTGGATATTCCTCAAAAAAGTATTGAAAAAATCTCTAGAGATTTCTTCGAGGTGATTCTTTTTATTTTGGAAGTTCTGGACAAGCTAAGATGCACGAAACTAGATCAGTAGATTGTATTTTTATGAATGTTCATAAAACAATCATGTGATATTATTTCAAAGTGTACAAATATGCAAACTATGACATTGAAGAAAAAAATTAAAAATAAATGTGACAAATTTTTTGATAAATGAAAAATACGAGACTTGATGAGGAATTTCCAGCACTTTCCTCAATATCACGTGGCCCAAATTCTCTTCCAACGAATCCACCAATACCAGCATCTCCTCCACCATCTAAAATTGCTCAGGAACAGCAACAAATGATAATAGATTCAGAAATATATAAAGACTTCACGCCAAACAGCGACAGTCAATCAACTCTTATACCAGATGACTTTGGCTATGCTTTAGACTCTGTAATGAATTTTATTCCAGAAACACCATACGAAAGCGACGGATTAATCGACGATTGCTCAAATGATCAAATGTATCCAAGACCATCTCACACCAAATTTATTCAGCCGGAATTTTTCAAGAAATATGACAACGATACGCTATTTTTCATATTTTTCTACAGCCCAGGTACTCCTCAACAATATTTCGCTTCAAAAGAGCTAAAATCGCGCGGTTGGGCATTCAATATTACACAGAAAACATGGTTCAGAGCTGTAGGAGAGCCTACAGATAGTGAATCAGATTTTCAGACAGGAAAGTTCGAATACTTTGATCACAAGAACCCTGAAAGTTGGATGATACGTCAAATCGAAAAGAATTAAATATATTGTTTTGCATTGAATAAAATCATAAACTTTTGTTGTTTTTGCACAAATATTCTAACTCGTTTTGATTCATTAAGTTAAATAATAACAATAATATTTATTTCAAACAAAAAAAATTCTATATTATGGTTTTTTAATTTGTACAAGTTTCATATTCAAATTTCTTATTGGTATTTTAAGTGGTTGTGAGTCATTCATTATTATTGAAATGCCATCTTCTGAAATTTCTTGAATTGAACAAGAAAAATCACCAAAATTTCCTAATTTTATTATACAACTTTGGCCCACTTCAAATATATCATTTCCTAACACCAGTTTCCCTTCATTTACTTGATAAAATTGATTTTCAAGATTTAATTCAATTAAATCTTTTTCTATTTGCTCTTTATCAAGTAAGAGCTCATCAGTGTTTTCTAGTCTGAGAATTGTTGATTTTGATGCTTTATTTTGCCCAGTAATTTCATTTTTAAATGTTGAATCAAATTCTAAAAAATGTTTATGAAATTGAGGAAATTCCGCACCTAAAGCCTGAACTTTGTATTTTATTGCATCTAAAATTTGATTATTGACTATTTGCATTGCATTCTGATAATCTGCTTCAATTGATTCGATTTGTGAGTTATATTTTGCCTCCTCAAGCTTTAATTGTTCATCTAATAAGTTTTTCCAGTGCTCTACTCGCCGTTCTGCTTCGACAGCCAAATATTCTATTCCTCTTTGATATTCATTGTGAAAAGTAGGAAAGAAAAGATGAAAGAAGTCTTCTCGTATATCAACGAGCTTCTGACCTTTGATTTCAGAATGTTCACCACCTTTTTTCATTCAAAATTTGTCACTTTTTGGAAATTATCATATAATTATTATTGAGCATTCATACCTCTGATGATTTATTATTTAAAAACATCAGAAATTTTTTCTCATTCTGGCAAATTTTCTGATAAAAATTGTTCATAAATATAAATAATCGTACATTTTAGTATGTTATCATGTAATTCAGTTTTTTGTCTATCAAGAAATGATTATTTCTTGTTATTGAAATTGAGATATTGAAAATTATGGCTTAATGAGCAAGATTTATCAAATAATTTTAAAGATATAAATCAATTCATTTCAAAAAAATCATGAAAAAATTATAAAATTAAAATAAATTTGGAAAAAGTTCTGATTTTTGAGATAGAAATAGTCTAATATAGCTTTATTAATCTTTCAAAAAACATAATTCATAACCTGAGCCAACAACCAATAGTGATAATTACTATCTCTCGTTGGATCCTTACAACCATCGAGATAAGGACATTTTCCCATTTGGTCTGTTATTTCTACGGTTGATGGAGTTCCTGGTTCGTCGTAGCATAAAAAGTATTGGCTTTTCTGCTGAATTGCAACGGATCCGTTCCTAAAAACGTCAGGAAACAGAATTGTTCGTTGTTGTGGGTTTGTTGTGAATATACAAAGTGGAGACAATAAGTCAAAAATGTCTTCATCGGTTCTAGATAAAATTTCGTGAGCTCCAACTTGAGTTGTTGCCAATTTCAGGGCATTGGCAGCAATCTTGAGTCTCTCGAATGTTCCTTGATCTAAAACTGTCCTGAAATAATCCGATTTCAGTGAAATTTCGAAATTATTTCTTAATTCTTCGGTTTGTTCATTATTTATGGTCTTAAATGCCAATATCGATGTAGCAGCTCCAACAATAGCGTTCATGTTCAACGTTCTGCTGATCTGATATGAATCATTTGAAGGAATAATTTTAATTGGAATTATTCTTTTGTATCTGACCACATTTGCGTCAAAATATTGAACAACGAAGCGTATTTCGGGTGGAACCTTCTTCGCTTTGTTTCTATCTATGTCTACAAAGAAATGCATCGTATCTCCCGCGATTAACTTGTTAAAAATGTATCTGTTGTCGATACATGTGCAGTAGTTACCGATACATTTAGAAATATGGACGGAATCGGTGCCGATCGCGTATAAACAACAAAATCTGACATAAGGAAGTTGAATTAGGTCAATTAGATCGAAAAACAGGAGTTGGACTTGAGAAAATCCGTAGTATCTGATATGTGTGTTTGTTTCTTTAACAAGCTTCGAAATATTTGGAAGATTTACGTCTCCAAACAAAGCAAGCTCAAAAGAGACGTGTGGCTGCTTGCAGCTCTCTATTATTTGCTCTATTTGGGTATCTGATGCATCTGAGGTCTCTGATGAGATAATAAGTGTTGGATTTCTTAAATCTTTGATAAAATCGAAAAAGTATTCAATAATCGAGCCATACGAGAATGACATTGTTTCTGGTTCGAGGTTTTCAAGTAAATCGAGGTATTTTTCAAAGAGTTCGCTCTGAATATTCAGATCAAAATAGACCATTTCAGGAATTAATGGACAATTATCGGATATATCTGGTAGCGTTGACAAGAAGAACGAGTTCCTATCCTTTTTGAAGATAGGCGCGTAAACATTATGGCCATAAGCTAAAATTGTAATCAAAATTGAGGCTTTTGTTTTAGCTAGGCCTCTCATTCGTTGGCAGAACTCTTTAACAGCTCCTGAGTTAACCATTTTATGTGAGATTTCTAGTAAAATTAGATATGTTTTCTGTGATAATTTTGGACTATAAATTGTTTGGGTCTGATTGAACTCATTGAGATCAAAAGGATGGTATATATCGCATATCTCATTGATTTTTGTAAAGTTTATCTTCTGGAAAGGCTGAGTTAAAGTGGGAACTTTTGGATTGCTGACAGGAAAAGGAGTAAGTGAAAAATAATGTGAGCTGCCTATTATAGGTACTTGAATAGGTGCTTCTGTCAATATTGAAGGCGCTTGAATGCAGAATTGAGACTCTTCTGACATCCAAATTTTAAAAATTTTTTAGTTTACGGGCGCGATTTACCGATAAAAATGAATGGTTTTGAAGAAAAACACCGGAAGTGATATAGTATCATGACAAACTGAATATCGCAATGTAATAGGTATCTGCAAGTCTACAAAAATAATGAGATAACATGAAATAAAATCACATTATGAAAATATATTTTTATTAAACTGAATTGACACCTCAAAAACCCAAAAACTGGTATTTATATGGCGAGTACATTCGAAATGCTTATACTTGGAATTTCCAAATTTTTCTTGAAAATTAATTTTCGAAAATAAATTTCTTAATTTTTTTTTTGATTTTTAGATTTTTGAAAAATATTTGGAAAATTTCGTAAAATAAAATGCGATAAAACAAATTATTTTTAACAATTTTTCAAATTTGCCACTAAAAAGTTCTTCAAAATATCAGTATTAAGAGAATATTTATCAAATTTAATGAAAAGAATGGGAGTGAAGTAAAGATATTAGCAAATTTGATAAAATTGGCTTATAAAATGATAGTTTCACATGAAAGATTATCGAAATCAATAAGATTTTCCAAATATATTTTCGATAAAAACGAAAACAAAAACAATTATAATAAAAAAGTATTTATAATATTACAAACATAGTTAAAACTCATATCCGAGATTTGTCAGACAAGAAATAACGTGCTTTGCGTAACTGACCTTAATCAAGTAGTTGTAGTTCTCAAACGATACAACGTAAATTATGTCTCGTTGACTTTTTGTTCCGAATTCGATAATTCTTTGAATTACGTAGTTTCCGAACTGATCCGAGACCATTTCTTTAATTCTTGGCTTGTTGTAGTTCTCTTCAGGTCCTATGATCTCCGTAAATATCATATTCTGCTGTTGTTGGTTTGCTTTTCTTATACATTTCTCAATAACGTTGGAAGCGAATTTATGCATTGAGAATTCGTAGAAGTGACCTGTAAATGCTCTGATTAGCGCTTGGATATGCTCCGGAGTTCCACTATTCAAAATATTTTGAACTACGTAGTTTCCGAACTGGTTAGTCGCCAAAGTTTCAGCTCTGCAGAGGACTTCGTCGACCAAAGGTATTAAATCTTGTATCGGCTGACGATCAAACAATTGTTGGATAACTCTACAGCCCCAGTTATCAACAACGAGCTCGTAGACGTGGCCCTTGATTTTGTCGATTATTTCGGGGACACGGTTTGGTATTTTGATGATGAAACGCTGAGCAATGTGATTTCCATTTTGACTACTGCATAATTCAACGAATCTTGGGAGGAGAGCGAGGAAAATAGGGTCTATATTTTTCGGAGATGTCTGTTCAATGAATTTCTGTAACACACGGCATCCATTTGGATGATCTACGATAAATTGAACGTCTTCTAAGAAAAATGACAGCATACGGCTTTGTTGTTCTTCTGTAATGTTTTCACAGAGCTTCTGTATCACAAAGTTTGCGGCGCCATCGCAAACGAGCTCGCCCATATGAGGATATAAAGCATTGAATATAGTATCGCGCTCAGTTGGCGTAGCGCGAGCAATCTGATCTTGAAGTTGAATGCAATCTGATCTGTCTTTTGCCATTTTGACGTATTGAAGAGATTGTTGTGTAAAAACTGGAGTTCCGACAACTGCTCCTGGCGCTTGTGGTAAATAAACATCAATAATTTGGGAAATTCTGGCAGCTGTAGATTTTTCTCCAGTAATTGCTTCCCAAATGTTGACAGATAACAAATTGCAACATTGATACTTTGGAATTTCAGGAACTGGGCGACCTATCTTCAAAGCATACTTATTTAGAGTTGCTGGAGATATAGTCGCTGATACACTTCGATTTAATCGTGGAGAATCATCATTCATTTTTTGTCACTTTTTTTGTCATGATATTCTTATTTTTTTTCTTCATTTCTGTCAATTCTACCATGTTTCAACAATTCACTAAAGAGTAATTTTCACAAGCTCTTTTAATACTTGAATACCCAATGTGAATACAAGCTTAGTGGATAATTAATTGTATTCAATGAAAATATTTTTTCTATACGCATCTGTCAATGCGTGTATATATTGCTATAGATAATTTCCTCTTAAGCTCTTAGGATAACAAGAGAAAAACACCTTAATTCACCTAAAAATTAAATACCACCTAAAAAATGAGAGGGAATGCTCTTAGCCACTAAATAATGAATTGAAATGTAAGTTACATAATGAAAAACCATATTCTGGTAACGACGGTGAATATAATAAATTGAAAGGTTTACACACGAATAATAAATTTCAAGTTTATAACTCATCACATCTAACAAACTCAAGTGCAAAAAATGCGTAAAAACGATTGTTTTACATTCAATTTACTTTCTAATGAAATTCTTCTTCGAAAATACCAGAAAACAAAAGAATATCTTATGTAAGAACATTATTTTTTCGCACCATGTGAAATGAGAAATTCTGCAGTTTCTTTACTATTATACCTTGCTGCAATATGAAGTGCGGTTTCTCCATTATTAGTTTTTTCATTGATATTCGCACCATGCGAAATCAGAACTTCTGCAGTTTCTTTACTATTATATTTTGCTGCAAAATGAAGTGCGGTTTCTCCATTATTAGTTTTTTCATTGATATTTGCCCCATGTGAAATAAGAACTTCTGCAGTTTCTTTACAATTATTCTGACCCGCAAAATGAAGTGCGGTTCCTCCATATTTATCTTTTTCATTGATACTCGCGCCATGCGAAAGGAGGTATTCCAAAAGGGATGGGGTATCAAATATCGCTGAATAAACGAAACATTTGTTTATATCATTAGTTTGATCGAAATAAACTAAAAAGGATTCAAGATTTTTATATAATCCACAATATTCTAAAACGATCTCTAAATGGTATTCATTCATCAAGAATGTAACAAAATCAATGTTGTGTGAAATAATTGCATATACCAGCAAAATTTCATGCGATACTTCGCACATCAAATATCCATCCCCATATAGTAAGTATCCATAGCCAAAATCAAAAATTATTGGTAAAAATTTTGCTGGTCTACCTTTTACCAATATTATGAAATATATAATCAATGGTATAATGTTATCTTATTCAAATATCAGCTGGAGAATTTATTTTGAAACACAACTCAATAAATTGAATACCGCTAAGTTCCTAAAACACAGCACAAAATTCGATTCCAATAATTTTGAAGATCAAAAGAATCAAAATTTTTGCGCTGACTTTTTTTCAAAAATTAATCTAATAAACAACGGTTTTATATTCTCTCAGTTATGTACTTCTATACTTAATATGAGCAGATTTTGAGAATAGCACTTAGTGTGGGAGCCCTTCAGAGATATTTGAATATAAAATATAATATTGCATAGAAATAGAAGTTAAAGTTTCCAAAAAATATAATGATAAATTCTAATTTTCAAAAAAAAAATATTTTTTTTGATAGCAAACATTTTTTTAATATATTATAAAACTATACACGATATACCTTAAACTAAATGGCATGTCTGAAGAATACGAATAGCATTTCTTACCGAAATGTCTCCGGATTCAATTAACTTAGAAGCTACAGTGTCAATGTGCTTCTCAGCGCATCCAGCTTCACATGCGATGTTTCTTGAGTGAAGTTTCATGTGTCCTGCGCAAATTCCGTTTGTAACTATGGCTCTGATTGCGGCAAAGTTGTTTGCAAGGCCTACAGTAGCTATTGTTCTAGCGAGAGTATCAGCGTTATCAGCTTTAAGCATCTTTCTCATGAGCATGACGTCTGGATTTCTTCTGATTGAGCCTCCGACGACGCCGACGGGGATTGGAAGCCAAATTTCGCCAACTAAGTTGGTTCCATTGTCAATCCTGTATTTTGTTAAGGCTGGATTCTCTGATTGAGTGGCATATGAATGAACAGCTGCTTCTACGGCTCTGGTATCGTTTCCTGTTGCAAGGACAACAGCTGTAACACCGTTCATGATGCCTTTTCTGTGGGTTGAGGCTCTGGCTGGATCTGCAGCTGCAAAATCGGCTGCGGCAACGATTCTTTGAGCGACTTGCATGCCTGTGAAGCCGCCTTGGGCAAGGAGCTTGATGGGCCATTTGCATTCTGCATGGATAATCCTCTTTAATGGCAAATTTGAAAGAATTGCCATTAATGGTTCCCAATCGAGTTTTTCTGAGAGGTACTTGAGAACTGCTTCACATGCTGTGTTGACGCAGTTGGCTCCCATTGCATCACAAACATTAATATGGATATCAACGCTTAATGTTAAGCCTGATCTTGTTTGAATAAGTCTGTAATCAACATCATGAACACCACCGTTTCTTGCAACCATCGATGGCATAGTTCCGTTTGCTATATTGATAATTTCATTTCGAAGTTCAGAAACTTTTGACAAAGCACCAGTTTCCCCTTCTGGAACGATCAAGACGACCTGTCCCGAACAGATGTTAACCCCTGAAGCAGTTGTGAAACCTCCTGTGGACCTGCAAAGCTTTGCAGCCAATGAAGCACCGGCAATAACAGAAGGTTCTTCAAGTGCCATCGGTATCATGATCTCTTTTCCGTCGACAATGAAGTTTGTCGCTACACCGACTGGTGTAGAGTGCATTGCTATGAGGTTTTCTATCATTGTATCTGCAGCATTGAACGTGAGACCATGTTCGGTGGACTTGAGAAGGGCAACTTCTTCGTCAGTGAGGTTGAACATGCTCTTAAGGGCAGCCTGGCGTTCTTCTATACTCAGCTTGAAAAAGCCTGGTATTGCAGAACTCATCTGTTTTCAGGTTGTCAGTTACTCAATTTTTGAGAGCAAAAAATACGTTTCTTTGAAAAACAAAAATTAAACGAGAGAAAATCGAAAATTTTTCTCATGATTCGTATTTTAAATGATATGTAGATCTCATTTTACGGACCAAAAAGTGATTTTGAGCGAAAATTTTCTCAACGGATTCAAAAAGTGGTTTCACTTTTTTTTATTCTTGAAATTTTTACGAACTATTTCAATGCTTCTTTTCTCCACATCCAAAAGACTCTAGATCAAATTTTCATCGCAGTTGATGACAGTAGATCATCTAATTATTTAATTCGAAATATTGGACATTTCTTGTAAGTAAATTGTCTTCATAATTTAGAAAATAAATCATTTTGTTGTTTCTCAAAATTTCAACAATAATTTATATTATTTACCAAAGACACGAGGTTTGATTGATTCAAAACTACATGTAAGCAATTGATATTTGGATCTAAAAATCCAACCAGAAAAAATCCCCCAAAAATTATAAACTGCTTGCAATACACCTCAATATTCTACAACTAGATTTACAGGGTAATTGATGCGTAATTAATACTGAGATCTTGCATACTCATAATTATTAGTAAAAACTTTATGTTTATTACATTATAAATCTAATTTTATACAGTATCTCAAAATTCACAAGGATTTTTTTATGTCAAGGAATCCATTCAAAACATGTTCAGCACCTCTCAATTTCTGGCAAAATGACAGAAATTAAGATGAATTCATACAATCAGTACCTTTTGAAAGGTTCTGGCTGCCAGAGATTTTCATTTACTTTGTGTTTTCAGACTGAAAGTGCTGTTTTTCCATAATTATTTAACTCCAACTGATTCAAGATATTGAACGCCTTCAAGATAACCATTTTTTGATGCCTCAATGAGTGGAGTACATCCATATTTATTTTTTGCTTCTTTATTAGCTCCAACTGAGATAAGATATTGAACAATATCAAGATTACCGTATCTTGATGCCAAAATGAGTGGAGTGTCTACACCGTTATTATCATTACTCTTTTCTTCTTTATCAGCTCCAACTGAAATAAGATATAGGGTGTCCAAAGGTGCGTTTAGCACAGCGCTCTATATGAGACTATTAAAGGAGATATATGCTGATTATAAATATATAATAAAAAATATGAATATATGTATATGATGAGTATGTTGTATTTTGGCGCCATGCCGGGATATAAAATGAATTTTGAGACAAGAGGCGGTTTCGCGGGAAATTTTGGCGGGATTTTTTTCATTTTTTTATGAATCATAAAGAAAACATCCTCGCTCTTGCAAAAAAAAGTTAGTATACAAGTCATGTGTATGGTGGCACTACGTTCCACCGTACCCATTATATGTGAATTTGACACTTTACAAAACCGTTAACATATATTTTACAACACAAACGACAACACTAACTTAACCTTAAATATTTACAAAGCCGCCAACCACTTCACCTCACTAATGTAAAAAATAAACGTTCTCACTTACAAAAGTATTGCAACTCCTCCCATTGCTGTGCTTCACATAACAGCTCATATTCTTCTGACTCACTTTCTTCTTCATATAGGTCAAAATCACTGTCAAAATAAATGTTAGTAAGTTTTGACAAAGCTAATGAAACACGTTTACCGTTTGTATCTATTGCTTGTATAAACTTTCCATTCTTCATTCCTTCATAAACGCTCAAACTAACTTTACCCTTTCTCCCTCGTATCTGATAGAATGTATTTTCACGAGAAACGAAGAACAAATTCTTGAACTCATGACCGTTGTAGTTTGTTATCTCAATAGTTTTCGTCATTACATCCAAATAAAAATTTTCAGTAAAAATAAAATAAACTTAAAAATAAATGATATCACCACCCTCACACGTATGAAAACATAGCACAAAAATAAATTTAGGTGAAGTGGTGAGATCTCACCTCTTTTTTCACCTGTTTTTTCACCCACTTGAATTCATTGCTTTATAACTCTCTTCCTTGGTTTCTTTTTAGTTGCTTTCTTCACGTCTGTCTCCAACTTGACTGTCTTTCTTCTTCGTCCGTAATGATACCAGTTACTTCCACCAGTCAATGGGTCAAATGGTCTTTCGTAAGGGTTTCCATACATTCCATAGGGACCATACGGAAGAACTACTGGTGGAGAAGAAACATTTTCTTTAGTTCCATCGAATCTATTTAAATGCATTGTTTCACCTTTCATCTGGTCATTAAAGTCTTTTGCGTGTTTTGCAAACTCATCGTCCTTTCCTAAAGCATTTTCTGACTCAGTCGCAACCAAATTGGATGCTTTATTTATGAGCCCTATTTTATTTAATCTTAACTTCTTTGCAACCCAGCCTCCAATCTTCCCTTTATTTGCATCTAATGTCTTCGAAACCCTTCCTCCACTCATTTTATTTACTGCGTCATAAGCTCCAAGTGCTTTTGCTCCAAATGCTAATGCTTTTGTTCCCATTGCGCCTAAAGCTGCCCAAGCTACCATTTACACCATATTAAAATCATCTCTCTTCAATATTATCTCATAAAAGTTCTCGTTACTGGAGAAAGTCAATGAAACATAAGCGTTCTCACGGGCTTCGCCTTCACCGCTTTGCGGTCTATCTAACTTCTTTCTTATCTCATCTATTCTCAATAAAATGTCTGAACAATTGCTAACATCTTCTACAACAGTTATTTCATCATGAATGACCTTCAAGAACAAGCTCATTTAATATGCTATTAAAATCATTTCAATAATGAGTCCATCCTTTCCGTCTTTAGGTAGCACAACATCTTTCATTGAAGAAGGTTCGACAAGTCTTATGTTAAACTTACTGACAAAGTTTGTTATACTATAATGCTTCGGCGGCGAATACATGTAGTTTGAAAGACATAATATAGATTCTTCAGCAAATTCACTTATACTGGATTTTATAACAATGTTCTCACGAGACCAAATACCACCAATTGACAATCTTGTAAGCAATCCTGCTGAACCTTCTACTGTAAACGTCGATGGTAACATTCCACGAAGGTCATCTATTGACATTGTTGAGTCACTGAATTTAAATATTTTCTTAAAGCAATCGTCATTATCTAACCATGCAATAGCTTTGAAGTTTTCATTCGAATATACATCTGCTTCATTAAATGTAAAACCTGACTTCTTTGCAGAGACGATTTTAAAATCTATTGCATTTGTTTCAAAATTATATGCTATGGTAACTTCTGAAGGTAATGGATGTCCTTCCGCAGTCAGTTGTTCTCTCACTACCGTTTGAAGCTTTGTGTTAAAAACTTTCATGTCATCTCCTGTATCTAAGTTCACATACACAGCAACAGGGAAACTATCTTGCTTCTTTGTTTCATCATTATACCTCAAAACATTAAAGTTCTTCAATAATATTGTTCTTCCTGCTGGAATACTTCGAACCTGTCTTATTTCAATAGCTTTCTCACCTCCTACATACTCTACCCAGTGTCTTGGATATTCATAAGTATACTGACTTTCTTGAATTTTGGTTGGTTTCATCATAACGTGTTCATAGTATATCTTTATACTCTTGTCAGTTAGACTCGGTGCTATGTTCTGAATATTTCTGACTTGCATTTTTAATGGAGATAAAATGAAGCATTTAATACATGACGTAGATGAAGACATGAATGAAACTACAGACAAACTTAACTCTTCTCTCATTCTTCCTTTCAGCAAAGATTATGAATTCTGTTCAAATGGTGTTTATTTCTATTGTGGAAAAATGGGTTCAGGTAAGACATTTAACCTCATTCGTCATATACTCATAACAGAACGTTTAGGAAACGACTCTTACTATGACCAAATCATTATATCAGCAACTTCAGACTCTATGGACTCAACAGCGAAAACATTTATGTCAAAAGTTCAAGCCTCTGTCGTTAAAGTTCCAGACAGTGAACTCATTGAATTTCTTCAACGTTACATTCGACGTAAGAGAAAATATTATGCCATTAGATTTCATACAGTCAGGAATGCAAAAGACTTCTGAGGAGATGGAAAGAATTATTGACAAACACCACTTACGTCAGTACTCAGGAGTTTACGATATGAAACGACTGACAAACTACATTCTATCAAAACTTTCAAAATACCCCTTCAAAAAATATCCTTCAAACACTCTGCTCGTTTGCGACGACTTCGCCGGAAAAGGTTTAGTTCAAAGCCTGACTCACCATTAGCTAACATCATAACTAAAGTCAGACATTACCATTTAACTGTAGCAATACTTATGCAAACATGGCGTTTCTTGCTTTAAACATAAAACGTCTCATAACTGACTTCGTTATCTTTCAAGGTTTCTCACGCTATGATATTGAACTCATTTGGAAACAGTCAGGTATAACATTACCTTTTGAAGAAATTTGGGAAGCATATAAGTCTCTCATCTCTCCTCGTTCATACCTTGAGATTCATATCATGACTAATACCATTAAAGTCAAAAATATTCCATGGGAACGACCAACATTGTTTTAAAGTTTAACCTTCAATTGACTGATGGTAAACAAATTCCATGCATCTCTGTCGCCATTTCTGTTAATATTTTTGCTGTCATTCATATCATCCACTTCCCATCCGTTAGCTTTTGAGGATATGCGTTAGAATAGCTGTTCTTAAATGAAGGCTTTTCACCTTTGAGAGCATAAACTCTATAACTTTCTGCATACTTTATGTTTGAACCTCCTGAGCCATCATTGACATAAATTTTTATAGGCTTCCACCCTTTGTTCATGTTCCTGCTTCTTCCCTTTGCTCTTTTGTTCAGTAGTTCTACATCTTTATACACAGCACCTGTCTCAGTGAATTCAACAATATTTTCATTCGTTAGCTTTACATTCAAACCCTTGTCGAGTATATTGTTCATTTCATACATATAAAAGGTTTTTATTCTATATGAAATGAGAAGCAAATCCATCTTAGCTGGTGCCGTTAATGTTCCAATTGAACCAACATCAAATGTTGACTCACGAACGACAAACAATATTGTCATAAAGAACTATAGTTCAGAGTGTTTGAAAGAACCAGAACCAGAGCTGAAATCCGTGAATTTAAACTCAGCTTCAAACGCTAACGCTACATCAGATGTTAAGTTAGAGTATCCACCACTGGACCAAATTCTTTCAAGAGAAGCCAACGACAACCCTTACACAAATGTTCAAACAAATCCTTCAGATAACGTAGACCATTACCTTCTTCAGTTATACCAAACAATTTTACTCAAAGACGATAAGAAGCTTTTGACAAATCTTATAAGCAAGAACCAAATAATTCTAACAAAGGAGGACCTTGAAAATGTTATATCACGAATAACAGGGAAACAATGTGTCATTGACTATCTCGACCCTGAAATCGAATGCTGTGGTCAAACGCCATATTCATGAAAATAGGTAACATCCGCATCATTGAAACACCAGGAACTACAGGAGTTGAGTTTAAGTATAAATATTCGAACGAGTATACAAAACTATCAACATAAACTTTGCTTGAAATATGTTTTAGTAAATTAAAGCAATTTGTAATATCTATCCAAAACTTCTTCAACAGTATCGAACTCATCTTCATAATGCAAACCTAATCTTATTGACTTGGTGCAGTTTTCACTAACACAATATAGCGCTTTGCGCTCGGCGCCTTTGACGCCTTTTTCTGTTCTCTTGACTGACATAACTAACTCATTTGTTTCATCAAACAGCAACAACCAAAGTTCATGACCTAATACATAACATTCAAACTTTATATTTTTAGCTCTGAGTTCTCTTGTAAGCTGTTGCATTTAATATTTTCTAAAAAGTCAACTTCAACAGTCATTCGCACTGGTGCCTTCAGTTCTACAGGCTCTCCTTGAAAGTCAACAAGTCTGAATTGCATGTCTTTCAAATTATGAGGACTAATGCGAACCCATTTACCTAAATGAGTTACTATGACAGGAACGTTTGGAATGAACATTGAATTTACTTCATAACAGAAAGACTTATATTCTACTGAACCTTTACTATTAACTCCTGAAATGCCTGTGACATTAGCTATTTTAGACTCAATGTACAAACAGTTGCCATAACATACGTATGGAACAGATTTCATCTCAATCGTTTTGTCAACACTTTTCAAAGGTAGTTGCATATGGTATGCTCCCAAAAGAAGTTGAACTCTATGACTCATTCGTGTTATCTTGAACTCTTTCTTGCTACTGAACTTCAATGTTCCCTCAGAAGAGAGTTTGACATCTATGTTGTCAATAGTTTCTTCATTTATGAGAGTATCTATGACTCCAGCAATTTTATCTATTCTATACTCTGCTCTGTTAGGAAATGTTATAAAACTTCTTTTGTCATCTATTTCAATCTCTATGAAATCTGTTTCATCTGTTATGACAAAAGTTGCGATAGTATTGAAGTCAACAACTCTGAAAGCAAGTGCTTCATTCTGAAGACCTAAGTTTGTTTGAAGCTTTACTGTTCCGTATTCGTTTGGGTCTGTACTTTGCAAATAGAACAACATTTTATTCTCATTAAAATATGACTATTGCTGCATATGCGTATGAAACAAATGAAGCAAGAAGAGCACATGAACTAGTAAACGAAAACTCAACTTTAACCATTGAAGGCAATGATTTAGTCGTTGACGATGGAAAGACTAAAAAAGTCATTGATTTCGATACTTTTAACACTTATGACCCATTCATTACAACAAGCAAGGTTCCCATCATAAATGATGGAACGGTGCAATATATAAATTCTACAGTAGATGCCTCATTAGTGAAAGTACTGAATGTTCTCATTGAATTGTTAAAGAGCTTTCGATTTGACGACAACATTAAATGCCTAAAGAATTTAGTCATGAATGAGAAAAAAATTCTTGGCGTTGCTGGTAGCAGTAATGATGTACACCTTATGACATTAGAATATTATAACGAACATAAAGATGAACTGAAAGGAGAGAAGGGTGACACCGGACCTCAAGGACCTCAAGGACCACAAGGAATACGAGGAATACAAGGAATACAAGGAATACAAGGAATTCAAGGACCTCAAGGCGAAAACGGTTTGGATGGAAAGGATGGAAAGGATGGAAAAACTGCTAAATCATGGATATGGGACCTTATAAATACTGGTTTAACAGCTGCTTCATATGGAGTTCTTCAATACCAAATCGGAAAGATATGGGCAGTACTTGGTGAACAAGTTTTAGATGACGTTAAAAATGCTTTGAACTTCATTTCAAATGGTTCGGATACTATTAAAACTTTATCTGGTTGGATGCAAGAAACAAGGAGTCAAATAGATACTGTAAGACGTATAGCAAACAATGCACGTACGGGATTGGATACTTTACGAGAAGCACAAAATACACTAAAGGAAGCAAATGATATTCTTGGCTCAGTATCAGACATGCATGAAGATTGGCTTAAAGGTATTGACAAATCTTTAAAAAATCACAGTCAGTCTATTGCTGACTACAAGAAAAGTATAGATTTTTTACATAGTGCTATGGACGTACATGATGGAAGCATAAGGAACTTACTTAATGCTAACAATAACTTACCAGGAACTATTAAAGCATTTATAAAGTCCTTTGTAAAACCCGGTGCTCTAACATTTAGGTCTTTGAGAGCAAGAGCATTGAAGTCAAGAGATGCAGAAACTCCACCAAAACCTACAGAAGGAACTGAAACAACAGAAACTCCAGAAGAACCACCAAAACCAACAGCTAATGAAATATTGTTCGAATATTTTCCAAGGTACTCTGTTCTCATTGCATACATTCAAGAAATACTTAAGAAAGCAGACTTGACTTTAGGAGATGATGAAAGTTCTGTATATCTTTCGTTCCAGTTTCAAATAGCAGAACTTTTGAGACAGATATGCTTAATGTATGACAACATCTCTGATTTCACAAGATATGATGACGACCATGACCCCGAACACGGTGAAGAAGAAAGTTTTACAAACATCCATTAAGACAGGAAAGGTTTTAACTCAAAGTCTCATTATTGACACCAAAGATGGCGAAGTGGACGTTCTTCAAGAGCTGAAGAAAAATACTTCTTCGGGAGGTGGTGGTAGGCATGAACTTGAAATAAATGAGATAGAAGAGAAATTAGCCGAAAAAGCAGATAAAGAACATAAACACAATATCTCCGATATAAATGAACTTCAAGCTACATTAAATAGTAAAGCGGACAAAAATGAACTTGACGCAATGAAGAAAGTTTTGAAATCTCATAAACACAATATCTCCGATATAAATGAACTTCAAGCTACATTAAATAGTAAAGCGGACAAGAACCATGTTCATTATATAAGTTCAGACGAACAGATTATAACGGACTATCATGGATATTTAACACGAAGTGAAGAAGTGAAGACGAAAAATGTTAATGAAAGAAGATATAAATTCATTCGTGCTAAAGGTTATGACATACACTGTACTGTACAGTATGACACAGGTATAGCACCACAATCATTTGGTTATACCGGTGAAATTTATGCCTCTACTTTCAATGTTAACGGTGTATTAGTTGAACCAAGATTTACTTTGAGAGTTAAGTCAAAAATAACTTTTGAAGATGCTATTAAAAGTAAAGCGGACAAAAATGAACTTGACGCAACGAACAAAGTTTTGAAATCTCATAAACACAATATCTCCGATATAAATGAACTTCAAACTTCTTTAGACAACAAAGCAGACAAAAACCATACACATAAATCCTTCACAACTGTTAGAGCAGACGACATAATATTGAACTATACCCTTGGTTCAAGTGCACCTTTAGAGAATCCGAGTACAAGCGTAAAAGATACACTAAACTCCTTAAATAGTAAATGTATGAACATTGAAGGTCATGCCAGAAACTTTGAAACACATGAACTACCAGCAATGTTAGATAAGAAAGCAGACAAAACTTATGTGGATGCAGAACTAACAAAGAAATTTTCGAAACCAGATACAATGACATTTACAACAGAAATTATAAATGGTGAACCAGCAACTCCATTTGAATTTGTTAGAGGTCTTCAACCAGATACTTTTGAATTTTTCTTGGATAATTCTATTGAACTAACATTACATTATAAAAGTGGAACAAATGCAACATTTCATCCGGGAGATACATTCCAAATGGTATTTAATGACATAAGTTCTTTAGAATATGTTTATAGAGTTATGAGCATATATGATTTAATATATCCTATAGGAGCTGTTTATACGTCTATGAATCCAATAAATCCAAACACTTTATTTGGTGGTAGATGGTATGAAATAGTTGACAGTTTTCCATTCTACACTAATACGCAGTCAATGAAGATGGGAGGTTCAAAGAAAATAGGTATTGAAAACCTTCCTTCACATATGCATAGGTTCAGTGGAAGAACATCTGTGGAAGGAAACCATTCACATTCAATAACAAAAAGAGGTTATATAAATCTTGCAGCGGGTTCGAATAGACAGGGAATGAACAGATATGATATCACAACTGACCCCAAAGATGTTAGCACAGGTATTTTCTGTGGAACTGCAGGAAATCATACACATGTTGTAGCTGGTATTACAGACCCAGCAGGTAATGGAAAAGATTATATGCCTCCTTATATAACAATGCACGCTTGGATACGAGTTGGTTAAAATCTTTAACTTTACATAAATGAGCTTGAAAGAAGTATTCGAACAACATCCATGGAGGTCATTTAAGAAGTTCAATGAAGCTGCAAAGAGTTGGGGATTTACTAACAGAGCTGAAGTGAAAAGGTTCTTTGACAAAAATGTTGTACATCAAACAAAAATAAACCCTTACGACTACTTTTTACCAATTTACTCAATCCTGATACCAATTCACTCTCATTCAAAGCAGAAAAGGAGGACATAAACCATTCCTCATCTTCATTAATGTTAACACTCGTAAAGCATATGCATATCCAATGAAAAATAAAGGAACTCGTGAAGTGTTAAGAGTTTTACAAAAGTTTGTAGCAGAACATAGCCCAAGTACTTTAACATCAGACCAAGACAGTGCATACCTCAGCAATGAAATCACAGATTTTCTCATTAAGCATAACATAACTCACTACACTACTGAAGACCATAACCATAACATACTCGGTATCATAAACCGCTTCATAAGAACGCTCAGAGATTTAAATCAAGAGCGAGACTTTACCGAAGAAACAATGAAACATTTTCTCGAAGTATATAATTCCTCAACACATTCTACAACAGGACATACACCAAATTCAATGACACAACAACAAGAAGAAAAGTATATACAAAAGAAACGAAGCCAAACACAAAATATCAGAAATTCAACACAATTTACCCTCATTCCTGGTACAAAAGTTCGTGTAGTTCTTGAAGACAAACCGTTGACAAAGAAACGTTTAAGGTTAAGTAGAAACTATTATATCGTAGACTCTACGCAAGGTAATGGATATCTTATAAAAGCTGCTGACGACTCTATTGCGTTTTATCCTCGACATAAATTAGTTGAAAGTAGTAATGGCAAACTTGCTGAAACCATTGACGAAGCAAAGCGAGGAGTGGTTATTGAAATACTTGGCTATAACATAAACGATGACACTTATAAAGTAAGATATGAAGGAGGTGTTGAAGATGTTATACCATCTAAGAACTTGAGAGAGTCAAAGCCAACACATCTGGGACCATTAGAGCGGGAGTACTGGAAAGACAAAAATATGCCAGAAAGAATAAGAAAATTCTTCTAAACTTTTTCATTAGATGTAAATCAGACAAAAATATAATTTAGGTGAAGAGGTGACATCTCACCTCTTTTTTCACCTCATGAATTTTCATGAATTTTCATGATTTCTTCGTATATGTTTTGTCAAACATGAACGTATATGTTTTGTCGAAACTTCTTCTTCGTATATGTTTTGTCATGATTTCATCGTAAATGTTTTGTCAAGACTTCTTCATCGTAATGAGTGTAAATGACCCAAAAATATAATTTAGGTGAAGAGGTGAGATGTCACCTCTTTTTTCACCTCTTTTTTCACCTCATGAATTTTCATGAATTTTCCCGAAATAAAAAATAAAGTTAGTTTTATTTTATTTATTTTTTTATTTTGTATGTAAAGATATGATTTCAACAATCGGCACAACAACAATTCAAACAACAGCACCAAACTCGCTAGTTATGAATCCTACGTCAATGTTGGTAGAGATGAAAAGCTTCATTCCTTCTTCATATACTTTTGAAACAAAAATCCAGAAGATAAAGCAAGAACTTTTAACAAGTAATTTAGACTGTACCGCACAGGATGAAACAAATGAACAGTATCTTTATGAAATGCAGGACATTATTGACCATTTACCCAAATTGCCTGAAATTCAGCAGCAAAAGCTCACTATTCCTGAATTCGACGAAATTGAAGTGAAACCAACTGACTCAGTAGAAATAAAGAAGTTCATACGTAAGGTAAACTATGAATTCCTTGGTTTTCATTGCAACCATAAAGTTATGGACAAAGATTGCGACATGGTATATAAGAATGTTTCTGACATATATAAATCTGGGGAGTTTAAGACCTACGACAACTTTGTTTCGTTAGTTGCTGAATGTGTATGGCAGATAAGAGATAAAGATAGAAGAGGTAAGGTATGGAATGAACAGATAAGACCCGCTATGTTTGAGTTAAAGAAAACCATTGACGCCTTAGTTGTTTTAGCAGGTAAGGTTTCAGAATATAACGCAAAAATGAACCCGCAATGTTCTAAATGTAAAGCAGCAATGAGGAAATATAACTACTCCGTCAAAGAGATAGAAAGAATGCGAAACGACTATGCAGATTTAAAGAAAGAAGCAGAAAAGCCAGCAGAAAATAAAATGGACATGTTAGAATTTCTGAACAAAAACTATCCAACAGCAGAAGATTTCCTTCTATCTGACGTCAAGAAGAAGTATAAAGAAACTTTCGGCATTGTTAAAACATTCGATGTACTAAAAGAAGAAATAGAAGCTACGAAATTGTTTAGGATTTCAAATATACATCGTACAATTCATGTAAAACGCTTATAAAATAACTGAGGTGAAAAATGAGGTGAGAAAAGAGGTGAGATGTCACCTCTTCACCTAAACATTATTTTTGCTGAATTCAGCAACAAAATTCTGAGTAAAATGACATATGGTTGCTTCCCTCGGAAAACCGAGAGAAGGGATTCCGTATGAAAATCATGAATTTTCCCGAAATAAAAAATAAAGTTAGTTTTATTTTTATTTATTTTTTTATTTTGTATGTAAAGACAGTAATGTCAACATCAGAGAACACAACAACAGTTATAGTCCATGAAGCTATAAATGAAGAATACGAGTACATACAGTATAACAAACAACTCCGTCTCATTCGTTCGGTCAAAGACGATATGTACCAAATGCAAAGTATTTTGACAGCATGTTTTGCTCCAGATACTAAGCTTCCTAAAGACTGGTTTAGGAACCAAAGCACACAAGAACTTTTGAGCGAAGCACAGCGAGACATACTTTTTTCTGAAAACAGTGAAGAACAGCGAGTAGGTAAAAAATCCTGGTCGCCAAAACTCTATGAAAATCGTGAAAAATTGCCAAACGGTTTGAGAGGATATTATGTACATAGACTTCTTGTAAATGCTGTAGCAATGTGGGCTTCGCCTCGTTATGCTTGGTATATTTACAGACTTCTTGACGAAATTCATAGACAAGAACGTGAAGAGATGGAAAAGAAACTTCAAGCAAAAGATGAAGTCATTGAAGCAAAAGACAAAAGCATTCAGAAAAGAATACCACGTTCGGTACCAAAAGGAAAGGAAAAGAACTATAAGTATATGATTTATACTGAAGAGATGGAAAATGAAGAAGATAAAGATATGGTTATGTTGCATTTAGTCAGAAGAAACAACAAAAGCTTTTACGACCTTGCTAAGATTTACAAATCTGACAGAAATTGGTTCTATCGCGAAAACTTACCGATTTCAATGACCCCAAATGAAGATGTGAAACAAATAGTTCAAGATACGTTACCTCAAACACACTATGATATTAAAGGTTGTACAATACTTACCTTCAAAGAAGATTTGCCATTGTTAAAGGAAAAAATAACAGAGTATTTTGACAACTTCAAACAAGCAGAGTAAAAAAAATCTAAGCTAATTTTATTTTTTTTATAAAATTTTATCTCATATGAAAGAACATGAATTTAGAATATTCGGAACTCATGACAGAAGAAGAGAACGAACAACATGTAAAAGATTATGCAAAATTTCTGAAGACATACAAAGCATTTAAACAATATCTAAATGCTTCTAAAGATTATGCAAAATTTCTGAAGGTATATAAAGCTTATGAAAAAGCGTATGAAAAGCTTATACATTGGGGAATTGTTGTAAAATATCGATATGAAGACTAACCAAAAATATATTTTTGCTTAAATAGCTTCAGGGTCAATTTCTTCAACCATTTCACTTCCTTCGTCAATGTCAATAGAAGCTTCTTCAACCTTTGGTAGGAGCTTCTGTATAACATCTTTGTTCGTTATTGTCTTCAGAGATGAAGGATAATATTTCACATTTGTTTCACCTTTCTTATATTCTTTCTGTTCGGAAAGATTTAAAGCAATACTGAAGAAGTCAATGTTAGAGTTCTTTATGATAGTATAGTGTGTATCTTTGACATTCACGAAGAAACTCTTTTGTTTCAAAACTACTGCTAACTCTTGTGAAGTATAACGTTTGCGGTCAATGACGATAGCTAATGGTCTGACATACTGACCAAACTTAGATTCTTTCACAAACTTCTTGTTAAAGATAACATTAACATTTGAAGCATTATTGAACTCATTCTTGATGGCAGTAGCGAGAGCATTGTATGAAAAGAACTTGCAATCTTGCATGTGTTTCATTAAAATAAAAAGTTCGAAATATTTTAAAACTAGCCTTAAAAAATCTAATCTAATTTTTTCAAAAAATATTTTTTTATTTCCTACTAAAGATGTATCGGAAGTTGTCTAAGTTAGAACACTCGGAAATAAAACAACTTCTTACAGAAGCTAATATAGATGTTGCAAAGCATTACGCAACAAACAAAAAGGCACTCGCTGACTTCATTAAAGACTATAATGGTGCAATAAGTTATGATAGAATTCATGAGTTCATAAAGCCGCAACGCGGCGAGGACGAAGTCCATGCAATAGCATTTCCTTTAAATGACATTGCTATTGACTTATATCATAGACGTTCAGTACCTCATGAAGTAAGAAGAGAAATGTTTGACATAACAAATGCAAACGTTGGTCATACTCGTAAAGCTCTTTCTCATGACGTTCGTCAAGAGATGTTTGAACTTACGAACTCAAACGTTGGTGAAACAAGAAGAGCTGTACCTCATGAAGTAAGAAGAGAAATGTTTGACATAACAAATGCAAACGTTGGTGAAACAAGAAGAGCTGTACCTCATGACGTTCGTCAAGAGATGTTTGAACTTACGAACTCAAACGTTGGTGAAACAAGAAGAAGAGACGACACACTGAAACAACAGAGAAGAGAGATGTTTAAGAGCGCTATAGAACAAGTTCGCAAAGCTAACGATGTCATTCGTTCCATTGACGACAAACCAAAAGAAGGTGAGAGATGGCTAAAGAAAGATGAAGAGAATAGGAAGAGAAATGTGAAGTCAGGCAATAGACTCATTGACTTTAACATCGAAGCTTTAGATGAACCAAACAGAGACTACTTACACAAACATTTCGGTAAGGTTTTCATGAGACTCTTAGAGAAAATTAAAATAAACTCACAACAAAGATGGATGGTATGTTATAAACTTGGTGGAAAGTATGAATGTTCTACGTTAAACCTCAATAATATTGGAACATTACTACATCAGCTCTTGAAGGAGAACTTTATATCAGAGATAGAAGCAAATGCTGCAGGTATTTTTGAAATGCACTATGACTTCTTCTTGACAAACATAAAGAATCTTACCGAAATAAAGATGTATGATTTAACAGAATATGAAGGCTTAACGATGTCAGATGTAAGAAAGGCAAACCAAAAAAGAGACCATATAGAGATGAAAGCACACTGACAAATGACCAGAAAGCCATTTTGGAAGCTCTTAAGCAAACAGGAAACCCAGCACTTATAGAAAGTTTTGGAAAGATAATGGTGAAAAGAAGTTTTATAAGAAGAGAAGCGGTCAGTTCTGGAAGTATCTTTGCACATTACCTATAAATCTTGAACGCTACCAAATTTTCAATGAACTGAACAAAAGAACTGCAAACACTTATGACAGAAGATAACTGTTTCGTTTATGCTTGCATTCAGGCTGGAGTAAAATGAGAGACTATTGACCACATGAGAGAAGTCATTCGTGTTAGAGACTTTCCTCAAAGTAAAGTACAAGAAATTTCTGACGCAACAGGTATAGCATTTAATGTTACCATTGGTTATTTCAATGACTCAAGACATAATGAAATAAAGAGATATATACCAAAAGAATGTGAAACTGTTAGAACTATTGACTTACTTCTTGTTGAAGACCACTACATGCTAAACGAAAGATTACCAATGACAACATATTTCATTCGCAACTATATAGAAATTCTCAAAGCTTGTGGTGGAATGAACATGAGAAACAAATGAAGATTTATACAAAGAGAGAAGATAAATATGTAGTTCGTTATGATAGAACAACACCGTTATGGGATGTTATGAAAACATTTGGGAGTGCAATATTTCGAACCTATTTCTTATGGAGAACTTTTCACATATACGACTGACTTATATAAACAGAACCTTGCACCATTTAAAGATTTGACATATGCTCCAAAGTATTGTGTACAACTGAAGAAGAAAGCCGAGTCAAAAGAAGTAAATAAAAATAAGTGCAAGTTCATTCCTGAGCACGTTTTCTTTGCTGACTTTGAGTGTAGTACAGACGGCTTTCATAAAGCTTTTAACATATGTTACGACAGTGAAGATGGTTCAGTGAGTGAAAGCATTTGGGGTCAGAACTGTGCAACAGAATTTTTGGAGCGACTTCCTGACAAGAGTTTAATATATTTCCATAACCTCAGTTATGATATAAACTTCATCTTAAGACACATGACAGAAGTGAAAGGAACTCCCATCATTAAAGGTTCACGAACAATGCAAATAACTGGCTTATATAAAGGAAGGGCAATTATTATAAAAGACTCTTACAGTGTTATAAATAAGAAGCTTAAACTATTTCCTGCTATGTTTAACTTACAAACAGGACCGAAAGAAGTATTTCCATATAACTACTACAGCAGTGTTTTGTTAGCAAATGACAACAGAACTGGTGTCATTTCTGAAGCATGTAAGTTTATCCGGGATGCAGATACATTCATGAAAAACATAGATTCCATCAAAGGTTGCAGAATAGATGAGAACCACTTCGACTTAGAAAAATATAGCACATTCTATTGCAAACAAGATGTAAGAATTTTAAGAGAAGGTTTTGTTAAGTTCCGCAATGACATATTGAAAGAGTTTGATTTAAACGTATATGACTACGTTAGTATTTGTTCAATTGCTAACAAATTATTTGAGAACAGAGTGTACTTCCCGAATGGAAATCTTTATGACCTCTCAAATAAACCAAGAGAATTTATTTCGAGATGCATTCAAGGTGGAAGATGTATGCTGTCAGATAACATGAAACAAAAGAGCGAAAAGAAACTCATTGCTGACTTCGACGCTGTTTCATTATATCCATCCGCTATAGCAAGACTTTATACTTTAGAAGGAATTCCAAAGGTTATGAAGAAAGAAATGTTAAGCACAGAGTATCTCATGAGACATTTATTCGATGACGACCAAAAGGAACCCATTGGTGAAAAGTTTATGTCTGGTTTCTTTGTTCTCATTAAGATAACAGAGATTGGAATACATAGACACTTTCCTTTAATAGTTTGTGACCCCGAACTAAATCCAGAACTTAACGTTCCCAGAAGTTCAAACACTTGCTGTTTAATGTATGTTGACCATATAACATTACAAGACCTCATAAAATATCAAGGTGTCAAATGTGAAGTGTTGCAAGGATACTATTACGATGGAAATAGAGATATTAGAATAAGAGATGAAGTAAAGAAGTTGTTTGAGTTAAGGTTAAAGTATAAGAAAGAAGGAAATCCTTTGCAAGAAAATATAAAGCTCATTCTGAACAGTATTTATGGCAAAACTATTCTATCTCCTATTGAGTCAAAAATAACCATAGTAAATGACAAAGATGCTATAAGATATGCCATCAGAAACTACAACCATATAGTGAAGTTCGAAGGTTTGGATGGTTCAGATAAAACTATTTTCAAGCTAACGAAAAGCATTTGCAGACACTTTAACTTCTGTCCACTTGGTGTTAACATTCTGTCTATGTCGAAGAGAATAATGTGTGAAGTATTCTGTACTGCTGAAGATATGGGACTTCAAATATTTTACCAGGACTGTGATAGCATGCATATTTTCAATGAAGACATACCAAAGCTTGCAGCAGAGTTTAAGAAGAGATACGGTAGAGAACTTATAGGAAAGAACCTTGGTCAATTTCATTCTGACTTCGCAGAAATAACACCTGGAAAACAAAGTTTAGCATACAAGTCAATATTTTGTGGAAAGAAGACCTACATAGACTTACTCACTAACGATTTAAATGAAGTTGCATTTCACTGCAGAATGAAAGGCGTGAAGCAAGATGTTATTGCTTTAACCGCTAATGAAATGTTTCCTGACTCTGTTCAGTGTTTCTATGATGAAGATAAAGGTTTAATGGTTCCGCAAGGAACATATGACAAAGACTCTGAGTTCAGTGTTATGAAGTTATATAAAGCACTTTATGACGGTCAAGAGATTGCATTCGACTTGTGTAAGTCATGTCAACCTTGCTTTGAAGAGAAGTTTAACTTCTCAATAACGACTAAAACAAGCTTTATTCGTAAGTTGAAGTTCTGAGGTCATTTATTTTTGTCAGCAATGAGGTCATTCGTGATAAAAATAAGCCGCTAGCGGCAAGGGCGAAGCCCATGTGGTCATTTACAATACTGCGATGGTAGAGTTTAAGAGTTGTGCTTCAATGTAGAGACAGTCCTTATGGTCTGGAGGTAAGAACACTGGGC